GACGCTTAGCGGATATCTATTTAGGGGTAACTTCTATAGTCTAGAATTATACTACTTAACTAACTAGCTAGTAGTTAAATAAACAGCTCTAATTAGCTACTAGATAGAAAGTAGGATCTAAGCCTAATATAAGTATCCTCGTTAGGAATAGGGAAGATATATATACTAGCCTAAGTAGGAGTATTAGATAGTATAGTCTAGATAGGTAGGCTAAGACGGATACCTAAAGTATTAATACTAAGAGTTATATAACTAAGGGGAGCTTACCTCTTTTTAGTTCTCCTACTTCCTATAATAAACTAATATAATTATAACTAGGTTAGTTCCTACTATTATTTATCAATTTAGTCACTTCTACTGTGTTTAACACCTATACAAACCCTGTAGAGCAGTCTCAGCTTAGTAGTTCCTTGTATTTCACTAACTCACAATCACGTGACACGAAAGCCAACCTGACCTCACCTATTCAAAACACATATCGATGTCGTAGCAACAATGCCTCTGCGCGTCTCATTTTCGTCGTGAGACGGTACTGGTAAGACATCTGCACGCGTAACATTTTATCACATCGCCATTGGCGCGTACGCACTATTAAGCGCTGACTGGATTGGTCGAACATAGCCCCCTTTTTTCGTACAGGAACGGCTTTCTTCAAAATATGCAAGTACGCGCTGATGCCATTGGACGAGGAGAAAAGAAAACTTCATAATTCGTTATCTGGCTATGTAGAACCAGCTCGTCGTCTCAAAAGAAAGAAGCGAATGGTTAAAAAAAAAGAATCATCACTGCGTAACCCCAGCCCCTGAACGAAACCGAAAGGTAAGGTCCTTCATCAGTCTGCTGGCCACCAAACCCCCAGTTCCACTTCCGAAACAACATCCCCACCTCTTTCTCTCTCCCTCTCAAGCCGCCCGACGCGTATTCCCAATCGTCGCATACCTCCTATCCTTCTCCGCAATCATCGCAGTGATCTCCGCCTCCAAAGCCCGCACATCATCGCGCGCCTTCTCGATGCTCGCCTGCAACTTCCCGCCGTCGCGCTCCCAGCGCGCAATGTCGTCGAGCGCCTTCTGCCGACGGCGCTTCTTCTTCTCGATCTTCTCGCACTGGGTGCACTTCTCGTTCAAGGGGACCGTCTGGAAGATCATCTTCATGCCGCACGTTTCGCCGGTGCGGTATTCTTTCTGGCAGTGCATGCGGAAGTTGCCCCATTTCCAGTCGCGGCAGGCGTATTGGTAGTTGTCGTAGTAGCACATCTTGGTCGTTGTTGTTGCTCTTGATGGATGGACGGGCTTTGTTGATTGTTGATTGTGGATTGCTGTGCCGCGTTGGTCAGTGCTACGAGGCATCTTGCATGTGCGTAAGGCAGGGTCTAACTTTATCTTGCTGCTTTGATGCGTGAGACTGCAGGTGCTACGTGGTCGACGATGACACTATCTTGTCCAGCCATTGTCAGTCGTGTGAAACGTTGTTGACGTCGGGCGTGCTTGATGAATGGCTCCCAAGGCTTGAAGCCTTAGTGCCATTGACTCTTACAAAGACTCAACGATACAAGAGCCTCAACCTGGTGGTGAAGGGGGAGCATGAAAGAGGGCCATACCGAGCAATGTGTCTGAGAAGTGTTCGAGGTGGAAGCTGAGGAGGCTGGGACTTGCGTTCTGGAGGGAATGCGAGGCCCCAGGCTGCCTTCGAGCCGCTATTTATGCTTTCCCCATGACCCTTATGCTGCCAACATGTCCCTCAACGTTGCTGCACCCTCTCGTGCCCGTGCTCCTGCTCTTGGTCCACTGTCTCCTCTTGTCACTTGACGTGTCGCTTGGATCGAGCCAACGAGCTCGCACGGGGCTCTCGGATTACCCCCGGCATGGCATGGGCATGCTCAAGAAGGAAGCTGCAATGGAACGCCGGCGTCGATGCGTTTTGGCGTCTGCACCGCTGTATTGAATTCAGCGGATCGTCCAGTGCGTGGCATGCTGTCCGCCTATGGTCCCTCGCCTGTTGTATATCCCTCGTTCCGCTCGTGCTCCGTGTACCCACTTGAATGATGATAGTTGCATGGTGGTGGTGCCCGTGAGAACTCTATGGTTACACGAGGCTTCTGGAGGTGAATGATATTCGAGTCACGTGCTCTCGCTCGACCACCGCATGTGGCTTTCCACTCTCAAAGCACCAAGGACAACAACCCAGCAGCTTGGGCCTGGCAACGTCCCTGTGACTAAGCACTATCCTTCCGACTGCCGACTCACTCTCATGCTGCATCAGAACTCATAGCTGCGAGCCTCAGGCAACAACTGATTGAGTTCCAGGGGTAGGCTGGCGATTCCAATCAGGCCCTTTCGCGGACGTGACACAGTGTAAAGTCGCTTCACTCGGCACTGGGTGCTCGAGCAGACACCGTTCGATGCTCGTTGGTGCGATCGTTGCCGATGACAGAGTACTCCCGGCCCAGCAGGCTCTGCAGATACATCTGCATGACGTGTGGCAACTTCCCCCTCCGGCGACGACGCTACCTCTGTTGAGCGGTCTTCAGGCATGGCTGACCAGTCACCTTATCTTGAGATGCTGCAGGGAGAGTGGCAGTCCGCTGACGAGGAGCCAGCATAGTCCCAATTGGTGCCGGTGTCCCGCTCCTGCACATATCATGTTCGCACATCGTGCCGACGTCCGCCTCAGGTGACAGTCTTGCGTGCATCACTACTGCAACGGTGCGGGCTAGTGGTGACGACAGTCACTCGTTCGCAGGGTCTGACGCGGGTGCCATCGAGCCTTCCGGGCGGGCCTGGGATCAGAGTTGCAAGGCCAGCTCCATCACGTCCAGGGCGTAGAGCCGGCAGAACAGCGCTAGATCCGCCCTGGCCGTCTCCGCTCTTGCAACGTGGCGAGTTGGCTATGGTGGACGAGAGGAAAGGCTATTCGTGGGCTCGAGAAGGCGACGGTCAGCACATGTCTTCGCAGCTCATGAGTGGACTACCACTCGCTTACAATGCTCCCACAACTGAGACCCTCGCCCGTGACTGCTCACCGGTCTGCCCATTCTGGGCTAGAGGCAATGCCAACGGGCCTCGAGGTGAGATTCTGCATCGGCTGGTGCACTTCCAGGTGTGGGAGGTACGAGGGGAGTAGTTGCTGCCGGCAGAAATCCATAGCGTATGGTACTTGGGGCACCGGCGTCGAGCCACCACCGCCAGCAGGCCACAGGCAAGCATCGTCCACGATCGCCGTCCGTAGCCTCTGCGCGACGTCCACCTCGAGACGACATTCACGCATTCGTGGCAGACGAGGCAGCAAGGTGGTTGGGGAACGCGCTGGCTCCAAGCCTTCGGTGACGCATCACCGCCAACCGACAGTCACTAGCGCGAGGGAATGGGAGGGAAAAGAACGTCCAACACAGCTGAGACAACAAGCAAGAGCCTCGCAGAATAATTCTAGGATATGAATTTTGCCATTGGATGAAAATGAAAGGTCCTCAGGAAGGAGTTTGAAGAGCACGCAGCGGCGCGTGAAGACGGCTGACGTCCAAGCTCCGTCCCTGGCGACCAGTCATGTGAATTGCTCGCTCCGTCGGCCAGGTGGGACGTCTGACAGGTTCGCGGTGGTCCGCATCGACAAATATTCAGGTGATTCTCGAGAAATGCAACCACAGGCAACGTTCTCATTCGCTTCCGTGGCTGCAGTACTAGGCCAATCGCGATCCAGGGGCGCTCCCGGGTAGTGTCAGCTTGGGCATTGAGGTCTTGTGGGCGATGCCAGCATGGGAGGAGTTAGTGCCAGTGAGTTGTGCTGCCAGCTCAGCAAGGGCGGGCCTTGGTGCATGAAGGGAAGAAACTAAACACCGAACTTATCTCATCCCCTTCGGCGACCCGGCACCATGACAAGGCCAACAACCTCGTCTCGCCCCTAGCTCTCGAACCGGTCGACGTTTGAGTTTTCCCAGCGTATCGATACGCGATGCGGTGCGAGTTGGCGTTTGAGAAAAGAAATCGAAAGCAGGATGAGGCCAGGAAACTGTCTACCTACCGTAGAGAGCGTTTCGACAACGATTGGATGTCGACATTGGCCATGCCATTGGGACTGTCTCTTGAACAGCCGCGCAGTCGAGGCGGCGGCCAGGCGGTTGTTGGGCGGTCGACAGAGAGTGTTCATCATGTGCCGTGACGCTTGATCTCGTGAGCCAAAAGGAAAACAAGATTGCGGGCCTTCCCGGTCGCGTGCTGTAACCAAGCCGCCGGTGCTTCGACTCGCCTGCTGCCACACGCAGACCAACGACCCGACGTCGGCGTCTGGACTGCGTCGACGGCACTACACAACGATGCAGCTGTCAGCGCTCGATTCTGTACGCGGCCAAGCCCAGGGCTGTTCTGGAAATACCGTCCGCCAGCTCGCCGCCGCCGCCGCCATGGAGGATCCAGCCGTAGCTCTCCCCCCGGAGCTGCTCCTCCAAGTGCTGCACTTCCTCGACGTCAACGATCTGCTTTCTGCTTCTCGAGTAGGCGCCTGCGCAGACGACACGCCGTGGTGAATGCCCCTGCTAACCCAGCCAGACCTGTCACCACTGGCGAGCGCTCTCGCTTGATCCGTTGCTGCACAAATGGCGCTTGGATGCCTGTTGCATCCGTGTCCGCCATCTGCTGCCTCGACGCCCGCTGTTGCACACCCTGCAGCCCCCGAGCTCGACAATATACTTGACGCGGACACATCTTGCTGCGAGGCGTTTGCACTGGTCGCTGGTCTCCATCCGCCTCAATCGATCCCTGCTGCGGCGCCCGAAGCTGTCGACCCTAGTCGCCGCGAACATCCTCCCCAGGGAGTGCTGTAGAGTCGATCGTACGTCGGGAGAGTTTGTTTGGGGTGTTGGTGTTGCTGGGGCGCTTGTCGAGCGGAAGCGAAGGGTCGAGAGGGAGCAGATAAAAGAAGGCTTGCGGGTCTGGCTCGAGCGGAAGGCACGCGAGATTGTGACGAGCCACAAGAAAGATGGCAGAGTTGGTGTACTAGTCTGGCGTTTCTCACGCAAGGCGAAAGCAGCGGACACGAGACGAGATTTGAATATCTGTTGTGAAAAGCCAGACATTGACAAGGAGAAGGTCGGCAGTCTTAGGCGGTTCTTCGAGAGTCTTGGCAACGCCAGGTCCGTGGCCTGATGATAGTCTAACTATAATCTTCAAGCTCAGCAACGAGCGAGACGAAGGTCTGTATCTCGACGACGCATTTGCCGTGCATATCAGATAGCGCGTGGGAGCTGTCACGAAGCGGTGAGGTCAACACGTGATCTTTTCTGAGTCGTGAAACGCAACAAACAGGAAAGCTGTGGGGTCGCGGCGATTAATGGTATCACTTGAAAATCGTTCAATGCATCTATGTAGACATTTCTAACTCCATGTCGAAGCTTTTCTCAACCCACGAGAACGCCGCTGTTGCACGATCAACACAACCTGAGACATATCTATCGATTACAACTCGTCGTGGACTGGCTCGTCGTCATCGTCTGGGCTGCCTCCTGGAGCGCTGCCGTACAGCTTCGATGTGATTGGGTAGGCAACGTCAGACAGCTTCTGCTTCTGCTCGTCGAAGTCTTCGGTCGTCGCGGTCTGGGCGTTCTCCTCGAGCCACTCGGTGGCCTCCTTGACAGCCTCCAAGAGGGTCTCCTTGTCGTCCTCATCAATCTTGCCGCCAAGGCCTTCCTCATCGTTGGCCTGGTTCTTCAAGCTGAAGGCATAGTTCTCAAGTCCGTTGCGGGCCTCAATGCGCTGTCGCGTGGCCTTGTCCTCTTCAGCATATTTCTCGGCTTCCTCGACCATGCGCTCGATTTCTTCAGCGCTAAGACGGCCCTTGTCGTTGGTGATGGTGATAGACTCGCTCTTGCCAGTGCCTTTGTCGCCGGCTGAAACTTTGAGAATACCGTTCGCGTCCAGCTCGAAAGTGACTTCAATCTGAGGCTGGCCACGGGGTGCAGGAGGGATACCAGAAAGCTCGAACTTGCCCAGCAAGTTGTTGTCTTTAGTCATAGATCGTTCGCCTTCGAATACCTGGATGAGGACGACTGGCTGGTTATCGGCGGCAGTAGAGAAGATCTGGCTCTTCTTCGTGGGAATCGTGGTACCACGCTTGATGAGGTGGGTCATGACGCCGCCAGTGGTCTCAATACCAAGGGTGAGCGGGTTTACATCCATGAGCACGATCTCGCTGGCCTACAATACGTTAGTCGCTGTTCATGAAACGCTCTGATTGCAAACGCTTACCTGTTCTTCGCCAGACAAGACACCACCCTGGACAGCGGCGCCATAAGCGACAGCCTCGTCTGGGTTGATACCCTTGCTAGCCTTCTTGCCAAAGTACTCCTCCAACATGGCCTGAACCTTGGGGATACGGGTGGAACCACCGACGAGCACGATGTCATCAATCTCGCTCTTCTTGATCTTCGCGTCCTTGAGAACCTGCTCAACTGGCTTGAGCGTCTTCTTGAACAGGTCGTTGTTCAACTCTTCGAACTTGGCGCGGGTAAGGGTTTCAGAGAAGTCGTTGCCCTCGTGGAAGGCCTCGATTTCAATCTTGGTGCTCATCTGGCTGGACAGAGCGCGCTTGGCCTTCTCGACCTCACGCTTGAGCTTACCCATGGTCTTTGCGTTCTTGGTGATGTCGGTGTCGTGCTTCTTGTTGTAGTTCTTGACAAAGTAGTCCGCAACACGCTGGTCGAAGTCCTCACCACCAAGATGAGTGTCACCGGCGGTGGCCTGAACTTCGAAGACACCCTGGTCGACAGTCAAGATGGAGACATCGAAAGTACCACCACCAAGATCGTAGACAATGATCTGGCGCTCCTTGTCGGTCTTGTCCAAGCCGTAGGCGAGAGCTGCGGCAGTGGGTTCGTTGACAACACGAAGGACATTGAGACCTGCAATTGTGCCTGCATCCTTAGTTGCAGCTCGCTGGGCGTCGTTGAAGTAGGCGGGGACAGTAACAACAGCGTTGGTGACCTTCTCTCCAAGATATGACTCGGCGACTTCCTTCATCTTGCCAAGGATCATGGACGAGATTTCTTCGGGAGTGAAGGACTTTTCATCGCTGCAAGGTGTTAGCCAGATGAAGACAGGAAAAGGAAATGAGAGATAGACTTACCCAGCGACATCAACCTTGACACGTGGCTGGCCACCCTTGTTGACCACAGAGAATGGGAAGTGCTTGACATCCTTCTGAACGTCCTTGTCGTCATACTTGCGTCCAATGAGACGCTTGATGTCGAAGACTGTTCGGTGTGGGTTGGAGGCGTATTGATTCTTTGCTGCATCTCCAACGAGACGCTCTTCGTCGTTCCAGGCTACCCATGATGGAGTGATTCGGTTTCCTTGGTCGTTTACAAGGATTTCGACGTTGCCGCCCTTCATGATACCCACACATGAGTAGGTAGTTCCGAGATCGATGCCAATGACTGCGAGCTCAGCTGTTAGTATGGTCTTCTCATTCTGACTTGAGCGTCACAATGCACGCAAGACCATTGCCGTCGTGCGTCGGTGGCACGAGGAATGTGGATGGGCGCATTGTCGTATGATGAACTCACCTGGTCCAGAGACACCCGTCTCCTTTGTGTCTTCTTGAGCGTGGGCTGTTGGGATCATGCCCATGAAGAGCATGGGTGCCAGCAGGATGGCACAGATGTAGAAGGCTGTCATCCAGGGCGATACTGTTGGCCGCGCCTGGCGGCTCTTGTTTCTTGAGAACCGCGCCATGAGGCCGGTGGTGTGTGTGCGTGTGTGAAGGGGTAGAGAAATCGGTCGTGTGTCTCGGTGCGGCGGGACTGCTGCCGAGGGGTATCGGTTGTGCTTTCTCCAAAGCAGCAACCAGACTGCTGTGGGAGGGAAGGGGAGACTGGTTGACGAGAGAGGAGAGAATCGGTAAACGTCAAGTGTACCGCACAAAAAGAGAGCTCCTGAAAAGGCCACGGAGGAGTTTTGAGGGCAAAGGAATTGTGTCAACTTCTCAACCGGGAAGGACACCTGTGCTGTTCCTTCCTGACCAATCACAGCCCGACCCGGCCGCAATGACAGCATCTGTGGAAGATTCACGAGCTGTTCTATGTACAGTATCTTCACCACCGCCAACACCACCACTTCATGTTCTCACATGGATGCTACGTGTTCCCTAGCACGAGTCATCCCAGCTCTCATACACTTGTCAGAAGATGACTATTCGCAGCCTCGTGTCCGACAGCTGGCCGAACTTCGCGCTCGAGATGGCCGGAGCGAGGAACAACACAGAGTGAACAACTGTACCATTGGCATATTTGACAGCATCGGTCTTTCGTCACGGCTGACATATGATCGCCCCTGCCACCGTGAGTCACATTGATTTGTGAACAAACTTCTCGGCGAGAACTCTTGGTGAATGCTCACGAGCATCCATGTGCCTTGAGATATCTGCGAAGGACTGTATGGACGTCCTCGAACCAAAGGCTGTCGGGAGAGGCCCAGACCGCGTAAATTGGTTCGATGGTGTCTGGGAAGCCACATCAGATGATCTCTATCGACGTTCTCAGCCTCTTGATACTGCTTCTACTGCTTTCGTCCTGAAACCGAGGCGATTCAGGTTCCGGGACCTTGTCCATAATCGATAGCCGGGTCTCTGCTCTTTCTAAAGGGCCATCATGGTCTTCAACTCGTAGACACACCGTTGGTCGGGTAGCACAACCCAGCGGGCTCGTGTCGGCAGCATTGAAGAAGGCCTGGCACAAGGAGGCAGGGCTCAATGCGAAGTCACTCCAGGACTTCGAGGCATACATATGCTCCAGCGATTTTTCTGCCAGTAGCGTCCCTCCCCGGGTTTCGAAAATGAGGAGTCTGAGACGGTCACGCGGACTACTGAACGTCTGTGGGTTGACTCCAGACCGGACTGGCACGACTGGTTTCTGATCTAATGAAGATTGGATCTCTGGAGCGAACTTCCGCCCCTCTAGGCTCATCCGCCGTCGTGAACGATGCGCCAGGTTAATAGCAGTCGGACATTAACACACCACTGGCCAGTGGCTGGTGTGAGGAGGAGTCATGTGGTGAGAACATGTTTTTTCACTGGCTTGGGATGGGTAATAAATAGCACGTACTTGCGATCACGCAAAGGAAATTGACCTGTCCCAATGCTCCATTAGGCATCGCGGTCCATAGCACGAGGTTGTCGAGGCGTCTGGGCCGGATCCGTCCCACGCTTCCTCTGCTCCTGACTCGGTATTCGGGGTCGCTTTTAGCCGGCAAAGGCCGACGCAGCTGGCAGGGCTGAACATGTGAAGGGAGCGAGAGATGAAAGCGGCGTCGATCTTTCAGGGACCGGAGCTGCTATCGCAAGGCGTGGGGGTCCGCGATCCAACACCGACAAAAAAAACTCCTTTTCCCACACACTCGCGCCCATGTCAGACGGCGACGCGACCGACACAAGCGTGCGCGACGGATTCGCTGCCGTGCTCGCTGTCGCGGCCTCGGGCCATTGTCGCTCCATCAGTTGTGAGCAGTCGACAAGCATCGCACTTCCGCAAAAAAGGGGACCGGGTCAGCCACCGGTGGGTGCACTGACGATAGTGCCCACAATAATTCATCGTGGTGGTTACGAGCAACCATTAAAAGGTCGCTATCTCGGGCGTGCTCCACGGCAGGACGACTGATTCTTTGCTATATTTTCCTCCGCCGTCCACAATTGCTGACGTCGCGCGGTCCTTCGTTTTGCGTTGTTCCTACTGATATCATTGCTCTCCTTCCTGCTGCCATATCTCTGCCTCCATCCTTCTCAACTTGTTTCATCGCACCTACTGTCGAGCTCCTATCTCCCAAACCCTCATCGGATCGATCTCATTGAAGCACAACAAACACTCATTGCAAATCAAGACCTACATTCTACGCCAGACATTGCCCAGGAAGCATCACTTTTCCACCCGTCTGCTATCTGAGAAGATAAGCAGACATCGACAAAATGCTCGCCCGCACCGCCCTCAGATTCACCCAGCGCGCCGTTCGGCCACACGCATTCGCCCCTTTGACCTCGCGAGCCGCTTTCAACTCCTCATCGAAGGCCAACGACCCCGAGGTCCCAGTCATCAGCTACCACAATGGCGAGCGCAAGGAAGAGGCCCTCCAGTATGAAGCCAGCAAACCAGGACCAGTAACGCCCCCAGGTGCCGATGCTGAGAAGCCAGCTATCCCACTCAAGCCAGAGATTCTCTCCAAGCTCACGCCGACGTTGCAACGATTCACACTTTCTGGCAAGGTTGCTGTCGTCACTGGGTGAGTCAACAATAAAAGAGCACTGTTAACCGATCGTAGCTGATTTTGGATGTGTAGTGGCGGTCGCGGTCTCGGTTTCAACATGGCTCAAGCTCTGGCGGAAGTCGGCGTCCAGGGAATCGCCATCATGGATGTACAGCAAGAGCTTGGTGACAAGGCGGCCAAAGAGCTTAGTGAGCAGACTGGCATCGACGTCCGATTCTACCGTGTGGATGTTCGTGATGGTCTCGCTATGGGCCAGACCGTGGCAGACGTCGTCGATCACTTTGGTCGTCTCGACATTCTTATCAACGCTGCTGGTATCGCCGAGTAAGTGGATCGCACCGCTTTCGAGTATTACAGATTCTAACCACTTGCAGCTCCAACATGAAGGCGGAGTCGTACGACCACGAGAAATTCCGCCGACTGATCGACATCAACGTGACTGGCTCCTTCTTGGTCGCCCAAGCGGTCGCCAATCAGATGATGCGTCTTGGCAATGGCGGTAGCATCATCAACATCGCCTCGATGTCCGGAACGATTGTCAACTACCCACAAGAGCAGTCCTGCTACAACGCTTCCAAGGCCGCCGTGGTCCAGCTTACCAGGTCCCTCGCTGCCGAATGGGCACGATACGGCATCCGAGTCAACTCCATCAGCCCCGGCTACATGGACACTGCTCTGAACCGCGTGCCTGCGCTCGAAGCTCAGAAGCGCATCTGGATCGATCACACCCCTCAGAAGCGTCTCGGTGCCGTTGACGACCTGAACAACTTGGCTGTGTACCTGGCCAGCGACGGCTCGGCTTTCATGACCGGCAACAACTGTCTCATTGACGGTGGCTACACCCTGTGGTAATTGGATATCGTCGGATTTTGTTTACAAAATTGCATTGCATGGCGCTGGGCAGGATAAAGGATACAACAGGTGGGCGCACTGACGGCTGGATTCCGTGCGTGTGTAAGTCGCACACCGCCACCTAGCAAAGAGCGAGCTGGGGATTCATACACCTATAGAGATAGATGTGATCTATAAACCCTAGGTAATAAAATGCACGACCGTGCATTGATTTTCAAGAAGCACCTTCACCTTTCGGATCGGTCTCGATGCGTCTCTGGCGTTCCACGGCTTCTTGGACCTGCATTCCAACCCAGACGGCCGGATGAAGGCATGGAAGATGTGGCCACACCATCAACAACCACCCTAACCTCTATTACTAGGTCCTGAAGATCGATCCCGAAACGCTCCTCCAACCTCAACCGGCCGCCATCATGCACTTTTCCAAGACGTTGCACGCAGTGTCTTAATGAACGTCTTCGACGCCTCGAAGCAGTCGCTGCTCCGCATTGTGCAACGCTGCACGTCGCTGTATCGTCGAAAATCGTCCCGCAAGGGCAGCAGAGGGAGCGGCGAAGAAAACAAAACGGAGGACGCTGAGCTGCTCCTGCGGTAACTTGGACTTGCTCAGCTTCGCACGATGCTTGCTCTTCTCCTTCTCGTCTGCGCAGCAACAGCGCTGAAAGCTCCGTCATCGCTTCCGCGACAATATGGCAACTTCACTCTCAACCGACTTCAACGAACTCGAACAAAGCTGGCAGAACCGAGCGAGTTGAAGGTCACGCAGAATGTCGTCAACCTCACACGGGCAGATACTGCCGTGTCAGTGAGCTCAACATATGTGCAGGCAATGAGACAGAATGCGAGATCACGGGTAGCAAGACCTACGGTGAGTATGCAAGTCTGAACGGTTCTGGCAGCCGAATCGTGACTGACGAGTTTTGTAGACGCAGAACGGGACAACTCCCCTGATCTCATTGGAAGGCGGCCAAGTCTTCCTGGCAAACGTCCTAGTCGGTGGACAGGAGTACTCGCTGGTGATCGACACGGGCAGTAGTGACCCTTGGCTAGCAGTCACCGACTTCAGCTGCTACGATCCCATCGATGATGCACCACTGGATCAATATCTTTGCGAGTTTGGTCCACTGTACCATTCCACACAGTCATCCACGTTCGTCCCAATCGCGGACCAGAACTTCAATATCAGCTACGCTGACGGAGAGTACTTGACGGGAAGCCTTGCATACGAGTCGTTTCGAATGGCCGGCATCGACGTGCCCAATCAACAGTTCGGCGTTGTCGACCAAGCTGCATGGTATGGTGATGGAATCTCTTCTGGACTGGTTGGCTTTGCGTACAGAACGTTGACATCTGCATACGCCGGTTCAGATCCCACGTCGGATAGAAAGGGCAGGACAATGCTCTACAATCCCTTGTTCGTCAACATGTACGAGAATGAGGGTGTGCCAACTGTCTTCAGCATGGCCATCGACCGTATACAAAGCAACGGCGGTGTTCTCGCAATAGGGGGAATTCCTGATATCCCCCATGCGCCATACTGGGCCAACACGGAGATCCATCCCGTCAGTGTCAATACCACGAGTGGCGAGCCAGTCTACGAATTCTACACGATTGATGTTGATGGGTTCGCGATCTCGACATCGACCAGCACGCAGTTCAACCCGTATGACAACGACAATCCATACAAGACACCACTCGTTGGAAACGACACAGATGTCATCGTGGACTCTGGAACCTCGCTCTGCTACGTCCCTGACGACGTCGCTGCAGAACTGGCCGATGCGTTCGACCCTCCAGCAACTTGGGACGCATCGACATACGCCTATTTCGTCGACTGCGATGCCACTGCGCCGGTGTTTGGCGTCAGCATCGAGGAGAAGATCTTCTTCGTCAACGCCGAGGACATAATTATCCAGATCAACGACAACTTGTGTGTTACTGGCATCCAGCCAAACCTGGGGGGCTTGAACATCTTGGGAGGAACGTTCATGAAGAACGTCTTGACGGTGTTTGATATTGGGGCGGAGCAGCTGCGGTTTGCGGCGAGACAGTTCTATCCGACCTCGTGAAGCGCAGCTCTTTGATTGGATTACTTCTTGTAAAGCAGAGTGTTAATGGCAGTATCGATAGATTTTTGAAGCTTTCAGTAGGGAGGATCGACACTTTGATCGACGACTCCTTCACTTCCTAAATCATTACCTAGTAGCGGCTTTCACATGCTCAACTTTAGGTAATGAGAACATTCGATAACTCGCATTATGACGTCAACCCCTTTTCGATCGCACCTTCCATGCAACCATTTGTTGGTGGTCGTACCTGCCGTAAGCAGCGCAACACCGGGGTGGGTCTTCGACGGCGGTCAGCGCGGTGCATGGTTGTCACCTTGCAACAACAACACAACCTCACCAAGACCTTGACCTTGACATCACTCCATCACAATGGCACCTCAAGGCCAATCCCACGTCGACTCAAGCGTGCCACCGATGAAGCCATACTTCGACATCAATGGCATTCAAGACGAGTCATCCGAGCTGAAAGAGATCATCAAGAAAATGGGACTTCAGCCGCACGTGGAGGGAGGGTACTTCGTCGTATGTACCGATAGCAGATTCGATTCTCTAAAATAATGAACTGATCCAATGCCACTTTCAGGAAACCGACCGAGACACACTTCGCGTTCCGAACCCATTCGTCGACGAGAAGGAGTCTTCTGATCCCACCAGAAGCGCCAGCACGTCCATCTTCTACCTGCTCACGCCTAAGTCCCCTTTTGGTGCGTTTTCTAGCCCGACGAGGCCGTATTGCAAGTTTGCTGAACTAGATTTGATAGGCGCCTTCCACCGTAACAAGGGACGTACCGTCCACACCTTGCACAAGGGCAGAGGCCGATACGTGCTGATCCACGCCGACGAAGTCGCTTCTCCCAGCTCTCCTGGAGGCTACGGTGACGAGAGCCTGTCTGAGAGCCAGAGGTGGACCGGCAAGAAAGCTCGGGTCGAGACGTTCATCGTCGGTCAAAACGTCCTTGCCGGAGAGCGTCTGCAGTGGATCGTTGACGGCGGCAAGTACAAGTGCTCTTTCTTGCTTCCGGATGAGGGCTCCAGCAACAGCGAGGGACTCTTGATCAGCGAGACTGTTGTGCCGGGGTTTGAGTACTCGGATCATGACTTCATGAAAGCTGAGAGGATGGATGCGCTCGTCACCAAGGAGCAGGCCGAGGAGATGAACTGGATGTTGAGGAAGGCCTGATGATGGCTTCTGCCAAATTCGGACCTTCTATCAGTAGACGAGAAGTCTCAAGGGTATCATACAAATCATGTCTCTTATGCGGCCTCGCTGCCGCTTCCATATCCCAAAACGCCTTCGCTATGCCCAAATGCCCATTCCTATGCCATTCGCCAACATGGCAGATCATTCCAAATCATATCCTTATGCATTACATTTTCCATCCTTGACCTCATCATTCTGCCGTTCATATCATCCATCATAGACAAGAAATCCTTCTGCTCGCTGCGTCAAATTTTCAATCTCTATACATCTTCACTTGTGGAAGAAGCACCTCCACCTCTTGAGCCGCCGAGGCTGGTTTGTGCCCAGTAGATGAGGAAGCCAATTATGGCGAGGACCACGAAGAGGACGATGATGATGGTGAAGATTACGAGGTTGCCTTGCATGGTGGCGGTGGTGAAGAGATTTGGGCGGTGGTGATGGAGGTTTCGTTGCTCGGCTTGGTCGTTGCCGAGGTTGTTGAGGTTATCGACAGTTCGTTTTCTCGCAGATAGACTTGAACTTGGTAGTTATGAGGTAGTCGATCCAATCGTCAAATCGTACTGGTCCCCGTCAATGTCTTTGGTTTTCGCCGGTGAGCAATCTGTAGCTATGCAGTTGTTCGAGATTCGCTGAAGCACGCTTGTTGTATGTAGATCTTCGCGTTGCAGCTTTTCTGCGGCGCAGGTATATGGAAGACGCCGTTCAGGTAAGATGAAAAATTGGTTCAGATGGAGTCAATAGCTTTGTGAAAGTGGAATGGAAACCCTTCTGGCGGCGTCCGCGGTTTTGACTTGCCTTTGCACACTGCCTGCCACATCCTGGGTGATGAGGCTGGTCGGTGGCTGGGAGGACGTCACGAGCGAATCATGCTCGTTTGGCAGCGCAGTGACTGCAATTTCGGGTTTCGTGAGATCCCCAATCATGTATGTCTGCAAAATTCTCTCTGACAATGTTTGTTCGAAGCTGTTGCTGGGATGCTTTTCTTTGTTTGTTGATCTTTTTCGGCGTGCATGTGAAAGATCGATTGGGTTTCGGCGAGATCGGCGACAAATGCGGCGAGCGGGCCGTAACATAAAGCTTGGCGTAGCCCCAGCTTCACTTGCTCCACCTCTGCCGAGCAGCATCTCGCAACTACCGACAAACACGACAAGCAAATGCAAGCATCACTGTCGAAGTTTCTTGCGAATGATCACAGTCTCATGTGATCAAAAGAAACTACTGATCATTGAAGACAACAAGCAATCGGCCCCTAATTAGATCACATGGACCACCTCGACGAGGCGGACAGACTACTTACCGCGATGATGGACGGCTTCCATCTTTCTCACGCATCAACTTCGACAATGTCCAGCACACGCGAGCGACGACTCTCCGACACGGACCGCGTGACTAGCGCACTCCGCCGACTCAGCATCAGCGACAATGATCGCTCGCCCAGCAATTCCGAACGCCACACAAGCGCGGAGCAAGCCAAGCCTGCTTCATCACGTCCATTGAAGCAGCATCAATGCACATCAGAGGAATGTGCTGCTCTCACCCTCTTCGACACGACCGAGCTTCTGGAGATCGTCCTCGACTTCCTCGATACCGACAGTGTGCTCCATCTCCGACGCACAAGCAGAAAATGGAACGACACAGTCCGAGGGTCGCCAACCCTCCGCCTCCATACCTTCGTCCATCCACAATGGGACCGCCTTGCGGCCGACTTCCAGCTTCTCGACCTCAAGCTATCGGGCTTTTCGGTCGATCCGGGCGATGATCTCGAGCTGGGCAAATGGATCCACGTGTCCATGAGCAACGCCGTCGCCCGTCGGATCTGCCCTGACGTCTCATTTGGCCGCCGAGTCCGATCTCGTTCCATCTTTGAGGGGATGCGTGGAGGTCTCGGTCGTCGGCGATGGAAGAAAAGCGAAGACTCGTGGCCTGCCAAAGCACCGACGGCTGAAGAGCAGCACGGCTTCCTCAAGTACGAGACTTTGCAGGTTATGCAACCACCGATCTTAGGAATGCAAGCCTACCTCATCGATCCAACGCCTTTCGCTGGCCCTTCTCAGGCGACCCAAGAGCCGCCAGAACCAGTCGCCTGCGCAAAGCTCCATTGCGATGCCGGTATCACTCTCGGCTTCTTGGCCGAGACCACGCAGTCTCTGCTCATGGACACTAAGAACTCATCAAACCCGGACAGTAGAACGGTTCTCTACAAGGCGATTGTCTCATTCACGACACCTAACAGCACGACGCGGCGACGTGGTACCGCGCGCAGTGTCACTCGCTTTGATTGAGATTCAAGACTGCTATTTCGGCTTTAACGACCTCCAGCTTTCTTAAGGTTGGCGAGCGCGACGACGAGATGAGCAATACGAATGATGGGCCCGGAGATTGTGGTTGTCATGGGACTTCATAATCATCGTTGGAGACTATGTACAATTCGTTACGCGCAAAAGGTATCTTCATCGACTCGTAACCATACAAGGACCGACCCCGTCGAAGAACAAACGCCAGCTTCTCCTATGCTATACAATGCGATTCCGTTCGTCCATCTCAACACTTCTCCTTCTTACATCTTCAACTTGTAAGAATGGTCAATGGTCTCCACGACGGCGCCAGAGATGCTCGAAGATCGAATGCGGTATCCATCCTTCTCTGTATCCATGTTGTAACCTCCAGTGACGGAGTTCAACCGAGCACCACCCAGGCTGGATGCGCGGATGGCCTCAGCGTCGACAGTGCTAAGCTTTCGCTCGTCGTAATGAACAGTCTGGACCACACCGCCGACGGCGCCACCCTCGAGGGATGCTGCAACGACATTCTCGCCCTTGACGCGGAGGATGTGGAAGCCATGTCTGGCCCAGTGGACCGCGACGTAGGCGAGGACGACGACGAATCCGACCATTGGAACAACGTAGCTGATGCGGGTGCTGGCGGCATCAGCGATGGCTCCCTGGATCGGCGGGAAGACGGCTATACCTCGGGTCAGTGATTGATGTCACGGGACGGATTCGATATATCACTTACCTCCGCCAGACACACCCATAACCAAGATTCCTGCACCGCGACGTGTGTTCTTGCCCAGGTTTGCAGTGCCAAGAGTGAAGATTGTTGGGTACATTGGCGCCATCGTGAAAAATACAATGATCAATGCAGCCACAGCTGCAATCCCATGACCACCGGAGACATAAGAGGTCAATGCAATGGCGCAGACAGAGTATATGACCAGAAGGAAATTGGATTCGAAGATCGTCGCCAAGCCAGTCGCGATGAAACGCCCGACGGTGAAGGTGATCAGAGCATATGAGAGCATCTGCGAAGCCTTTGCGTCGGTCAAGGTGGCGTTTTCTGTTGCGTAGTTGATGAAGAAGGTGGCGATGGTGACCTGAGCACCAACGTAGCAGAACTGCGCAATGAATCCGAAGATCATGTCGTACTCCTTGTAAAGGGGTTTGTCCTTGATGAGTTGACCATATTGATCGATACCGAGTTCCTCAGAGTTGCCAGCAACGATGGAAGCAGAGCGGACCTGAGACTCAGAGACTTCCGGAAGCTTGCTGAAGAAGAAGAGCACGCCAACGGCGGCACCGGCGCAAGCAACAGCCAGGTAGACATACTGGACGTTGGTCAAGCTGTTCGAGTTCTCGCCGCTGAAGAAGGCCTTTGAGGCGATGAGTGGTCCAACGAACGACGCAACACCGTTCCAAGACTGGCAGAACTGGAGACGAGCAGAGGCGGTAGCTGGATGGCCGATCACGACTGCGTAGCTGTTGGCGGCTGTCTCCAGAGTGGCAAGACCGCAAGCAATCACCAGGGTACACGCGAGAAAGCCTCCGAAAGCCGCAATAGTTCTGTTTGGGTCTGAGAAATGGGCTACCGGCCAGAAAAACACAGCCCCTAGAGAGTAGAGGATGAGGCCCATGATGATCGTGAATCGATATCCTTTGCGCTTCATGACTTCAGCTGCAATTGGTGAGTACAAAAGATAGCCTCCACCGAAGTAAACGACCTAGACGAACGTTAACGGATACAATAGCTGCGCGAGCGGCTGTGCATACCTGGAGACCGGTCGATTCGAGCTTTGTGATCCCGAGCACAGTCTGGAAGTGCTTGTTGAGCACATCGAGAAGACCGTACGAGAAGCCCCAGAGGAAGAAGAGGGAGATGACCAGAGACAAGGGGTAGATGAGCTTCTTCCCTGTGAGATAGCCACCAGCTACTACAGGGGAGTCTGTGGGGATGCCACCGCCAGCCATGCTTGTCAAGAGGGTTGTTGTTCGATTCGTTGATACGATCGATTTTGGGGCGCGAAGCGTGAATTGGCGACTTTCAGCAGTCTTTGATGGTATGCTTGAATGAATGAAGCTGTCACAGCTCAAAGCTTGTGGCGATGCAAGTGAAAGTGGTGCTCCTGCTGGCAATGAATGGCCAAGCTAGTTGAGCGTGCTGGTTTGGATGGTCGCGCTGTTGTGCTGGATGAAGAACAACACCATGGGCACAGAAGCCATCTTATACCATCTCCAACACCTTCAAGGCTAATATTCCCATCTCGCAGACCATTCTCCAGAAAGGCCAGACGAGTCTAGTGAGCTGAGATTCGCGCTACTGCACAGAAGCTATACCTTGGCAGGTACTCAATATCTAGATGGCCTCTCACCAATCGACGAGACCTCGATGTGTATGCCGTACCTTTTGCAATCGGCCCGCGATGTATCTCTCCACGGGGCTCCGCGCAGGCTTGTGGCGCTTGGGCCTCGTGGGGCGCAGGCTACTCCAGCTCGACCAATACGCCAGTTCATGTCCGGCTGCTATCAAGTGGATCTTCTGTGCATGTGCACGCTCTCGTTGTTTGTGGGATTGCTAGGTAAATTTCGGTGCAATGTCCTTTTCGGAGCGCAAACGATTTGTCTTTGGATGAGCCGGTGTTTGGATGGATATCTCATCCGCCCATTGCATCGCCATATTCTGCGACAACTTCACGACTCTCTCGCATCGTGTCCTCGCCACCTGTGAACAAAACGCCATCCAGACGCCTCCATCAGCAGTTGAGGACATGAGAGCTCCCCACAAACCACCACCATCGTCGGCACACCACCCAAAGCCTGCAGTCGCCGCAGAGTTCACGCTAGAAACACGCTAGAACGAGCGGCAAGTGTTCTATAGCTCTTTCTCCTTTCGGCCCTTTTCCCAGTTTGCGGGCCTTCTTTCTCAAGCCACAGCTTTGCAGGATTGGCTACGGGGCCACGCAGCAAGCTGCCACATCTCGTCATCTCAGAACGGTGAGGGAGACTTGCGTGCTCACGCGACCTCCCATGGGGAAACATTGTGGTGCGTCGCCTGTGCGGGAGGAACGTGCTCTCTTTCAGTGCAGTTGAAGTTGGTCTGTCAGTCTTCGAGGCTTTTGGGGGCGCTCAACGACAACCATGGAGAAGATGGGTTTGACGAATGCATTGCGTTATCCGATCTGTTCGTTGCAATCGTTGCCGACGATCGGGCCCCAGGCTGTTCCCCAGACCGTTCAATGATGATTGCATCGATGAGTCCAGATGCAGCCTTGCCTCAACGCAGATCGTTAGCGTTTGAAGGCACTTTGTTGCCTGTCACCACGAACAGAAAGGAGATCGATACTGATTAATGGCAAAAAAAGTTCTTGATGGTTGTCCAAACACATCCTCGTCATAGCCGCTCGTTGCTCATACATGCCAATCATACTTATTACAATGCCGTCACCCATCGGACTTGCGCCTCCCCGGTGCATATAAACCTCGCCCTTGAAACCAGAACGTCCAAAAAGAGCCATCCAAACTGTCTGAACATCTCCATCAGTTAGGCAACGGCTTCCTCCCAATCCAAACATGAATATTCTGCAATCTCATTAGCACACCCCCACGACCTACACCTCGCTCGCGGTCTAACGAAACTCACCCAACGAACATAAACATCCCCCTGCGCCTCCTCCTTCATCGCATTCAACTTCTCCCGACACTCCCCTTCACTGAACCCATGCCTCAACCCCGGGAAAAACCCCTCCATCGCTCCAATCTCAATCAGACTCCACGCCCTCCTGAGCTCCGGGATGCGATCCGTGCTCAGAACCTCCTGGCGCACGTCCTGGAACCCTTGGTTCAGCAGGATGTCTTCGAGCTCGCGCGGCGCAAAGGACCAGTGTTTGAGTTGGGGACGCATGATGCGGTGGATTTCTTCGTGCACGTGGGCCGTGGTGAAGGGGTTGGCGCGTAGCCCGCGGGCGCCGCCGAAGTCGGATTCGAGCCATTGGATGTAGCCGCCGGGTTTGAGCATGGTGAAGATGTTTTCTGTCGTCGATCAAGACGGCTCGGTTAGTTCGTTCAGAATGCTGGTAATCGTTCGGTCGAACGTACGTGTGACGACCTCCCAATCTTCCTCGCCCATCCCTGAGTTGAGGTATCGAAGATGGATCACATCGTATTTGTTCCTCAACTCTTTGCAAGGCGGTTGTTTGGCATCGTATACTCTCAAAGATACATTCCTGGGCAGATCTTCTGGATATTAATCTGAGCTGATATCGTACCCATGGAGCTGTGTCGACGATGGTAGTGATTTCTCAAGGTCGAGTACAACAATCCCTGTGCCCGTGCCGATGTCTGCGATGCTCGAGCTGGTCGTGATATGTTCTTGTACTTCGGGGTGTAGTAGATAGCCGACACTGTTCGTGCCCGGTTAGTGTATTTCATTGGGATGTTGGGTGATGGGCATACGTCTTCTTCAATAGCTGATGTTGTTGGTTTAATCTACGGTGAGATTAGTGTACTGTCATCATCACAGCACAGCCTCGTTTTGGCACTGACCTGTTGCTCTCGACACCAGTCCCAGTGAGCATGTACACATCCTTGCCAACGGGTCCAAGATCAACCTGCTCCTGTGGAACACTATCGTTCAGATCTCCTACCGAGACTGTGCCAACGTCGCCCATGATGAAGGATGAGTAAGTGGTAGTTGCAGGGAGGACCTTGAAGTGAGAAAAGGAGAAGAAAAGTCCAGCTTGTCCGAGTAATTCGTCTTTTACTACTTCAAGCAAACGATCAATTCAGTGTGACAGCATCGACAGGTCCATGGCGGGTTGTTTTCATCGTTAGTCCGCACATATCTGATGGATGCAGTCCGGCAACGTACGCAATAGGCAATCGTTGAATCGCAACTCGAACATCTAGACCACTCATTATCCTGTCTCCAGCTAGTATTCGTTTTCGATGCCAAGTTCAGAACGATGCGGTGGCAGACAATTTGATCTTGCAGGACATGCACCATGAGCACATCGAACCAAGCGCAGATCTGGATCTCCAACTCTGTTGCTGCGCTATGCAGTGTAATGGGCTGTCGCATATGCCAGAAGCGGCAAGGTGGTCGAGCAAGTGCCTCGGAGTGTCGTATCTATGTTCGATTGACGCGGCGTGTCGACCATGTGCCAAGGGCCAAGATCCTCGCATCTGTATGGCGATCCCTTTCGATGGTTGGAGTATCAGTGGAGAGTGACTGTTCTTGGACGACGCCTCAGCGCCCTCCGATCCTTCATCTGATAAGAAACGCTTTCGCGCTGCATCAACTCATCATGAAGTCGTACTAGGGCTGCTGTCGTGATAAGGTGCAAGCATCGACCAAGCATTTTGGATGGAGAAGCTCCTCGGTCAATCATCCCTCTACGGTATATTTGCTGTGCCAAGGGAGTGCTCGCAAAGTCGAGCAGATCGTCGTTGGATGTCAGAACCGAGGTTGCTAACTTCTTGGTCTTTCAGCGAACAGTGATGCCGTGCTGGGCCCAAGACAGTTGTAATCGTACATCGAACAGGTATCGTGTCGTCGGTCGATCAATCGTTTCCATCACAGAATTCCTGTTCTGATGGGCTGCAAGAAGTCCGCTCTTTCTGTTCAAGGTCCATATCTTAGGCTGCTGTCCTTGCGCCGAGCGAGAAACCGCCTACCTGGCATCTTTCCAACTTTGTGCGGCTCCTGGTCATTCGTTCGCTCGAGGTTCGTTGCAAGCAGTCGTCGTACATCTCATCTCCGAGCCCGCCCCTTCACCACAAGCGTAGCACCATCCTGCTCAACCCTCCACCCATCCTCCCTCAACGCCCTATTGACAGCAGGACCAAGCTTGCTCTTCCCACCTTCACTATGTCTTCCACGCCCAACAACAATCGAATACCCAGCCTGGCGCTCCTGCGCACCCAGCCTGCCATTAGCACGACTCTCACCGAGACCCTCCCACCACCGCCCCACTTTCTCCCGCGCGATTCTAACGCCATTGAGAACGTCGATGCCGTGCAAATCCAGCTGTGATGCTTCGGATTGAGAATTCGCGAGTTCATCGGCGGCTGATGCAGAGGCTTGCGATGAGAGCATTGCGTAGTCGCGGCCGACTTGGCTGTAGTATGCTGCGGCACCGCCCATGAGACGATCGGATTTGGCTTTTCGGTGGGCTGCATAGGCTTGTGAGAGCGCTGTGCTGCGTGCTGCCGAATATGCGGCAGCCCGTTCGCTCGAACTAGAGTCTGCATCGATATGAAGTTTGGCAATTGCTCGATCCTTCTTCGGTGCGTGCTGCGTGAACTCGTCCTCTGCTTCGACTGGCCTCGCGTAGGATGGGATGATCTGTATGCCTCCCCTAGCAATTTCAGGCTGCGCAGTCAGAGCTTTAGCCAATTCATGCGCCGCTGCTGTCGATGGATGTGTCAGGTGAACAATCGTTCTTGCGTATTCCGTGGCGATTGTTGGAAACTCGACCTCAAGATCATGCGCGTTGACAGCAAGGATAGGGTCGTCTTCAAGGTCTGCTTTGCCTTTCTGTATGCTGTCTTTCAAGACTCCTGCGATCGTTTTGGGAAGAGATGTGCCGCTGGAATAGTAGATGGAGGTGACAGCCTTGTTAGAGAGTCCGGTCCGAGTCGCGATGAACTCGATATCCTGGCTGGCAGTTTGCCATTTGTTAAATGGAGGCGTAGGCGCATACGTTGGCGAGACTGGAAGAGAAGTGGATCGCCTCTCGTCGATGAATGCCAGATTCTTGCCCTTGCCCTTCTTCCTTCTCCCTCGTCTGACAACGTGATCCTCGGAGAACGCATCGATGCCCTTTGGTACTGTGCCGCCATCTTCGCCGCCCTCGTTGAAGTAGACATGGTTGAGCAACTCCTCCATCGCTTTGTGCCATTTCCCATTGCACTTCTGCAGGGTATACTGAACTTTGTGTCTACTCACGCGGTCGTGGAACACTTCTTGCAGCAGCAGTATCTTCGTCTCTTCGTCCAACCGCTCTATCTCTTCAGCCGTGACACCCTCGCTCGATATTGGACTCGACTCCCCGTGTTCCAGATCCAACGACGACAAGCCATTCGACAGACTCGTCAACTCTGTCTCTCGGGACACAGACGCGCTGGTACCTGGGAACGATTCCGATCGAGTCCCAGAAGTCAAGCCTTCATCTTGCGCGCCTGTCCCCGAGGCGTCGAAACCGAACTCTTCTTCCAACAAAGCCGACTCTTTGAGCGGATCGAGAATGTCTCTGGCATTCTGGATTTGGTCTTCGACATTCAGGTCGTAGTCCGAAAGGATCGCAGATAGTAAAGCAGGGTCGAGTGGTGGACCTGAGGTATGTAAGTTAGACTCGTTCCTGCATAACAGGCGGGTAGTCTCCTACTCCAGCATTGAACGTACAGTATTCTGCCTACGGCCGCATGTTAGTTCTATACCATTCAGTATTCTGTTCGCGACACCATACCTCCAATTTAGCAAAGGTATCATCCATCTTCGATATCTGGGTGGAATGTCTTCGAGCCAGGCTTTCGCAAGGACATTATACTCGACTGGGAATGCTGAACATTAGAGATGTCGATCGCGTACTCGAGTAATAGCATGGGCGAGGAGCTTCGAGGAGTTCGGGTCTGGTGGGGATAAAATCGCGGGCAAATAATCATGACGATGGGATAGGCCGTCATTCTCGATTGAGAAAAGCCTGAGAAGCTTGTGATCACGGACAAATTTCTTGGCTTTGAACAACATACGGAGGACGAGCTCTTTTAGGAACCATCGTATTCTACTCCACTCGACATTTTTATCTGCTGGTCTCGGGGTTTCCAGGAACTACTGGAATACAGCTCAACCTTTAGGTGCCCTCAGCAGCCCGCATGACAAACCTCACACCCCCTCCTCACGACGTACCCGCACCACCACCCCCCGACTTCCCCCCACCAGCCTTCGCCGGACTCCCTCCACCACTCGTCCTCGCCCTCTCACTCCCCTGCCCCGTCTCCCCCGTCGACCCCTCCGTAACATGTCCCCTCTGAGCGCCCTTCGGCTGGCTAACCTCCTGGTTCGCCGGACTGACATTCAAAGGGTTATTCGCCTCCTGCGCCTGCTTCAGTAAGCTGTCCAGCTCGACAAGAATATGTCTTTGCTATCACGGTAAACTTACTCCTCCCGACTGTCGACTCGCCGCAGCATGTTCCTCCTCGGGTCTCGTCTTGTCTGCGCTGAAAGCTGCGTCTTCTGTTGCGGCTGCTGCGGAGTCCCCGCCTGTTTTGCTGTATTCTCTTGATTCGGTGTTGATGCGGTCTTTGTCGAGGATGTCTTCTTTGCTGGCGAGTTGTCGAGGGCTGGTCTGGAAGTGACGGCCGGCGATGGCGAATCGATTGAGGGAGGTTCGTTGAAGCAGGGCGCTTCGTCGCATCGTTGATGGTAGCATCTTGTGTGTAGTTTGTAGCACGTCTTCAGGTGTCTGTAGTGGATGAGACGAGGGAGAGACAGTTGTGAATGAGGGAGTGCTGAAAGGTCAATGGTCAAGTGTTTTGACAACTGCCATGTCCGGTAAACGCCATTCGCCATTCGAACTAGTTCATAGTGACATCACCAAGTCAAAACGGAGCCAGATCCGAAGATGCATGTGAGCTTTAGGGCTACGGCAGAGATATCGAGTCGCAACCAAAATAGTAGAGACCCACGAAGAATAATATCACTTCAGCGTTGGGGTGGAAAATACATCTCTCAAGTCGTGATATCAAACTCTATTCCGCGCTAAGGCGCCATCTATCCAATGCTCGAACGTTTGTACGAAACAGATAAGCCTGCAGCAAATACATGCACGCAGATACGCTTAGTAAACCTCCAGCACATATCTCAGCTCCTCCTTGAGCCTCTCGATCTCCTTGTGGCCATCCTTCTTCTTGCCTTCAGCCTTGGCCTCGACCTCCACGGCCTCTTCGAGGACCGAGGTGACATCTGGGACAGGCCAAGTTGGCCCGCACAGGTAGAACGCACCCTCTTCGCGAAGGTAGGCACGTCGAATGTCGTTCAATGTCTGGCGCATACGATCCTGAATGTAGATCTTCTGCGGCTGATCACGGGAGAAGGCACATCCAAGCAGCGTGATGATGCCAGCGTCGAGATATGCTTCCCATTCTTCACCATACAAGTACTCCTCACGTTGGTGACGAGATCCCATGTAGAGGAAGACATCGCCAATCTCCATGCCTTGCTCGCGCTGCCAGGCACGTTCTTGCACAAAAGCACGGAATGGTGCAAGACCTGTTCCAAGACCAGCCATGATGATTGGCGCAGTGCTCTTGGGTGGCAGCTTCATGACGGAAGGCTTGACAGAGACCGTGACAGCTGCTCCAGCAGGCAGAGCGTTGAGATAGCGAGTAGCTTGTCCGAAGCGATCGCGACCCTTTGGATCCACCCAGTTGACAGTAACGATCAACAAGCTGACGCTGTTGGGTGTGACCTTCTGCGACGAAGCGATCGAGTATTCTCTGCGCTTCATCGGCGTGACAATGCGCACAATATCGTGGAAGCTTGGGTGCGCAGACGGGAACTCCAGCAAAATATCAGCGTAGGTGACAGTGTCAACCTCAGCGCGGCGCTTGAACTCGAGAACTGCTTCCTGGTTTCCGCCAGTACCAAGCATAAGGAGTTCTGTCTTTTGATTGTCGTCTGAAGCAAATTCGCTGAGAGCTTCGTAGAAGCGCTTGGGCGGCCTGCCAAAGATGTCGATGTTCTGCAGGAGGGCTTGGTACACAGTCCTGTTCTCGAATACGGCAGGGTCTTCTCGGGATGGAACCTCGACAACTTCTTCAGGATTAAGATCATACCATTTGATGAACTGTTCGATCTCTTCTTTGTCGTTCTCCGCGTGAATACCCAGTGCTTCACCGATATCGTACTTGAGGCCACTATCTCCAAGATCGAACTCAATGTGGAAGATGTTGCGGTCGTAGGTCTCTGGAGTGAGTCTTCGGTGCTCCTTGATATGGACGATCTTGGTGGCGACGCTGAGATCGGGTCGCAGTGCACTAGAGGTGCCATACGCCTCTTTGAAAGCCAGACCTTTGGCAGCGACCTGCCAGTCATGCAGCTCATTCGGTGGATCATCCTCGGCACTGTCAAATCCTGCAAAGCTGTTGACATTGAGGTCTTCAGTAGGAGGGAGAGTCTCGTTCTGCTCCGGCTCGATGGTCAGCCAGCTCTCTGGCACTTCGAATTGCTTGAACGCCGCATCAAGATCCTGCGTAAGAGTATCCAGCGCAGTGTTCGAGGTCTTAAGCTTCCTCAGTCCAGCCTGGTATACGTCCGATCGGGCCACCTTCAAGAAAGCCAGCTGCAACAAGAACGATTCAAGCTCGCTGTCTTCCTCGACCTTGGCACTCTTCGAAGGATCGAGTATCCAAAGAGAAAGACGCTTGGCGGCAATGATCTTGCGGACTGGGCTTGATAACTTCTTCTCCACGTCCTCGTCTTTCCAACCGCTAGATTTGACCAGCACGGTGCCCTCGTCCTTGATATTGCTGAGGATCGAGAATTCCTTGAGAAGCTTCTCATCTCCGATAACGGCAACATCGGCGTCTTTGATACTGTAGGCGGCTTCAATGCTCTTCGAAGAGGTGCGCAGATCGGTCCTGAGAACGCCACCCTGCACAAGGTTGTCATGTCCAGTTCGAACCGCCACATTGAGAGCGCTGTCATCGGACAAAAGCTGGCCAAGCATGGAGGGAGCACTCGCGCTCTTGCTCGAATCCGCATCCCAGAAGGTGTATTGTTTCGTGTCCTTGGCCCACAAAGAGATGGTAGGCTGCGACGGAGTGCCTTCGCCAGGCTTGCTACCAACCTGTCTGAGAAGAGTCTCGATCTTTTCGACAGTCCACACAGTCTCGCGGGCATACTTGATGTCGTATACGCTTGGAGCCTTGCCCGAAGACAAAGAGCCAAAGTTTACAGCAGCCAGCACATCAGCGTACAGGCTGCTGGTGACACTGGGATCAAGTGCACTGGCCTGATCCTGAACTTGTCCAAGAACCGTGATTTGCTGTGTGGTAGGTGGCAATGCGGAAAGGAAGTCTTCCTCGATGAAAGGCCTGTACACACGCACGTTGACCACGCCAACCTTGACATCTCGCTCTGCCAAAGCCTCTGCGATTTGAGCAGAGAGACTGGCCTCGACGGTACCAAAGACAACAAAGACGCTGTTTGGGCTTGTATGGCCATGATACTCGAACGCTTTGTATTCAGTACCAAGCTCGGCGTTGAATGCAGACAGGAGCTTCGAGAGCTTGCCTTCGCTTGTGAAGCGTTTCGACTGCACGTCCTCCTTGATGGAACCCAGCACTTCATCGTACGTCCGTTTGAGGCTTGCCACGTTGAGCACGTCAATCACTCGAGTTGTCTCTCGTCCTACCGTAATTCCATCGTAGGTGTGGACTGTGGGAAGGATGGACGACATGAGAGTGGAGAGCAACGACATGTGCTGAATCTCATACACGCTCCTGCTCGACACCAGTCCAAGGCCCAGATCCTCGGTGAGGCTCAATGCAGAAGCATAGTCGGTAACAAGGCCAGTCTTCGCCTCCGCCGAGTAGTCAACCGCAGCCACCTGCAACGCAGTCGGGTTGGCGACATCGTAAAGCAGGCTCAACTGATCGAGCGCCGATCGAAGATGTTGTAAACTCGCGGCGCTGGCGATGATCGATTGTGGAACATGTCTCTTGCTCAGGTCAAAGTCCGGGCTGAACATATATCCCAAAGCCACCGTGCCCGCGCCATTTCGTGTCTCGTAGCACTGCACGCCTGTGACCTGGTTGTATGCATTCTTCTGCTGGCTCTTCTGCCACGTACGTGCGGCGACGTCGAGGTCGAACGATTCGGGGGAGTAGGTGAAGAGCTTGTCGGACAGCGAATAGGCGACCTGCTGTACCAGCGTCTGCGCCGTCAAGTACGTCGGTCCAGACAGTTGAGGCAGGTCAATGGCCTGTCCGAAGGGTGTTGTTCCAGTCGACGTGCTTGCCGACGTCCCGGCGGCCGACCGGTTCTCGCTGGGCTCGACAGCCATTTTGCGTCACGTGCGGATCCTTTGCTGTTTCCTGTGACGGTAGCTCGCCTGATCTTTGCGATCTTGACTTGCGACAACGACTGAAGGTGTTGGAGATGGCGAAACCTTTGAGCAGAGGCCGACTCGGCGGGCGAAAGGACTGCCCGGCCTGGAATCCAAATTCAAAGCGAAAAGTCGCCACGCCACCTATTCTAGTCGAGCACGCAATTCGGCTCGCAGTTGCCGAGAAATCTTCTATTATTCATCAAGATTTGACCCTGGTGAGAGGGCCCTCGACAACATTCACTCAACACTTCGCTGCGACATGTGACTATTGCACATGCCATTCGAGGAGCGCTCATCGAACGATTGGAGTGCAGGCATTCTGACTAAAGCATGGCTCACGCAATGCGGTAATTTCTGCCAGGTCTCCCGCCGAGAAAAAATGACTACGAGGCAGACTACTCGCTCGTGTCGCATCACATGGATAGCTTGAGGCTTCAATTTGGACAATCGCTTCCGCCCACATACGACGCCTATGCTAGGGTATAAAGTATGAATCCGTCGACGACCCCCTTTCTGCTTGGCCGCCCCTGTTCTCGCCATCCTCAGCCGCTACTCTGTCTCCAACATTGTCCCATAGAATGTATGAAGTGATTGAGCTCAACCGCCAGAACGAAGGCGTGGGGATGTTGTGCTTCGTAGGAGGTGAATCGAGCCCGTTACAGAAGGAAGAGACTCCGACCTGCGATACACTTGAAAAGCTCAGCATGACATGGAACCTAGACTTCTTCATTGATGGACAACACCCTCAGGAAAATCCTAAAACACGGTATTAGTAATGTGAGTCTCGCAAGTAGAACCTCGTTGACACACCTCCAGTGGACCCGAGGTAGCAGACATGCCCGGTGCGTTATTGGCTGCCTTGACCGGTGCAGGCGGCTCTTCGTGTACTGCTACCTTTTCCTCCGCCGCGTCTGCTACCTTCTCTCCATTGGCAGGCTGCTCGACCTTCTTGGCTTCTGCTGCGGTGCCATTTGGTTGCGTCGGCGCAATTGCTGCAGCTGCTGGTGCAGACTCTACCTTTTGCCCAGCTGCTGGAGGAGCGACATTCTCTTTATTTGCTACCAGCAGTGTTAGTTCCAGCACCTGCCGCCCAACTCTGACCCGTACCTGGTGTTTCCACAGTCTTGGGAACTTCAACAGTCGCATCATTCTTGGGCGGTGGCGCCGGTGGTGTGGAACCCTCAATCGCAGAGACTGGCTCTGAGGCAGCTGCGGGCGTTGTCGACGAGGGAGATACAGCTTGGCTGTCTACATCTTGTCCAAGCTTCTGGCTGTTGTCCACCGTCCCTGTCTGCGCATCGCTCTTTTGAGTTGGGGGTTGTTGAGCGCTTGGTGGAACAGACTCCACCGGATTCGTGGGTGGGAGGGGCTTATCGGTGTTGGGTGCACCGCCGTTGGTAGCTACTGGAGCTTGCTGATGAGTCGTGGAGGTAGTGGGCGGCTGGGTCGAGGTAGGAGGAGTTGAGTCTGCAGGCTTGTCTTGCCTCTTCTTGCCGCGCTTGAACAATCCCTTGAACAACTTCTTTACATTGTCGACCGCATCAGGAGCTGCGAAGAGGCAAATGAGGTCAGGGTCACACCATCTGGGAGCTTGCTGGCAGCTGTGACTTACGAACACCTGGCATCGTGGGCGAGTTTGCAGCGATGCTGGCAGAGAGGCGAGTGGCTACCGGTGAATCATATAACAACAAGTCAAGTCGTGTCGAGGAGTGAGGGTGAGAGTAGTGGTAGTGGTAGTGTGTCTGGTCGTTGCTTTGCGCAGGGTCAACAATGATCCGTGCGCCTTCCTCTGAAATGAGAGCAGCAGGTGCGCAGCAGCAAGTCTCACCAGCTGAGCATGCCTGCTGCCATCATTTGGCGCGTTGCTGGCAGGAAGCGAAAGTCCAAGAATAGCAACCTATTGCACAGCTCCAGCTCTTGCACACTTGCTGCTACCGCTGATCCATTCACAGTGACTTCGAGCTGTATGCAGGGTGACAAACGTGAGAACGTGAGAGTGGAGCTTCGGTCCGTCGCGAAGATTGACTAAGCTACTACTCTATCTAACCGACGCAGCACTCTCCTATAATGGAGTGATCTTCGGGAATTAGTGGACAGCGTTTCTATTCCATTCATGGCACGTCTTGCTTGTGCCCTGTCTTCATAGTCATGCGCGAGGCAGCAAGATCTACCACGCGATAGAAGTGAGTGACCCATCTAAAATTGCTTCTGCACATGATCATCGTGGTCGGTCTCTGTTTGCCCAAGGCGCACTTGTGCTTGGTATGGAAGAAGTTCCGTTCTGGCCTGCTGATCGACCTGGAGCAGCAGTCTGCGCCCATGGAGCTCGTGTCGTTGGCATTCCGGTACTTGATTGCATCTGAGGCATGGCAGTTCCTGCCGGTCTCGCCCAAGGCGCTGCCGTCCCGGTCGATGGCACTGGTGGAACGTCTTTGCTTTGCATGGCAGTCGGTTGTTGCTGTGTGTGAATAGATGCTGGGCTTTGCTGTGCTGTCGGATCTCTCTCCCATTTGAACAAGCTTCCGAATGGAAAATGCTGCACGACGGGAAACTTCCCCAGCACCTCTGCAGCATACATCTTCAACATTCCCTTGTTGATCTTGCCCCATCCATCCTTTATTCCGCTGACGTCGTAAAGAACCGGAGAATGCTCCCAGAACGGCCCTTTCTTGACGTCGTAGATGAACTGAATTGCTGAGAAGTACATGTTCGAGTCTTTGAAGTCCTCGACCATCTTCTTGTGGGTAACAGAGGATGGAGAAGGCGCAGACCGCAATGAACCTTCTGTAGGCACTGGCGTTGAGTAGTGGTCGAAAGGAATGGGTGGCCCTAGCTGCGCCGCACCAAAGATGTATGGGAGGAAACTATGGTCGTCGAGTCCCCATACGCCGTGTGATCCCGCTGGTTCCAGCGTGTATGTCAAGATGACTCTTCTTATGAGATCGAGATACCTGCGATTGCTTTTAGCGACACTTGCGATCAATTAAACTCCATCGACTCACGGTTGAATAATGCCAACCACGATGGCTCGCTCTTCACCATCGTTAAAGACACCCAATTTCCACAAACATCCAAGGAATGCGAGAAAACTTAGCTCGTGTCCTGTGCCGTAATCCAGTCGCTGAGCGCTTCCCAGCCCTCCTAACAGATACGCCTCCAATTCATTGCGTAAAGCCTCCTTTTGCTCGTCACTGATGGCGGATAAACTTGGTGAAGTCAAGATATGAACCTGGAGGAGTTCAGAAGCACTCTCTTCTGCCAGCTGGTACCACTTTCGAAACGCGACATTTCCGAATCGTCTCGGCCCTGTGTCTGGGGGCGCGTCTTGAAAGAGATTCGATAAGCTCCGAAGGATATTTCGAACCCTTTGTACGCTTTCTGGATACTTGAATGACGAGTCTAGGACGCATGTCTCAATGCTGCCATCTTGATGCTTTGTTGGAAAGACGACTCGATTGAGTTGAAGAAGCCATTTCGTCAGATCACTGTAAGCCGTCGAGGCAAAGAAAAAGCTCAAGTCATCGCCGTCGTTGATTTTCTTCGAAGGCGTTGCAAACTTGTGCTCGGGGAAGTTATCGACTCGGGCCAGTATTGCTCGAGGTTTGCCGTCAGTCATCGTGTTTCTGTGGCGTTTGTTTTCTGGTCAAGGTCGGGAGATGAAGTGGCGGCTAACGAGCGCGGGAAGAGCCGTAGACCCCTAGCAACGCGAAACTCAAACGACATCACAGGAGAAGCAGACATCGAGAGCAGGTGCTATCAGGTCTTTGCACACCACTTGCGGCTCTCAAACGAGAACGAACACGAGAAAACTGTCGATTCTACGTCCTTAGTCGCTCTGTATGCGCTCGTTTGAGTGATTTCTCCGGTAGGATACGCGACACCGACGCGCGATTCCACGTCGCCAGCGCGACTGCTTCAAAGACACCACCCGGAATGGGCGATTTTGGTCCCGATGGAGTCCCGAGTGCCATTGTCGAGATTCCTGCTCCAGTTCGCTCTACAGGTAAATTGCGACCAATAAAGCGAGGGGTCTTGCCAAACAGCTCGCAGAACGACATGTCAAACAGGCTACGCCGCCTTCAAGGACCGAGGAAAAGCCTCCCAGATCCGTATGATCAGCGGCAGTCTGTGTCGGCAGGTAATCCTCGCATCAGGCTGGATCAACCACAAGATGCCCTCCCAGACATCTCACCCCGGCGCAAAGACAAGCAACGGGAGCCCAGAGCTGGAACAACGAAGAAAAAATCAGGGACATTGGACCGGCTCACCGCAAGAAGAAGTACACGAAATCAGCTTGCTGTGCCAGATGTAGATGATCACGGACAGCCACCTCAAAATACTCCTCGACGCTCGCCACGAAAACATGGAACGGGTAATGGCACACCCGGCACCTCGTCATCCAGAAAGGGACTGCGTCCTCGAGAATCTTTGTCCCAGAAGCAGGGCGTAGAGGACGAATACGACATTGAAGAAGAACCGAACGAAGGCGAAGATCACACGGTTCCCGACGAACATGATGATTTTGCTGAAAGCGCAGATGAGAATGTGCAGATTGATAATCAAGCACCCCAAACGCCAGAGAAAAGACGTCCCGGTCGTCCACGCAAAGTTCCGCAACCAGAGCCTCAGCGAACTCCATTGACAGAGAAGAGGCGCGTTGGTCGACCTTCCGGGTCATCGAAATCGCAATCATCGAAATCAAAACCGGCGGAGTCGGACTCCAGAGTGGCTAGGAAGTCAACGGCAAACAACGAACGCACTGATCGGGGAAGCCAAGCGGCAGCCCAGCGAGAAACAGGAATTGAGACGTTACGCAAATCCCAAGTTCGGTTTTCGGGTGCTACGGAAAAGAATGATCTTGAGGATAGCCCTGATGAGGCAGAACTGGAGACTCGACAAGAGCAGCCGAGAAAGCGGCCCCGAGGTCACGGTCCTCAAGGGGTCCCAGGACGACCCGGCAAGAAAGCGAGGACTACTAGCCTTCACCAACGTGATACTGGTGAAACCTCACAAGCCTCGAGCAACCATGACACGAATGAGGATGAGGAGGTTGAAGACGACGACGAACAAACCGAGGACGCTGATTCACATCAACTGTTTGGCCAGGGCAGGAAATTCAAGGAGATTTATACCAATCTCAAGAACGTCGGGGTAAGCCATAGGAATGGCACATCCCATCGAGCCAATGTAGACCGCAACGACGACGACGTCAAGGCAATTTTGAGGCTTTGCAAGAAAGCAAGAACGAGCCTGACACGACTACAAGACGATCGAGAGAACAGCGAGACCTTGCCAGATCCGCCACGAGAGTTCAGCCAAGTGAGTGGCAACAGTGCCTTGGACATGTTGGAATGGATCCTAACTTTGACTAGATCACGCACAGAATCCAAGGACTATGCGGAGAGAACGATGAATTTCCGACGGACTTTAAAGACCAGGACAAGGCTACTGAGATATATCTCTATGTAATTCCTGCTCTGGTCAAGCTATTGAAAGAGACCATCGAGGCTTACGAGACGATTGATGGGAGAGGCGCACGAGGGGTAAGTCTTAACGTGCCAAAGTCGCACTCTTTAATGTCCGCTTCCGTACTCCTAGTTGGGTTGAGTCGTGAAGAGATATTTACTGACCATGCAATAGGCCTCTATTACCATCGATCACCTCCAGACTGTAATCCGTCTGGTGGCTCTCATTCTACAACTGGGCGCCAGCGCGATGGAATATGCTAGACCGGACTCTGAGCTCTCTGTGGTGAAACCCGTAAAGCACGACATACTAAAACCTTTGAAGGAGGTCCGCGATGGCCTCATAAGATACATCCTCACAAAAGAACAGGACGAGATCAACACCAGACACCGAGCACGAGAGGATGCTGAAATCGCTCGACAACTGCGCGAGGAAGAAGAAGAGCAGGCAAGGCGCAAACGAGAGAATCACATCAAAAGTCTGTGGCGGACCCTCCACGATGAGCGTCTAGATGTTACAGGATTCGTGGATAAAGCAAAGGCCAAGCACTTGCGCATGCCTTATGCCACGGTCGAACTTGATCAGAATGGCGAGCCTTTCGAGCGACTCGAAGTCTTCAGACACCGCATCGGACCGCACCCGGTGCATGTTGAACTCGCAAGGCAACGAGAATGGACTGTCGAACAAGTCCAAGCGCTGCTTGAAGGTCTAAGGCGATATGCCGGCAGACGCGTCTTTCAAGACATCTTCCGTGTATACTGCCGGGGGACAGGCATTCTCTCCGACTACAACGTCACGGAGATTGTGACGATCGCCGCAGATATGAAAGAGCACCTCGAAGAAGAGCAGATGGAGGTGTATGGGGCAATCGACCAGTGGGTGCAGCAAATCCCGGTGTGGACAAACATCCAAACGATGCTAGGGCAGGAGAATCGTGGCACGGCGGAACCGTAGGCATTGGTCGAACAAGGCAGTGTTCAGAAACTCGGTGTTTTACGAACGATTGACGGGACATTGAAGGATCGGGGTATGACATAATGAGACATCAGGTCGTGCAGCGTTCAAGCACCAATCACCCATGACTCCAGTCTTTCATGTCTCTCGCATTCGGATGTCTGAAATGAGTCTCAGTCGCGCTCCGCGGACGGCGTGACATGCCCTCTCTACAAGCGGCATGTACTGACGGCGGTACTTTTGCTCGGTGCTTATGGACGTGTAGGAGTTTATGAATAGCTGGCGGATCATCTCAGCTGTATGCACAACACTCAGCCTTCTCGACGCCTGATGAACGAGCTGACGGCGAGGTTACCTGGTTGGAGTGGCAGTGCAGCAGGCATGGGTGGTGCTTGCCGGCGATCGGAGACGTGACGCCCGCTTCCCGACGCACGCAAGATCAACCGGGTGTGGGGCTGGTCCTTGGCTGTGCAGCCGCAGAAGATCATCAGCAGCAAAGTTTGTCTCGCGTGTGGCGCTTTCATTCAGGAACGAGGTCTTGTGCCTTTCCGACGACTGCCGTGCCCCGGTGGTGGGTACATGGCGCATCTGCGCGAGTGCGTGGGCGGCGGCCAGTGGACGAGGAACGAACGAACAGGAGGAACGAACGAATGAAGGCGCGCCGTGCGCCGTGCTGCACTCCTCGGAGCGAATACGTGCCACCACAGCACAGCAGCCGCAGTGCTGACGGGCCTTTGGCTCTTGTCCTTCACTTTGACTTATGCATGGACGTCATCTCATGTGGCAGCTTGGTACGAGCGAGCCCAGGGGACTCCGCCTGGTCCGAACACCACTCATCTCAGCACAGCAACCAGGCGTGTGCTAAGCAGGCAGGTATAATTACATGTGCCACCCTCGCTCCACGGGCTAGGTGCTTCTTTGACTATCATTCCTCTCTTCTTGGTCTCGTACACGGGAGTTGTTTGTTGACCATGAAGTTCTTGGCATCTTTGGCAGCGTCCACAGCGCTGCTCTCCGCAGCCTCAGGTTCGTCCTTTCACTTGTCTGTCGCAGGTAGAGTGACATTTCACTAACTTCACTTCCTCATTCAGCGACTCCTTACCCGCACAGGGAGGAAGTTGCTGCATTAGTACGACGAGCATTCGCCGCAAACGCACCTCATGGCTACACACCACAGACCGTGAGCTGTCCCTCAGCAACTCCCACAATCCGAAGCGCAGCGAGATTATCAGACAATGAAACGGCCTGGTTGGAAGTGCGCCGAAATGCCACGGTTCAGCCTATGCGCGACTTGCTGGGTCGCATGAATATCACGGGCTTGGATACCAATCAGTATATCGATAACCACCAGAACAATGCAAGCGCGTTGCCCAATATCGGCATTGCTGCGTCGGGTGGTGGTTACAGAGCTATGCTCAACGGAGCTGGCGTGATTCAGGCCTTTGACAGCAGGACACCCAACTCGACAGCTGCGGGACAACTAGGAGGCTTGCTGCAGGCGGCCACCTACCTTTCCGGGCTCTCTGGAGGCAGTTGGCTGGTCGGTTCCCTGGTATCGAACAACTTCACCTCGATCAGCGACATTCTGTCTCAGGATACTTCCGCCGATGACAGTGGAAGCTTATGGCAGTTGGGCAACAGCATTTTCGAGGGACCCGACACTGGTGGTATTCAGCTGGTTGATAGTGTTGGTTACTACGGGGATCTTGTCGATCAAGTGCATGGAAAGGAGGATGCGGGCTTCAACACCACCATCACGGATTACTGGGGCCGAGCATTGTCCTACCAATTGATCAATGCAACCGACGGTGGACCTGCGTATACGTTCTCGTCGATCGCCCAACAGGATTGGTTCACCAGCGGAAGCTCTCCTCTCCCTCTGATCGTGTCTGATGGCCGTAGCCCCGGTCAAACAATCATTTCCGACAACTCAACCATCTACGTCTTCTCCCCATGGGAGCTCGGTTCGGACGACCCTACGGTCTACGGATTCGCACCACTCCAATACGTTGGCACCAACTTCTCATCTGGCTCACCAAGCACAGACCAGTGCATCGTTGGATTTGACAGCGCAAGCTATGTCATGGGAACGAGCTCCTCGCTCTTCAACGCCATCCTGACTACCCTCCAAGGCGTCAACACGACCAGTGCCTTGGCCTCAGCGTTTCAGGATGCTCTTGAATCTATCCTCTCCGACATTGGTCAGGACAACGAGGATATCGCGGACTGGGTGAACCCCTTCCGAGGCTACAACAATGCCACTAACGTCAATGCTCCATACAACAACCTGACCCTCGTTGACGGAGGTGAAGACGGACAAAACATCCCCCTCTACCCTCTCATCCAGCCAAACCGCAACGTAGACGTCATCTTCGCCATCGACTCCTCCGCCGACACGACTGAGACCAGCCCAGCCAACGGCTCAGCACTGAACTGGCCCGACGGCGTCTCCATCGTCCGCACCTACGAGCGTTCCCTCTCCGACATGGCCAACGGCACCTCCTTCCCAGCAGTCCCAGACATCAACTCCTTCTTCAACCTAGGCCTCAATAACCGCCCCACCTTCTTCGGCTGCAACGCCTCCAACACCACCTCGCCAACCCCGCTGGTTGTCTACCTTCCCAACGCGCCCTACGTCTACTACGGCAACACGAGCACCTACCAAATGTCCTACAACGACACGGAGCGCAACGCCATCATCCTCAACGCCTACAACGGCGCCACACAGGGCAACGCCTCGCTCGATGCCAACTGGCCCGCCTGTGTCGGCTGCGCCATCCTCTCCCGCTCGCTGGACCGAACGGGCACAGACGTTCCTGACATCTGCAACCAGTGCTTCTCCAGGTACTGCTGGGATGGCACGACCAACAGCACCGCGCCGGGGCCCTATGTACCCGAGTTCAAGATCTCGGACGCCATGGTCAAGGTGACGAGTGGGGCTTCGGCGAGGTTTTCGGGCTCGGTGGTGATGGCTGTCGCTACGGCGGTGGTTGTTGGGTTCGCGATGCTTTAGAGAAGCGTTGCGAGGGGTTTTGGATGGTGTTTATCGATGAGGATGACGACGGTCACGTTGGATAGATGGGAATTTCTGGATTATGATGAGCGTTACGGCATAGTTATTAATGGATTCCCCCGGTTTAGCCACAGGCTGGGTTGCATGTATGAATTGATGAACTTTCTCAATCACAAAAGCAAAAGAAATCTGAACAAGAACCATCCGCTCCCTCTCCTCCTTCAACAACAAAGCCCCGATTCCTCTCCACATACGTCCCCGCCCAAGCCCTCCTAACAACCTCATCCATCCCCCCACCACCCCTCCTCTCCGGCGCCTCATGAAAAATCAACTCCTCCAGACTCCCCTCCACCACCTCTCCATTCCTCCCCTTCTCCACCCATCCCGGATCCTCTACACTCTCCAACTCCGCGAGTTCGTCAAAAGCCCGCAGGATCGTGCGCATGGGGGTGATTTTGTCTGGAGGGAAGGTTTCTAGCAGGCCGGGGGGCGGGAGGGAGGTGCGGACTAGGGTTGGGCAGACTGCATTAATGGTTATGTTGTGTGGTTTGGCCACGGACGCCATGGAGCGGACGAGGCCCACGAGGGCGTGTTTGCTCGCGGCGTATTGGGGGATTACGGGCTGCGGGTAGAGGCCTGCGGCGGAGGAGGTTAGGACGATTTTGCCGCCGGGTTGGGGTTTGGTTGCTGTGCTGCTGGGGAGGGAGAGGTAGTGGGCGGCGAGTTTGATTCCGTAGCTAGATGATCATTCGTCTTTAGCGGAGTGGACTTAAGGGGTTGGTTGATTGAGTAGAGTATGGGCTGGTGTGGGATGGTGTTGACACGTACTAAGTCCCCGTCAAATTGACATCTATCTACCTCATTCCCCAAATGAGCGTCAACGACCACAGCGCGCACAAAGACACAACACTCACAGTCTTCATACCCGGCCGTCTCGGCGGTTTCTTAGGATCGCCCGAAATCGAATGAAACACATCATCCCGATCATCAATGCCCGCATTCAACGCCACGAAATCCAGCCTCTCATTCCACTCATACGCCCGCTTGAACATGGACGCTTGCTGATCCCAGGAGGAGATGTCGGTTTCGATGAAGAGGGTTTTGTCGAGCTTCTCCTGGGGTGGGTTCACGTCGGCCATGATCACGTTCCAGTTTCTTGAGAGGAGGTGTTTGGTTAGGGCGAGGCCGATGCCGCTGCTGGCGCCTGTGATTATTGCTGTGGGGGGTGGCATTGTTGATGATGAAGAGATGGTGGTAGTGAAGGGTTGGAAAGCTAGGAGATTTTTTTGACGGTCCGTCGTGATACTTGGGGGGAATAGAAAAATCAGTAGGAAAGTTGGCTCTGTGAGAGGATCATAGGGCGAGGTCCTGCACCTTGCCGGCATTGCGGAGTTGGATGCATCTACCGGCTGTATGCAGGAGAAGGAGTGATTCTCCACTCGTCAGCATACCACGTTGTTGACGGAGGGGGCTTTGCTCATGGATGAAGATGTAGTAATAGCTCCGCGAGGATCATGCTTCTAACGTTCTATGTAGCTTCTCGTTAGCAACAGGCTTGTGACAACGTTGGGTCAGTGTACCAGATGCACGGTATGCCCGACTTACTGGGGATATGCGCATCTTGTGGACAACATGATTGTAGAGCAAGAAATCAACCCTAACCTCCCTCATTGCCGTCGTCCCTGCCGCACGTTCCGTAAGCCTTATGACGCTAAACTTCCACATCCTCCTTCACGCCTCCCAAACGATGAGCTTGTGGTCGAAGCCGCCACTGACAAGGACCTCCTTCTCGTCGCTTGCATTCTTAACGACGCCCGCCCACAAGCACCGCACCTTGGTACCAGGCTCATGACCCTTGAGCGTGCTCACAATCTTGCCCGTGCTTGCTTCTATGCCTCTGATCGCGCCATCGTCCCCATTCACCCACACACCGCTTCCGTCCGGTCTCCACGCTACTGCGGGAGTCGAGTAAGCCGTTTGGGGTGCGAGGGTAGTGCAGTGGATCTTGATAGCCGCTGACTCTCGGTCTGCAATGGCCAGCGCTGCACGAGCTTGGGATGCTTGTGTCTCGGTTGGTTGCTCTCCGAGTAAGGCTTGCCTAGTTGATGGAACAGGCGCTGGAGCTGATTGTGGTTCCCATGGAGGGAAAAGCAACGTCACTATGAGCAGCTTCATGTGAGGTATGCTTGAAGTACCCACAGCCAGCAAGCTGGGGTCTGTAGGGCAAAGCTCGAACGATGAAGGCGTGAACGCCACCCAGGCGTTCGAGTGAGGAGCCAGGTTCTGTTTGCCGAGAAGGTGCGGCTCTTCTTCGACGCTGTAGTAGAAGATGAAGCTGGAGTCCGTTCGGCTTGCTAACAGGACCGGTCGATTGTTGTCTGGATGTCGAACAAACAGGATAGCTTCAGGCTTCGATGACATGGGAATCTTTGCCACAGGCTCGCCAACCTCGACACCGGTGCCCAGGTCATTCTTATACAAATTGATTTTGTTGTCCCAGCCTGCTGTGGCGATGTACGTCTCGGATGGGTCGTCTACCAGAGCTGCTATCTTGACGATGTACTTGGTGTGATCGCGGCGTCTCTCCAGAATTCGACCAGCAGGATCACTGACATACAGCTGGCCAGACATTGAAGCAGTAAGGATCCTATCTTTGGCCAGTTGTAGAGATGACAAGACAGGAGCATCGTGTAGATCAGATACAGTCTTTTGTAGGGTCCTGGTCGAAGCATCGAGCAAGTGGAATTTGCGATCTGCTGTTGAGGCATACAGAGTGGATGATGACGAGCTGCTATCGGGTCAGCCCTTCAGGTTCGAATAAGTACAAATAAATTCGATACCCATCATCGTTCTGCAAACTATCCACACGCGCAGAGAGTATATTCGATGAGGTCGGCAAGCCAGTCACTTCATGAGCAGTCGATGGTGCTGCCACTCATTAGCATCTTAACTCCTGATATCCATCATCCGGGAACAGCTCGCTCACCATTCTTCGTCCACGCCTCATTCGAATCTTCCAACCCCAATTTCTCAAACTTGACAGCAACATCGAAATTCTTTTTCTCATCAAGTAGCTTCTCCAGCGTCAAGTCCCCCTTCGATACGTTTCCGGCATCGAAGGGTAGATCGGCCTCTTGAACAAAGGCATCGTATGTCTATATTCTCTTTCGTCAGATGTCAGCGGTGGGAAGGAGAGAGGTATACTCAAACTTACTTCGGTGTAGTTGTTGGCTTTGAGATAGCGTGCCACTATCAAGATCTCGGAGTCGGAGGCTGGCATTCTCTAACAATCGATGTTGATTTTCTTCCTGTGGTTGATGTATGATGGCAAGCTTGGGAGTTGATCAGTTGAGGTTGAAATTGAAGGCCACGACTTTTGTCGGTCCCACTTCGTCACATGCTGCTGCTGCGCTCACAATTATCTGTCTAAGAATGGCTCTCACCATCTTGAATATAGAGAACATGATCTGACTGGATGAGAAAGTTGAAAGGCTCCTGATCCTGATCCGAGGACATGCATTTACCTATGTACAGACCGTTATCCGAAGTCTTTTCGGTTGCTTTGAGCGAACGTTCGATCGGTAACGATGCAAGCACTTGTCTGTCCACCATGCCGGTCCTCGAACGCGTTCTTGGAACGCAATGCCGTCTCGACGCCACCTGGAGCTACACCCGGCCGTTTCGTGAACTCTGACAGGTGCTTGTAGACTCCAACCTTCCCACTGCCCCTGAGCGAATCACGGCGACATTGCATGCCGAGCTACCTTAGGACACTCGACGTTAGAATTGCCAGCGTGAGGAAGCTGGCGTCCTCAATGAGCGCTGTAGGGTAGGTTTGGGCATTCACAACTCGTGGCCAAGTCCCGTCGTTTGGCAGAATGAGATCCTTCAGCATGATCTTTCATCGCTTGGCGCTGCCGGGCTTCGCCAATGGACGTGTATGTGCGTTCGTGCCTCGCTGCGGTCGATTCGCCATAACGAGCGGCCTCCTCTCCTCGCCCATCTTCTTCTCAGGATCGTTCTGACTTCCAAGCTCTGGTATCTGCCTCCACATCTTGGGCCATACTCCAGGCGCTGAGCTCCTGTCTAGGACCACATTGTCGACCATGAATCTGCCCAAGAAGTTCTTGATCACGTTATGCCACCAGGTCCCCTCATATTTTGCAGCTTCTCCAGTGTGCTCGGGTACGTACTCCAGATTTGACAACCCTCTTTTGAAACTCGGCCTGTATTTCCTGAGCAGACCAAACTTGACGTCTCTTTTCGTCGGCCACGGCAAAACTCTCATGCACTCGATCTGTAATTGAGTGTTGCTAGGCGTGTTGTCCGCGAACTTCAACAATTCCTCCTTAGACGTTCGAACACTCGGTGGAAGACGGACTTTAATGGAATGCACGTAGGGCCCTGTGGCTAGCATCATGACCACCATTGGGACGGCAGATCCTAGGACGAAGGGGACAATCCATAAGCTTGAGTGGTCGGGCGAGAAGTAAAAGTTTGTCGCGAAGAGGCAGCCTATGGGAAAGCTGCAACATTTCCTGTGTTAGCCAGCGGCATACAAACTACAGTTCGAGGTACCAACATGACAATGGTCACTATTCGAAAGAAGCCCATGAAGAGGGTTTTGGGAGAGCCGGCTCGGTAGACATTGAGGTATTCCGGGTACTTGAAGCCTACATATCGTAAGTTGTGAAATCGTAGGGGTCGCGGAATGTACACACGAGGAGGTTTACCAGCCTGAACAACGACTGTGCTCTTTGCCCGAGAAGACGACCAAGTCTTGTTCGCATCGGTCCATTGTGGGCATGGAACGGCCAGCAAGGGTCCATGAACAGCAAATGCTCTCTGGATCAAGGGATTTGGTATGCGACAGACGGCATTGAGCCGCAAGGCAGTGGGCGACAACATCACATGGCAGCTGGTTGCAACAGGAGGAGAGAAGACGCGACTGTTGGCCGCGGAGGAGGAGCTCAGTCGCTCGGCTTGGCTGGCTTGGGATTGAGCAGCATCAGAGTTCACGGCGACGTGGCTTCTCGCTTCTTACCACCAACAAGTCAGCTACCATGATACGATAGCAGCGCAGGATAGCCGATAATCGAACATGAAGCTCTTCAACGCCGCCCTCCTCCTGCCGGCCGTCATCCGCGAGACATTGGCATACACGGCCCTGTCCGACTCCACCCTCCGCTCATTGCCCGGCCCAGGTGACAATTTCGATATCAACAATGGCGCACTGCTCTCTCCGATCTTGATTCCACGAGTACCGGGTACTGAAGGGTCGCTTGCTGTCCAGAAGCATCTTACCGAGTTCTTCTCCCAAAAGCTGCCCAAATGGAAGGTCACTCTCCAAAACTCGACGAGCGTAACGCCTACGTCGAATGGTAAAGAGGTGCCGTTCGCAAATATAATAGCCACACGCGACCCACCATGGGCACACGGCGACGGCGATGTCAGTCGTTTGGCCCTCGTTGCGCATTATGATTCGAAGTTGACTCCGAATGGATTCATTGGAGCAACTGATTCGGCAGCACCTTGTGCTATGCTGTTGCATGCAGCGAGGACGTTGGATGAGGCTTTGACCAAGAAATGGGAATCCATGGATGCTCAAGGAGATGTAGACGATGACGGGTTGGAGGGTCATAGGGGGATTCAGATACTGCTACTGGATGGAGAGGAGGCTTTCCGGACGTGGACCCATGATGACTCTTTATATGGCGCGAGGTCACTCGCAGAAGAATGGGAAGCATCTTCATACTCTGCGTGGAGTGCATACCACTCGCCGCTTTCCACAATCGAGCTGTTCGTACTACTTGACCTGCTGGGAGAGGAGAACCCCAAGATACCCTCCTACTTCAAGACCACCCATTGGGCGTACCAGAAGATGGCGGAAGCAGAAAAGCGACTTCGCGAGCAGAAGATGTTCAAGAGCTCTCCAAACCACCCGTCTAAGCTCAAGGAAGGCGAAGCTCCCAAAGGCGAGCCAATGTTCCTTCACGAGGGCGGTAAGAAAGACACCGATCGGTGGGCCGGCGGCTTCGTCGAAGATGACCACCTTCCATTCATGGCCCGTGGGGTAGAGATTTTGCATCTCATCACTTCACCATTCCCCCGTACATGGCATACGATGGACGACGATGGCGAGCATTTGCACATGGACACCGTTGAGGACTGGGCCATGCTCACCGTCGCATTTGCTGCCGAATGGATGGATCTGGAAGGGTTCTTCGATGCGGGCAAAGCACAGCCGGTGAAGAGGAATATCGATGAAGGCAAAACTGAGCTGTGAGTCTACCACGCTCTGCAAAGCTCACAAGACATTGAAGCTGATCCAACGTAGAGAACATAATGCGATTTTGTGAAGTTCTTCTGTATAGACTGTGGATTTCCAACATCGCCATGCTCGTTTTTTGCGAGTGAAGAAGGTATCCCAATGGCCATGACACCGCGTGCATTTCATCTCACGGACACGGAACGCGGTGGCGACTCTGTTTCGTCCAGTGTTGAGAAGGCTGCAAAGTCTCCAAGAGGACGAATGTGAGAATGAAGCGCGCCTTATTAAATATCAAGACGTCAAACAGTGGTTGGATGGAAGCTTTAGGAAGGAGCGCGGTACTACGGATCTCCAACTATCGACCAGCCTGAGCTTTACAACACCTCACACAGGCGCTTCAACGACGGTTCTGTGCCGGGGGGATCGAATAAGCTCGGTTTTGTCAACCTTCTTTGTCATTGAGAAATGTCCTGTTGTCGGGGTCACGCCGGATCCGGTCAAGCAAAGGTCCCCCATTGTCCTTTGCTATTGTCAAGTCCAGATGAATACTGGTCAACGGCCCCCGTCTCCCTCACCATGTCGAACGTACACTACATTCTATCTGCACCATGGCGCGGACACCGACCAAGTATAACCCACCGCGCAAGTCTGGTCCTCCACTGGGACACCGCCGCACGCGGTCGGCCAGCTCGTCGCCTCAACACCATTCATCGCCAATCCGGAGGTCAAGACCACCTCATCATGCATTGCCCAATCCAGGCAGGTCACCGCGGACTTCTCCTAGACATCGGACGCCTCCAAGACCGCGCCTCCCCAGGAACGCGCCAACCCCAGAAGAACAGCTACAAAGCGAGTTGGATGCCTCTCTCTCTACGCCAGATTTGAGGCAGCCAGGGCCTCCACTCGGTCGTCAATTGTTCCCTCAAGCGCCTCAAGCAGAGGAGAACGAGGATGAAGACGCTAACGCCAGTGTCCGCACTCCTTACGATCGTTCGCCGTCTTATGAGGACACTCGAATCACAGCACATGGTGCCTACGAACGTGACCCCAACGGACCATACCCTAACGATCCGCCTTCACCACCACCAAGACGAAGGAGCTTTTCTCCTCCGGAATCCGTACCGTCGCCACATTGTACAGGATCACAAGCACTCACAGAACCCCCTCTGCCAGAGCAAAGCCCCGAAGAGAGGGTCGCGGACCTGGAGCGGGTGACAGAAGAACAAGACGAAGAGATCACACGCCTTGAAAGCGAGGTTCTTGAACTGCGAGATGAGAGAGACGAGTACTTGGCCAATTGGGCTGAAAGCAACGAAGAGAATGCTCGGCTCTGGGCGTGGTTGGAGAATATAGATACAGAACCTTCTGTCTCTGAGGAAAAACGATCCAATTCTGAAGAGGAACAATCTGGCCCTGACTGGCGCATCGCAGAATTGGGGGCGGAGTTAGCCAGGCTTCGGGGGCAACATGATCGAGACATAGACGCGATGCGAGACGAGCTCCAGAGGGCTCATGAGGCGATAGATGAGGCACACGCCCAAAACGCCCGGCAGCGCGGAGAAATCGTTCACTTGAACGAACGAGTGGGCACGGCCCGCGAACAGCTAAACGAGCTCAACCGTGCAAACGACGGCCTACGGGAGCAACTGGATGGGAGCGCGGCTGTCAATAGGAACCTTCAGCGCCATCTTACCGAGAGAGCGAACGAAAGAGACAACATCGAATATGAAAGGCAACAAGCTGTAGGTCAGCTGCGGGAGGCTGACGCGGAAATAGAGCGCCTGGAAGATAGAGTTGCTGAGCTCGAAGGTGCAGCAGATGGTGTCGTGGCCGAAGACCAACTGCAGGAGAATCCTGTGCAGACTGATAGAGTGTTGAGACGAGAGCATGCCTTACTGCAAGGTTTACTTGAAGCGGCTGATGCGGATAATGCACAATTGTACGCACAGAACGAGCAATTGACGCAGCAGAACACGGATCTGACGCAGCAGAACACAGATTTGACCGCAGAGAATACACAGTTGCGGCGCGATCTGGAATTGTCCGAGCAAGAACGCGAAGAGTTACGAGAGGTTCGGGAGGAATTCCAGGATGAGGTCGATAATTTAAACCAGGTGATTGCAGACGATCATGAGGAACTCGCCCAGCTGCGCGTGCAGAACACCGATGTGATGCAGGTAGTGCAAACCCGGGGCGACACGATCCAAACGCAAGCAACTGCCATTGAAAACCTTGAAAACCAGTTGCAAGACGAACGGAATGCGGCTCAGGTCCTGCTCGCTGAAAGGACGCAGGAGAGGGACACGGCGGAAATGGCGAGGATCAATACCCAGGCGCAGTTGAACGAGGCTCAAAACGCCCTGGCTCTTACGCGAGCGAGGCTGGAGTGGTTGGAGGCTGGGGGCGAGGGTGATCCTCCTCCTCTGCCGGAAGTTGAGCAACCGGCTCCAGGTGGTGAAAACGATGGCGATGGGGATCAAGACCCACCGGAAGAAAACCCAGAGCCTGCGCAGGACGATGACGGGGTGGACGATGGCAATGCTCCTGCGGCTCGTCCACGGCGTCGACCTCCCAGGGCTTTCGTGGAATTTCCACGCTTGGCACCTGAAGACATCGCCGGATACGCGCCCGGGCATGGACCAGGACCACCGTCGCCGGGAGGAGATCAGAATTCACCCGATCGTTGGAGCAGCGCTGAATACCAACCCTCTCCTCGAGCAAGACGCGGACGAGGAAGAGGTCGAGGTCGCGGTCGTGGCGGAGGAGATTCAGGTGCAGGCGCGACTGGTGGAGCAGGAGTCGCGAAGAGACCAAGAGGGCGGCCTCGAGGGCGCAAGAATAAGAGAGGAAGGGGAGGCAGGGGAGGCGGAGGCGCAGGCGCAGCGGCTTGAGAGTGTGTAATCTTTCTTCAGACGCATTCATGATTTGCAATGAAATTAATGATCATAACTTGTTAAATTATTTGATCTCTACATCTCAATATCCTCTCTGGTGATTGACCTCATTGATAAACTTCGACCCGGGCGGTTTTCGCAGATCCTCTAACAGAATCGCCAGTGCTCTTTCCGTGTACTTGAAATTCTGCGAACTGCTATGCGGAGCAATGAAGCAATTCGGCGCATCCCAGAGCGGACTGTCAGGAGGAAGGGGTTCTGGGGTCTGAACATCGAGCGCTGCTCCTCGTACCCCTGAGCCTTCGGTCTTGAGCGCTTCGATGAGCTCGTCTTGGACAATGACTTCCCCTCGGGCCAAGTTTGTGATGAAAGCCCCGCCGTAAGGACTATGTTTCGCGAGAATGTCGAATTCTTCCCGACCCAGCATCCCTCGAGTCTTGTCCGTCATAGGCACGACGACGACCAAAATATCAATCCCCTGAGCCAGGAAATGGTGCAAAGCCGTCCTGTCCAGTCCGTGATACCACGCTTTTGGAAACTCCCCCTCCGGATCCCCCGTGCCAGGAAGTCGATACCCCGTATCCCTCCTCGACTCGGTCGTCTCCTTGGCCGTCGCCGTGAACGCCACAACCTCCATACTCATCGCCGTCGCCACCTTGGCTATCTGCCTCCCAATACTCCCATACCCCAGAATCCCCATCCGCTGCCCCACAAGGTCCCTTTGGCCCATCGCCTCAAACTTCATACTCCATTCTTTCCTCCGCTGACGCTCCCAGTTCTCGTTCAACGCTTTGCTGAAGGCCATGTACGTCATCATCGTCCACTCCGCCATCGCTGGACCGTGGATCCCGGTGCTATACGTCCAGCGGATGGAGGGGTCCTTGAAGAGTGGCGAGCGGGAGACATAGTCTGTTCCTGCCGTGAGAGCGTGGCAGAGCTTTAGACGGGGGCAGACGGTTTTGGAGGACGGGAGGGCTGCTATGGTGGCGATGATGTCTACGTCTGCGAGTATGGATTCGTCTTCGATTTTGAAGAGGGCTTGGGTCCATGTTACTCGTAATCCTGTTTCTTGTTGTAGTCGTTCGACCAGAGCCTTGTCTTCGGGTAGCGGCCAGAAGATCATGAGATGTGCGCCTTGCCATTCTGGCGAAACCCGCTGGGCCATTGTGCGAGACTGAGTTAGTATCAAGAGAACGAAGTGGAGGAAAGCAGTGGAAGAGAAAGGGCAGTGTGCTAGAGATGGGGCGAGAACGAGGTGTCATCATGATAGGAAGATCCTGCGAGTGCGGTTCTCGCAGGGCTTACTCTGACTAGATGGTAGGTACGTTATGGTATCGTGGAGTCGGCTATGAACCGGGCGGATACCTCGTTTACGATTCCTCATTGCGAGTTGTAACCAGAGTCAGCTCTGTGTCGTCAAGAGTCGGATGTGGTAGAGCGAGACTACTGGACAGAAGTCGCCGTGTGTCAGTGGTCAGAAGTAGCGGTTGAGATTCTGTACTTCATCAACACCTAAATCCGTTTTTCCTCACCAAAGCCCATACACTCGAACAATGCCGCCGCGTTCCTCCTCGCACACATATGCGACCTCTCAGAAACCATCGCCTATATCGACAACGACATCAGCACCCCCGAAACCTCGTCAATACGTCGCTCCCGAAGAACGAATTTCCAGATATCCCAAATTCCCGGAGCCTGAACCTCCCAGCCCTCCCAAACGAAGCCTCTTCTCCTTTATCTGGCCGTTCGGAGGGGCGAAAGCGCAAGAGAAAGTAGAGACAATAGACTTTGGCAAGCAGAATCTTACTCGAGGCGTACAGGCATCCCAGGATGTCGTGAAGACGGGAGCCCTCAATCCACGATACAAGTTCGTCGCAACGCGGCTTACTTTGGCTATAGCGTTTACGCCTGTTGCTATATATCTCTCATACGAGCTCTACGAGCGCCGTTTTAATGGGAAGGAGCAGAAGCCGTTTCCGATGCACAAAGTCAAGGCCCCTGAACAGGACACCATAACCACCACGAATGGATGAAATGCTATTGAGGAACTGTCGATTCACTATTCTCTAATGCCAGGGACAAGTACGCCAAGCTAAAACGCGTCATATGGTCGCCCTCGCTGTCGTGGAGCATTTGTGCCCCCAAAGCCCTCCAGAACCTCCCTCATCCAACCCCAATGCTAAACGACCATCCGGACAATGCATTACCAAGCGCTGTGGCCACCATCGATTCGAAGATCGGACGCCGTCATGAAGCTGGAGGCGTCGGAGATCAAGAATACTGCCGCGCCCCTGTACTCTTGCGGAACGCTGAGCTTTCCGAGCATATTCTGGGTTGGCCAATCGCGACGTCTTTCTGGGTATTGCTCGAAGAGAGCCTCGACCATGGCGGTGACGATGTAACCAGGCGAGATGGTGTTGACACGGATGCCGTGCTGACCCCATTCAGAGGCAAGGTTGCGGGCGAGCTGGAGAACACCAGCCTTGGAGGCGTTGTACGCTGGGCAGATGAGACCCTAAAGCAGGAACGTTAGCTGAATCACAAGTGGGGCAAGAGCATATTGTTAATTGGACTCACCCTGTTGGCAACAGTGCCACTCATCGACGCAATGAAGGCCATGCTGCCTCCACGGCCGTGCCTGATCATCTCTTTGGCGACTGCCTGGGCTGTCATCAGGACACCTGTGATGTTGACCTCGAACATGGTGTTGGCATCCTTCTGGGTGTACTCCAGCGCCGGGGTCTCCTGCTGGATACCAGCCGCTGCAACAAGGCCATCCAACTTGCCCTGTTGCTCTGAGATACTTCGAATGACCTCGTTGAGTTGCGGCACGTCTCGGACGTCGATTTGTCGGTAATGGAGCGTAGTACCTGCGAGTGTCAGCCAAAGGTGCTTACACGAGCAATATGGACTCTGCGTACCAAGTTCTTCTGCCGCCCTCTTCTGCACGCGGTAGAAATCAGGACTTGGCTCAGAAAGTCGGTCAAGAGCATACACAGTGGCACCAGCTTCCAGAAGAGCCTCCGCTTGCACGAGACCAAGACCTCTTGCTGCACCAGTAACCAGAACAACTTTGTCGTTCAAGTTGAATTCTGGCAGACGCTTGGTGGTACCAAGGTACGAGCCAGACTTGAGGTTGTCCTTGAGCGCAACGGCCTCCTCTCGTGGTGGATCTGGAGGGTCACGACCAACAATCGGCGGGTTACCCTGTGGAGGGTCGTGAAGGTCGTGCTTGAGACGGCATTGGAGCAGAGAAACTGTGCGAGGGGCGATGTTTGCTGAGCGGAATGCTCGTGGAGCTGTCCTGAGCAGAGATGCCATTGTGTGTGTGTGTGTTTTTTGTTCAACTTTTTGAGAAAGTTGTGTGGAGGACGGATTTCAAGCTCCAGAGAGCTTTACAGAGCTTCGGGTGTATGGGAAAGGATCTGGGCTGACACAACGCAACGACAATGGAGTGCGAGGGAGGAGGAGGAGCGAAGGGGAGGAAAGCACACAAGCAAACAGGAGCGTGATAGGTTTTTGTAAGACCTAGCAGGAAGGGAAGGCGGTGGCTTTAGCCCATCCAGGTCTGTCACCCGCACATTGACTTCGAGGCCGTCTGCCAGTTCTAGAAAGTCGAGCGGGTTCTGGCTTGGTTCCTGGGCAGCTCTCACACAGGGACAACAGACAGCAGGTGGAAGCTGGGCCGGCAGCGCGTGGTACTGCTCTGCAGCAGCAGCAAGCTTTACTCACCACCAGAAGCCGATCGTTCTTGCCCCACCTTTCTGTGGTCAAACGGATTGCTCGTTCTGGCAATGCCGGTCTCACCCCACCAAGGGCAACCAAGGGTTTCCGTCTTGGGGAGTGCAGCAGCTGGAGGCGTTTTTCGCGAACGCACGTGCGTTTGGTTGTTCGTGTCGAGGTTAATTGAGCAGTCTGGATCTTTTTTGAGGAAACGTATCATTCATCTCGCCGGTTCGTTCGGTGCTTTTCACCGCCATCTTTTCTCGGGCCTCCAACATGTCACTCACCATCGAACGTTGCGAAAGGAAGTGAGAGGGGATGCTCTGCTTCGAAGAAACAGCGCCGTTGAGATTTGACATTACTCTCGCATGACTAAAATAGGGGATTTCTGTTATTGGGCATTCTGTTGAAAGCGATTCTCGCAGGTTCCCGCCTGCTGCTTTTCCATCATCACCTCCATTACTTCGGTACCACGTAAACGCCGATTGCTGCGAGTCAAAGTCAGTACGATTCAAAAGCGTTTTGAGAGGCCACTCACGGCAAGGGTTGTAGTCCTGAAAGAAATCAAGAACACCATTCCCAGTCGTATGGAACCAAATCCCAATCGCCTGACCCGCTGGACAAGGAATGGAAGCAATGTCGTAGGCATTTCCTGGAGACAGAGAGAAAGATCCGTAATCCGTGACGACCTTTGGAGATGTCTCGAATGTAGTCCATTCGCTGGCTGGGCCGTTGAGGATGGCGAATTTGAAGACGCCGTCGCCGCTGTAGGTGTACGCTGATGTCTCCAAAGTGGATTGTTCTGGGAAGAGGAACTGGATCGAGCAGGTCTTGCCTTGGGTTGAGGTGGGGATGTCGAAGTTGAAGATGCTGGAGATGGTGCCGTGGGCGCTGCCGTTGTCTGAAAGTGGCATGTCAGTATGTCAACTATCGCCGTTGCGGACGTGCTATCCCTGCGGGCGACACGTACATTGAGTCCCGTAACATGTTTTTGGATTGGCAGAGTCGATTGGGATGATCAAGTGCGGGAACTCGTAATCACCCACGGCAGGCAAGTCTCTGGGGCACTTGCTTGTTGGTGGAGGCGGCGTGGGCTCTGGTGCTGGTGGAGTTGCCTGGCAGTTGTCTGCTTGGAGCCTGCTATTGTCAGAACGTTCTCCAAGGTGGCTGTTACATCTGCGTTTGACGTACCAAATTGGCACACATCCCTGCTGATTCTCGACGGGCTGGTCGTAGATGTTGAAGTCTTTGTTCCCGTTGCTTGGGCACGCATAGAATGTCGTGTCGTCGTGGTACGAGAGTGTGCCGTCGGAAGTGATGGAGAAGCCTGGCGTAGGCGACGCTCCAGCATCACATTGCCACTGGGTTGTGGGAGGAGTGAGAATACAGCCACGACCCTTTGCGTCCGTGAGGCCTGGAACACATCAGCGTTGATCATTGTTCGGTCGAGGTGAACATACCGCCGTCTGCAGTCAGACAGTATTGGCCTTCAGGAAGACCGTCCTGCTCGATTCGATTCTGGCCATCGTCAAGTTGAACGACCGGACCGCTAGGATCTCCAAAGGCATCCAAGTGGAAGCAGCTGCAGCAATGTAAGTAACTTCTCGCACCATAGACTATCGATGGGCTTACCATCCTGTCTCTCGGGTTCCCAGACCTTGCGAGAGAGTGGCCAGAGCCGCAATGACACTGCTGTACTTCATGATACCTGTGACTCCTTGATATGGTCGTAAATATAGTCGTAGTCAATGTTCCTATCGTATGTATGTCGCAATTGAAACCAAGTATAGCGAGATGGAACGTCGCTTTAATACAAAGCCGCCCATGAATGTTTCAGCGGCACAACTTGATTTAAACTGGAATGAAGAACACCTGCGTAATGACCGAGTCACTGCTTCTCGAGTTGCACATCCTCCCTTTGTTCAAGACCGCCATTCCAACATCTCTAACTTTGCCCAGCTCGGCCCACCACGGAGGTTTGACCCTCTGTTATTGCAAATGTGTGCTATGTTGGACTTGTTCGTTGTGGCACAGAAAGTGGGTCTTGGTCAGGGCGGCATCTCTACGACTAACGATGGTCTGCATGACTCGTTGTAGATGCCCACAATCGGACTCCCTCCGAAGACGCTGCGATGTCGTGGCACTGTGACTAGCTTGCGATGTTTCAGGTGGAAGAGAAGTCGAAGTCGGTTCACAGAGATTCCATAGCAAATCGTTATTTATAACCGAGGAAGCGCCAGGGGACGGGAGGGTGGGCATCGCCCCGTCTCAGGAGCCGCCGCACGGAAAAGCTAATGACCGTTCTGGCTAACGTTTGACTCCCTCCGCCGCTCTGATTCGCAGTCGCATCCAGTACCCCTTGACATCACATGAGACTGCACATGCTATGATGTTGCTCAAGAAAGAGGTGGCTGAGGGAATCGCTGCGGCCTGCCATGCCACGTTCTACAGCCCTGGGCATAAACGTTAGAAACCCCTGCTAGCGTCTCACGAGCAAATCTCGTCCGTGCAATCGAGCATTGATAGTGTGTGTGTGAGTACGTCGACCGTTAGGCTAGCAGGGGTTGCTAACGTTTATGCCCAAGCCTGTAGAGGCCGCCCACCCTCCTGCCATAAAAGCTCATAACCATCCTGTATATTCAGTTGGTTCATTCACCAACGTTTTGCGCAATGACAACCAATTCATCATTGACCTCTCACGGAACTACACAAGCCACTGGCTGGACCCCATCACCCAATGTCCGTGGCACATTCGACATTATCTGGACTTGTCTGCAGACTATTGCGCTTTGCGCATGGACCTCCATCTGTGTTAACCTGCCTTCACAATATGACGGGTCATCGGAAATCATGAGGGACAAGTTCAACTTTTTGCTGTTGAACCTGCTTAGTCCGGATCTCGTCTTCCTTTTGGCTTATCTGCAATTGGAGTCCGCTCGGGCGTCAGTGACGCGTTTCAGGGCTGACGGTTATCACGACTGGACAGTGACGCACGCTTTCTATGCCGATATGGGAGGATTTGCTGTGCAGGCGCCGAACTGGAAGCGTTTTCCGGTGAATGCGAGACAACTCCACTATCTCGTTAGCAAGAAATACATAGAGTACCCGTTGATACCTCTACGAGATATCAAGGCTAAAGCGAAGACTGATGGACTTGGGAGGTAAGCTACTCTTGATGCAAGATGCTTCGGCAGCTAATGGATTCAGGGTCATAACAATTGGTCAAATTGTTTTCTTCACAGTCACAACACTTGGGCGAGTTGTACAACACCTTGCGATCACGACTTTGGAACTGACCACGCTGGGCTTCGTCCTCTGCACGGTTGCAACCTCGATCTGTTGGTGGTACAAGCCGAACGACGTCGAAGTTGGTCATACTTTGACCCTTTGTACAAGCATTGATGAGATTTTGCGCCAGGCTGGCAAAGATGCAGACGGTGCTTACCGAGACACCCCTCTGGACTTTGTAGCACCAAACAGGTGGGCTGGAAATGTAATCTGGCCATACTGTGTGAACACTTTACGACAGATCGGCCTCTTTCCCGACAAGCACAAATCCCGCCCGCTCCAGAAGCTTTCGTCATTCAGCTTCCCGAAGCCACCGTCACGCTACACTGAATTGCTTGTGCTTTGGCTAGGGCTCGCATACGCAGCCATTTTCTTCGCGGCATGGAATTTTTACTTTCCAACGGAGGTGGAGTGCCTGCTATGGCGTATCTTCACCACGATGCAATGTGTGTTGTCAGCAGTGGTCGGCTTGCTCCAGGTGTGCCGCTACACATTACCAGAAAAGTCCCGAAAATTGGATGCAGAGGCTGCAAACGTGCCACATGGCTTCTTCCATGAAGTCTGGAACAAACAACTTAACAATTCCATCAGCAAGCACCCGTTCTACAATGTCCCGCTACGCTCTCTACTTCTGACCATGCCGCTATGTGCGGCATATTGTATCTGCCGGTGGTATTTGCTTTTGGAGGACATTATCGGTCTGCGCTCAGTCCCCTTGAGTGCCTACCAGACGGTCGATTGGAGCCGATACTGGCCATCATTTTAGTGTACAAAGAGAAAAAGGCTTGAAATGCGAGGAGAATTACTCAAGCTCTACAACTCCTACTCTCACAATGCTTTCTACAGAAGAACTAGAAGTGGATGACCCTCCACCTACCGGACAGCTCGAAAATCCCACAAGCATTAAAGTTTGATATTGCCGGCCCTCAGAGTCAGCTTCAGAGCTCCAAATCTTCAAAATCGTCCAAACTTTTCAAATTGATCAAAGTCAGCAAAACAAGCTAATGCATAATTAGCCGGCTTGCGACCGGCTTTTAGAAGTCTAACCGCAGGCTTCGAACGTCAGCTTGCCCCGCCCTTTGAGACTATATTATATGGAAGGTTTCCAGCCGTCCCGCTGGCCTCAGTAGTAGACCAAAATCTGGCAACGACTCGCGCATTTTGTTATAGTTGCAACGCGTAGAAGAAGGAAGCGTTAGATACATTGCTGTCGCTGTAGTCGAGCAAGGCTGGTAACACTGACTATTTGCTAGTGCTCCTAAACAAATAGAACACCACATGAACGAGGACCGCGAACGCTACTATGCCAATGATACGGAAGTAGCTTCCTCGCTCATGCTGTACGACTAAGCTGCGCAGCTCTTCGAGCGAATCGATGCAACGAGCCTCTGCGCCCCTAGAACTTGTTAATCACATGCCGCATGGACTTTCGACTTCTATACCTTGCATGCGCCGTGTCCAAATCCATGTGTACTGATGCCCTCATGATGTGACGCATACGGTCGTTGTCCAAGACCGTACTTGTAGCGGCATCACGAATCTCTCCCGACGGTAATTGCAGGACCGTAGCGATGAAGAGGCGTGCACCAAACTTTTCGTGGTCGCGATCCAGAACTGTCTTAAAGAATGACAGTAATTCCTCGGTGTCTTTCAGGAGTAGCGGTGGAAAGCGAAGTGGATCCAACAGGCTCTTTAGTCCCTCCACACGGCGAGCAGTGTCCAAAGAGCGAATAGGTTCGAAGAAATCGGTGGATCTCAAAACTTCTTGGACTTCATGGCCGAGGGTGTTCGAGCGCAGCGAGCGTAACATCGTTCTGGCTGTGAAGTTGGAAAAAGAGACAAGCCACAGGCGGGCGAGTTGCGACTTAAAACGCGAGAGACTCACACGCCGTGCCCGCTTCCAAAACTTTGCTCGCGCTGTGAAATGGGTACCACAGCATAAGACCCTGCATTTACGGCATTGATAATCAGCCATCCAACACTGTCATTCGGGCAAGCCGTGAACTTGAACCTAGCGCCCGAGCTAGTCTGTGTAAGGAGCACGAACTTGACTTCACTTGCTCACCTCGTTCGAAACGGATCCCAAGATTGTATTCAACATCGCTCACGAGCTTTCCGAACGGATAAATGCCCCTCATGAATAGTTTCAAACACCACAGCTGCAGATTTTCGCAAACCATTACAGAGAAACCACCGCCCAAATCTAGATTTAGACAGCAGCGAAGGTCGTCAACATCTTTGGCTGCACAAGACAATCCATGATTATCGAGTCGCGAGATTTGAGCGAACAGACACTTCCTGTGAACTAATTTCGTAATACAAGAACGTTTTACACGAAATGATATATCAATCTGACGCGTACAGAAAGGGGGTGGATCCAGCTCTAGCAATTCCTTTCTGTGTCGGACATCGGTCTACACAGTACTGACACATTCGTGGCTCACAAGCGCATTGCGATTCAAGACGCTTACGGACACATCGATTATGCGTCGTTGGACGTGAGTGACCGCCATGCTGAAATCGACATACAAATGGATTGACATCCGCAGGAAGTCGGACCTTCGCGAACTGAGTGGTTTGACTCGGCAGAGCAGTGCAGCCACTAACGATCTCTCTGCAGTCAGACTGCTACACGCAGAATTGCTTCTGATCGTTGCAGGCTATATACGATGCCATGAGCGGAGCATGCAAGCTACAGAGCCCACCGATAGGCAGTCGATCTGCACTATTTACGCAGCACGCTTGACGAGGCTAAGTCAGAAGTGCATAGTAGCCATGCTCACGAATTGCTACCAATCTGTTGTTCAGGCATTGTCGAAAAGCAACACCCCCGACCCCTTCTCCCTCGAGATCTATGGTGTACACCTAGGTTGTTATATGGGGCCTCGCCTCTTCTCACCTTCGTCGCGATATATCACAACAGCTGGACGTCGAGAACATATTGGATTCGATCACTGCAGTGCTGATTTTATCCCTTTTCAGCGGCTAATGTATCTGGAACGATTGATACGAGTATCTGCAGGACGCCATCGCGGGAATGGAGACGTGACATGGTCTCTAGTATCCGGAGACCCCCGGTCTGCCTCCCGGCTTCAATGGTAATTTCCCTTACTGCGGCGGCGGAAATCCTTGTCTGGTTGGTTGAGAGTGGTGAAGTTGCCCATTGGGCTCGCTCCGCTCTCAGTTGGGCTCTAGGACCTGTCTCTGGCCGAAGTGTCCTGCCAACCCGGTCATGCAGCGAGCCGCCAGCCAGGCGTTGGACGAGACAAGCGTTTGTGCCGCCGTAGTGCGAGTGTCGACTAGATAGTGAGCGAGGTTTATACGACTTGGTAATTACAAGAGCTGGTGAGGTCTAGACAGCTTGAGCAATTGGCACTGTCTCCAATCAGCTGTCGCCTGCTGTCACGAACAACTGCTACCACCTCAAAGTCTTGGCATCCTGCGCAATTTGCATAGCAGCACCTATTTCGACACTTTCTACAACAGCTGCATCAGCTCAATCAAAAGCCATGCAACGTATCGCAAGCAGAGCTACTTCAGCTCAGGTACAGGAAGCCACGGGCTACAATCGGACCCAGTGGCTCTATTTTCAGGTGAGCAGAAGATTAAGCACATTCAGTTGGCAGACTGACGCTTCAAGAAAATCACAACCCAGAGCGCTCAGTCACTCATGGAAGAGCACTGTGGACGTCTTACCTCATGGACGGATGTTGAGCCAAGACAAGTTGAGTTGTCTATGCAAGACGTCAATGAAAGATTGGAAGAGCAAGGATTATCCCCAATAACCGACGACATCTTCCGATGGCGTATGACATACTTGGTCCGGCACCTGAAGAACAAGACAATTGAAGGTTGGTCACCCTCCGTACATTTGGCGTCAAGAACTCAGTGCTGACAGTAATTGCACCGATAGACACGCGTGTTGGGCAGCGTAAGCATGATGAATGCAGCAATGCGGTCCCAGAGACTGCAACCTCAGACGTGGCGACTGGTAAAACAAGTAAGACTACACCGTTGTGTCTCGTCGGCAGGTCTTGATACGAGACTAGATACACTCCCTCCGCTTCGTGAAATGGTTTCAGACTTCGATGAAGGAATGGCTGAGAGATGACAATTGGAGATAATGACAGAACCTCATCCGCGGGCCATGGGCGCTACATCGATCATCCTCGGTATTTGCAGTACCTCGAGGCAAACTGTTTAGTCGGTAGATTCGAGTGCCGACTTTGCAATATTCACTATTAGTGGCTCAGTTGTCCAACTTCGGGACATGATAGGAGACTGCATTGGTCTTAGAGGCCTCATCTATGAAGCGACCGCGTCCGAGGGCCTGACCTGGCCCTACTCATTAGACCCATATTGTACATTCTAGACAACCGTGTCTACCCTCTAGAGAAGCTACATACACACGTTCCCGCCTGGTATACGCTGCAGCTCATAGACTCGGGATTTACACGTACCTCACCCTATGTCAAATCGAATATGTCTACATGTACGGTACTATCGAGCATCAGAATATGAAGTGCTTGAACGCTTTTGTGGCACTTGAGTTCTTTATCGAGGATCTTTACTTTTCATGTCTTATCTCGTTTTCCATTCGTACAGCCCGCTGCATTGTCTTCCTCTCCTTCGGAATGCTCTTGGTGAAAGCAGCACAGATGATGGCGACCACCCCGAAGGCAATGGCAACAAGATACACCATCTTGAAAGCCTGCACATAGGCTAACTTTACAGCCATCTGAACGTCCGCAATCACGCTCGCACTCGCGCCAATGGACTCGACCAGCGACTCGTACGCTGCGGCAGTGTTGAGTGCTGCAGCTTGAAGCAATGCTGCTACATCAGCTGAAGGGATGTCATGAGACTGGATGACCGGGCTGACTTTCTTGGGCAGCTCGGACTCGAATCGATTGCTCAGGATAGCACTGTAGATCGCCGTCGCTACAGCACCTCCCATCAGACGAAACGTCGAGGCAAGACCGTTTGCAACTCCTCTGCAGCAACCATTAGCAAGGAAGAAGACAGAAGAGATGCTACTGCACCCACATATCGACCTGGTCATCTATCCACATAGAGATCATGACAAAGCTGTAGAAGAGCATCAGCAAGCGGCCCTCAAAGATGTATCGGTAGTTCTGGACGTACGACAGTAGCTGAGGCGGTGTGATCGTTATCGCAAGTATAATGATCGTAACAATAGCTTGCACACGATCCCCAACGCCCACACTGGCAAGAGAGCCAATGAGTGCTGTTTGAGCTGCCTTGTTCATCGTCAGCTCAGGCGGAGATCCGGTCTATTGCACGTTATGCTCACCATGAAGCTGACTTGCTGCCACCGCTCATAACCAGCTTTCTGGCAGAAGAATATGACAACAGGCCCGGCGATGATCGTTCCGAAGGAGACCATGTTCGCATAGACCCCGGCGATGATGGGTCTTCCGGCAGGGACGAAGAGCAAACCGGACTGCCGTGGCCATAGGACGTTCATGGAGTAGTACAGCATTCCTGACAATATCAGTACCTGCCTCTGGTAAGAGTTAGGGAGAGACTCACCGCCAACGAAACAAATAACCAAAACCATCGTAAACCCTCTCACCTCCTTGAACAGCTTCGGCGGCAACATCGGATACTTCAAATCAGCATACGCCTCCCACAACCCCAACACGACAAGCAACCCAGCCCCAATCACAATCGTCGCCACAACCGGCGCACTAGACCAAGCATACTGCCGCCCGCCCCAATTAATCCCCAGCAAGAAACATATACACCCGGCCGCGAACAAGACTACCCCGACGAAGTCCATCTCCTTGAGCAACTGCATCCTGGTCTTGCCGTCGGCTCGATGCTTCGTGTGGAATGTTGGTGGTTTGTAGAAGAAGATGACGAGTAAGAGCCCGCAGGCTTCGAAGGAGAAGAGGAACCAGTAGACGGCTCGCCAGCCGAGGGAGGTGGTGGCGAGCATGGCGTAGGCGATCATGGGGCTGAGGAAGGCGAGGAGGGCGGTGGATTCGAAGCAGCCGATTGCGAGGATGCGGTATTTGTTGGGGACGATCTAGGAGAGGAACGGCGTCAATGATGAAGGATGTGGCTGTTCAGAATGAGAATTACCTCCTGCAGACAGGCGAATGTCATCTCTGCTCCGGGCATTAGCATTGGCGAGAGAGGATACCATGAAGTTTGTGGATACCTTGCAGTCCTCCTCCAACACCAAACAAGACACCACTCGCGATCATCTGATTGACACTCTGCCCAGTCGCTCCAACAACAGCACCGCACAGGGCTATGACAGCGCCTGCGATCATGAAGTACCGCCTACCGAAGATATCTGAAAGCTAACAACCATCGCCAGGGTCAGCATCGAGTCGACTGAACACATGCGGAAACCCACCCTTCCTCCGACAGTGACCATAACAGACGCCGCGACATTCCAGGAGACGTTGATCCATGTGTAGTTGGGATCTGGGCCCAAGTCCGCATTGATGTAGGAGACGATCGTGGATGGCATGAGGAGAGTCAGTACGTAGGCGACGTATTGCGAGGAGACGGCCTGCGATTGTTGTCAACACAGGTATCTACGATTCTTCATCGAATACATACCGCTAGCGCCAGATATGCCTGCAGATTCATCCTCGCGTCAGGCTCATCATCTTGCACAGCGACGCTGTCGCCACTTTCGGCTTTCTCGACGTGCACGATCTCATCTTTCTCCATAGTTCAAGAGGTTGGTGTTTGTAAGACGCAATGAAGAAAGGAGAGAAACGAAATAGCCCACATCGCATGACGAGTCGAGCACACTGGGCATTTCACGAGCAACGAGAGCTCACAGCCTACCTTCATCCACGGGAAAGATGATCAAGCTATCTCACCTATCTCAACCAGAACACAGGCGCACGGCGTCCCCAGAAAAGCCAACAACGAGCATGAGCGCCGTATCATGCACCCCAGGTTGGCTCCATCAAAAGCTGGAGTAAGTTCGTGGAGGCGTGGAGAGGATTGATCGGAAAACGAGAGCCGCACGGAAGCTCAGGTATGGTTATGCAGAGCCTCTCTGGAGAGGAGCTCCTTCCTTCCTTTGAGTCTTAGAGCAAAGACATAAATGTTGACATGCAGTCGTTCATGACAAGAGGCTCTGGTCATGAGTCGTGCGTTGATCTTCGCTCCTCATGGCAGCTCCTATTTGAAGATCTCCAAGATCTCGGACGTGACCTCATGGCGACGAAAGCCTTGTTGTGAACTGTCTCACATGAGCCAGTTATTGTGAGTAGTGAATCCGGTCGAGCACAGTCGTGCACGCGAGCCTCGCGAACGTTCAAACCACATCGTGTCCTTCCAGTTCAGTCTCCTCAAGGGCCATCCAGTCATCAATCGGCAACGAGCACAGTCCTGCAGTGTGACCGCCTTCATCTCGCGTAGGGAGTTCCAACCCAGAATACCCTTGCTTCCCTTCTCTTCCGGCTGCATTGTTTTGGAGCCGCACAGAGACGGTGACGGGATGCGGGATGTTCGTGACTGATAGCCGTGATGCAGTTGCAAGAAGTGAAAACAAGAAGTGCAGCAGACCACATTGCCTCGTCGTCAACAGCCACATCCACACCGCCACACACCGCCACATCGATCGATGAGGCTCCGAGTGGATCCCCAGCGGCTCGGCAACCACCACCAGCTGTCATCCAATGCGCCGTCGATCATTTGACCACTGTCCGCTAATCCAACATTGCCAACTTTCTCTTCACCATGCTACCGCGTTGGGCGCAGGCGTGGACTGCTCTCTTACCCCTTTGAGATGGCATCACGACATCCAACCTCCGTGATGGAGGGTGGAAACGGCGGTGGGTCGTCGGGTGCAAGTCGGGAGAGGGAGAGAAAAAGTGCGCGAAGCTGTCATGGGCCATGGGTTCGTGCAGGCTTTTGATCATCATCGTCATGTTTAGACCGGGGTGGTGGTGTTAGGTTGAGGTTGTTGCTGGCTGGCAGGGTAGGTTCACGGCCAAGGACTGGAAAAATGGAGATTACGTCTGTGTGACGAAGAGAAAGGTTCGTTCTGTTTTGGGATGGTTGGATGGAGGGAGACGTGCAGGCAAGGCGCATTTCTGTCTGTTGCGCGTGCCCGTTTGCAAACAAAAAGCGCCCTGTGCGCCTGCCTCGAAATCCATTCTTCAATCCTGCCGTCACTTCTTCTTCTCAGACACACGCTCCGACTCCGACACAAACACATCAGTTCTACTACTGTACTTCGACAGCGATACAGCAGCAGCATCAATCGCCACCAAAGCCAGACTATCCTCGCAAACAACAACCACCCACACCAACAGTCAAGATGGGTGCCGTCGTCTCCTGCGTACGTCCCGCCATTGCCTCCACCTACCTCTCTTCACATGCAATGCTAACACCTCTCTACAGTTCAATTCGGTGGTACACGCCATCACCGCCTGCTTCATGGCAGTCGTAAACGCTATCGTGACCGTAATTAAGGCCATCATCTCCGTAAGTCTTCACCCTCCAACTTTCACAGGAATATCAGGACTGACAATGGCTCCAGGGAATCGTCGCCATCTTCTACGCCATCGCCTCGGTCCTCACCTGCGGCAAGGTCAAGCGGCGCAAGGCCACGACGAGTGCGGTCTAGCTATCACGAACGAGGAACACCAGCGACAAGCCCAACCAGACAGACGCAGCGGAAGATGTTGTCAGGATGGGATGATGGGCTACGAAGGAGGTCTTCATCAAGTCAGAGGGAGGCGCTTGTCACGATGCATTTGTTTCTTTTTGTTTGAGCATGACGCGATGGATTCAGCAGTGATACCCATAGCATTTCGACGACGAGTAATGCAATTGTTTTAAGAGGATCATTGACAACCTCACCACTTACATTCTCCTTTCCTAGTGATATGTTTCGAGGGATGATCGTGAAAGTGAGATCCAGGTTTCGTATAGTTACATTTTGCACCAGCTACGGAATCTCACTCGCTCGCGGTTCAAATCCATCGCTCCGCAAGTGCCAATGTCATAATTCAAGCATGCTCTTCAACAGGTGTTTGGGGGTATGTAAAGGTGGTTGGTAGTGGTAGTAGACTTTCGCTCTCTCTGCAGTCGTTGGCGCCCTTCTCAGACCGCAGACTCGCTCTTCCATGCCGTAGGTCGTTCATACTAAAGGTCTCGTGTCGTGATTAACGTGTCTCGGTTTCGCCGTCTAGTGACGGCTGCCGTAGATTGCTATCCCTATTGTCAGCCTCCCCATCACCATTCCACGTAGGCGATATCCTTACCACTTGGCACAATGATGACCACGAGCAGGATGATGATGCCGATGATGATGCACATGCGCATCTTCATATCCTTCCACCACATCTGCTTCCTCACTCGGTTGGCGCCGCGGCGGAAGCTGTTGGCCTGGGTCGAGAGGTGGTCGGTCTTGTCTTGCAGGTTGTCCAGCCGCTCGCCACGCTCCGAGATCTTGGTGATGTTGTTCTGCATTGTCCTCACGGCGCCGTCGATTTCCTGTGTCCTGCTGTCAGCTATCCTGATGCCTCCTCCCTTTCGGCGGGAGCCCAGAGCTGCGCGGGAGCTCTCAGCGCCGCATGTATCGCACTTACGGACTGCAGCGCCTGAGTGCGGTCGCCTCCATCATGTTGTCCGCCGGTCTGCGCATCGCGCTTGACGTAGGGGTCGTAGAGATCGTTGTTCGACATTGTGGTGATTGTTGGTCGGTCGGAGGTCAGGAGAAGGCTCGGCGATGCGCGGATGACGGTCGAGTGTGCAAGGCGAGCTCAGAGAGCGCTGTGGTGGGGTTTGCGACGGGGTTGAGGTTGGTGGGAGGGTGTTGGTTGATGGCGTGAGAGGAGTGAAGTGTGGTTCGAGAGGTTGAGGCTGTCGCAGTGAAGGTGGCTGCGCTGACAGCGCCAAGTCCGGGTCTAAGAACAGTTCCCTCGCCACCGCGGATGGCCACGCAAACGGAATGCAGTGTCGTAGGCAGCCGGATAATCAGCTCGTGAACAGTCGCACCGTCGTCTATGATGAGTGACACGGGTTACAGTGATGAATACGAATGCAATGACAATGAGCTGAATGTCACGTGGAGTTTGGCGACACACTCGTGAAACAAAGGGCGTTGCATGGCCAGGCACTTCGTCGAGCTTATTGGTCTGCAAGCAAACACTCTCAGAGCAGAGTAAAGCAGACCGTGTGGATAGATAAAATGCAGGTATTCGTACATGCTCTGCTTAAAACTCGTCCTTCGAGAAATGCTGCACGAAGGGTATACAACTTCCTTCTGTCAACCTGCGACACGAGATGCCACGGCTCATAGAACACGAACACCCCTCAACTGCAGGTTGGGAAACTCCATTGCCGTAAGAAGACGATCAATAGGCACACATCAAGGAATTGCATCGATCCTGCATCGAACCAGCAAATGCTTCACAATTAAACGGTCTCAATGTACCGTCTCACCTCCCTAGAAAAGGATAAGTATCGACACTTCTCACGATTGATGTGCGACTTACCAATCAGTAACTGCCTCGTCCCACAAGCTGATCTCATGCTCTCGCGTGCCAGTATAGTGATCCACAAAGTCGTTGCCCAAGACCTCTCTCGCAACGCTGTTCTTCCTCGAGAACCTCGCAGTGGCATCCTTCAGGCTCTTTGCCAGTCGCTCGCCCTTGTCTTCTACACCACCAACGTCTTGGCCCTTACCGAGCGGTGGGATTGAAACTTGCAGCTTCTTCTCGATGCCTCGATAGCCCAGCGCCAGGATTGCTCCAAGCACAAGGTGAGCGTTGGTGTCTGCGCCCGGAACGCGAATCTCCAGCCTGGTACCTTTCGGTGGGCATGTAGGCGGTGCGATGAGGCGAATCGATGCAGCACGGTGCTCGAGTCCCCAAGATACTGTCACTGGTGCCCAGAAGTTCTCCACCAGGCGTTTGTAGCTGTTGACCGTAGGAGCGAGGATGGGCATAATATCGGGCAGACCTTCCAGAACCCCAGCCAGGAAGCACCGTCCCATATCAGACACATTCTCAAGGCCTTCGTGAGGCGGATTAGGATCCTCTTTCTCCCTGACGAAGAGGTTTGCGCCGGTCTTGTTGTCCTTGAGAGAGATGTGCATGTGACCGCTGTTTCCTGGCAAGTTTTCCCTGGGCTTAGCCATGAAGCAAGGCGTGATGCCGTACTTGGAGCTGATGCTCTTGACCGTGAATTTGAAAAGCGAAGCCTTGTCTGCCATCGACTTGATCTCTCCATACTCCAAAGCTGCCTCATACACTCCAGGGCCGCTCTCGGTATGCCAACCTTCTACATCACACCTGAACTTGATGCTCGCATTGAAGATGTCGTAGTACCAATCCTGATTGTGCACTGGTCGGGTGAGCGAGTATCCAAACATGCCCTCCTCCAGACTGGGCAGATTTGTGACTGGGTTGTTCTGGAGGAAGGTAGCCGTGGCGCTCGAGTTCCTCTCTTCAGGCGATTGATGGGTGTGGGAAGGTGCTCGGAAGGTGTAAAATTCGTATTCAGCTGTGTGTTAGGTTGATGAATGTCAGCGAGTTCTCAGAAGATTCCACCACGGGCCCTGGAGCAGCCACAGCATCCAGGACAGAATGACTTCACTAACCTCCAGCCAATGCACCAATGCCCTTCGCACTTATCTTGTCGACAGCCCGTTCAAGCAAACTCCTCGGACAGGCGCTGAGACTCCCACCTTCAGGCTCGCGAAAGCTGACGAGAAAGAAAGGCACGTTGTTCTCCCACGGTATCCTTCTGAAGCTGGTCAGGTCAATCTCTGCCGTAATGTCTCTGTATCCATTCTCTGCATTGCTGATCTTGAGCTCTTTGAAATACGTCTGGTCATGCATGTCCCAGCCAAAGATCACCGAGCAAAAACCAAAGCCAGATTTGGCGACGGAGAAGAACTTCTTCTTGGACATGAGCTTGCCGCGAAGCTGGCCATCGATGTCTACGCCGGCGACCTTGACGCTGTTGTCATTCTTCAGCAGCTCCTCGAGGTCGGCATGCTCGAGCTGTGAGGGGTCGTCGGTGATGGCCATGGTGTCGCGTGATGAGGCGGAGGAGGTGCAGGTGGGGGAAGGAGAGGCGGGGATGGTGTTGTAAGTTGAATACAACGAGATGATTGTGTTGAAGGTGATTTTGGGAGTGGGCAAATACTTCGGGAGACTAGAGTCTTATCGTCCAGCGCAAGGAAGTGGAGGTGTGCCTGGCAAACCAGTCCCGGTCGTCACCGCGCACCCGGCGCTGGGCTGGAGCTTTGTGTGGCGTCGACGGCTGTGCGGCGATCGGTGGCATCCGAGATGCATGAACTCCTCGCGTGCTCTGTCAACTTTGCTCGTTGCTCTGTTCAACAATCAATCAATTTCTAGTGGTACCGCCATCAAGCGGCCTGATGTGATGCTGTGAGGTATTGCTATTAGGAAACGTCCTGCGAGCACCAACGCCGACAATCATCGTCTCCACAACGCCCGACGATGAGGCGGCGCAGATGCAAGGTCGTTCAGGGAGAGCTTGCGTACCAGGTAGCTCGCGGAGAGGGAGAATTGAGCCTCACGTCGAGAGAGCATGAGCGATTGGGAGTCTTCTAGCGAAGATGCTTGGGCGTTCGTGGTCGTCGGGTGCCTTCACAATGAGTACGTCTTGAAGCCACTGCTGCTGTTCAACCTCACTTTCGTCATGACAAGAGATCCATGTGTGGAGCGCTAGTGGCGGGCAATCCGGGAGACCCAGTTATCGGGCGGTGAGATAGGAATGTTTCAAAGTGCTTGCTATGAGTAAAGCTCTTTCTGCTTGACCATCAACGCGACAATCGTTTCAACAGGCTCTTGTCGCACTTTCCTCCCTACTCATCACTCATACAGCGAAAGTCTTACTTGACTGCTCCACTATATTTGCGAGACACTGCGTCTGGAAGCTCCTTCTCACTTACACAAAGGCCAACTTCAACAATGTATGTCGGTGGCATACTCGTTGGCCTAAGAGTATCTTCTGATTGTCAATGGCAGGGCTTCTGAGGGTCGTGGACGTCTTGCTGGGAAGAATGCCATCATCACTGGTGCTGGTGGGTAAGTGAATATCCGCAGACATCGACTTCCCTGTACTCTCTCCAATCTCGATTAAGAGACGGTTGGAACGAAATGGGATGCTCCCTTCAAAGGATTCAATATTGACAATTTGTAGTGGCATCGGATTGGAGACTACCATCCTCTTCTTGCGCGAAGGTGCAAATGTCTTGATGACAGATATCTCAGAGCCTGCACTGGAAAAGGCTCTTGCCAAGGCGAAAGAGAAGGCTCCAAACGCAACAGGCAAAGTAGAGACTGCGAAGGTGGATGTGTCCAAAGAGGCCGATGTGCAGGGCGTGGTTGAGAAGCTCGATGCATGGGGTGGTGTGGACGTCATGTTCAACAATGCTGGTATCATGCACGCCGATGATGCTGGTGAGTCCCCCGAATCATTCGTCTTGACCAAGCTTCTGACTCGTTCCCAGATGCCATAGACACTCCCGAGAAGATCTGGGACCTGACGCAGAACATCAACGTGAAGGGTGTGTGGTTCGGCAGCAAACACGCCGTCCTCTCCCTTCGCAAGCACAAGAAGACCAAGGGCAGCATCATCAACACCGCCTCGGTCGTTGCGCTCGTCGGAGCCGCCACTCCACAGCTTGCCTACACTGCCTCGAAGGGTGCGGTTCTAGCCATGACCCGAGAACTGGCGGTTGTCCACGCACGGGAAGGCTTCCGCTTCAACGCCCTTTGCCCGGCACCTCTCAACACCCCTCTCCTGCAGGACTGGCTCGGCGACGACCAAGCCAAACGCCAACGCCGTGAAATCCACTTCCCCACTGGAAGGTTCGGTGAGGCTATTGAGCAGGCGCAGGCAGTTCTTTTCCTGGCTAGCGATGAGGCCAGCTTCGTCAATGGCAGCGACTTCGTCGTCGATGGTGGTATGACCAAGGCATACGTCACCCCTGAGGGACCAGCTACGCAGCCACCGCAGAACCTGGCTCGGTAGAGGTGTATGGCATCCCTGCGGAACGCGGCGTGCGATTGATGAAGTCTCAAGCAATAGTATACAGAGATCAGGAACTACATCTTATCGGTTCACGGAACTCGCCGGCCAATTTGAGCCGCTCCTAGACGCCAAACGCTTTTCCGTGCACAGACCATCTTCACATGTTAACGACCTCGTCAAAGTTCAACTTCCGCTTTTGAACAATTCCAGCGCAACACACCCACCACCACCACCACCATTGCAGACCTCTCCATGTACCAACGCTTACAGCCGCCCACCCACAATGAAAACATACACCATCCCAATCCTCACCCCCGAACTCCTCATCATCTTCGCCACCACCCCATGCAACGACGCCGCCCACCAACACCAAGACCTCGACGCCAACTCCCCCCTCACCTGCCCAACCAGCAAAACTCTCCTCCTCCGCGACGACGCCTCCTTCGCCGTCGTACACTCCTGGCCGTTCATCAAACCCGGCTACACCTTCCGCGGACCGAGTAAAGGGTCCAGGGAGGTTCTGCTCAGGATGCGGACACATGGGAATGCGTGCGTGCCGAGTTATCTACCGGAGCAGACGCGGAGGTGTGAGAGGAAGAAGCTGGTATGTGCGATACGAGGCTTGAGATATGCGAGCTGTTTGCTGATTTGGTTTTGATCATAGGCGGAAGTCGAGAGGTGTCGGACACACATGAGGTATGGGTTGGAGGTGAAGCCTCCTGCGGAGGGGGAGTATGATCATGAGGAGGATGGGTATGGTGTTGTGCCGGTAAGTCCATGCTCGAGGCTTCAGCATCAGCAGATGACTGACCGTGGGCTCAGGACACATGCCAATTTGATGATGAATACGGGAACCTCTGTCTGGCCACGGAAGACGATGAAAAGGAGCAGGCCGTGCAGCAGGCAAGACAGCAAGCCGAACAGCTGAGGCCTAGGCAATCGAAGAGGACGATCCTTTACGAAGAGCGACAGCGGCGAAAGGAGGAAGAGAAGTGGGTTGTAGTGGAGGACGATGGCGCAGAGGAAGATCGAGACTGGGAGATTCTCGATCGAGAGCAGGTCCAGGAGGACTACTGGGAGGATTACTTCGAGTTCAATGGGTGTATCATGGGAGCCGGGGCGAGCGCAAGCATGTGAGATTCTTCTTTATTCGCTGTGTGTATCGTCGTAGGTAGTCCTGAGGCGAGGATCAATGTCTCAGCTTCCTCCAGAATGCTACCGTCAGTACCCATATTATGCATAACCCTACCATTCCCAGGACCAGCTTGATCTCTCCGGCATCATAGGGCTCCTTGCTCATTCCATTCACAATCCAGGGCGGCAGTCATAGGCTGCCACTACCCTTGTCGCCCTGCTCAGGAATCCGGGCCTGCAAGTACTGTGCGAGATCCTCAATCTCCTGCGGCGCCGCCGAGTGTGGTAGCCCTCTGTATGTTCTGAAGTCCACGTCCCAACCCCACTCTTTCAGCTTGTCCGCCGTCATCATTCCCCACTGGTACTTCACCACTTGATCTGCATCACCATGTCCCATGAAAATCGGCGTCTTCTGGTTCGGCGAGTCGGCAGGTACCAGGTCCTTGATCTTGCCTTGCAAGAGCAGGTAACACGACAGCCCAAAGATGCCACCGAGCTTGGTTGGGTTGGTGATACCAGCCATCAGACTCATCGCACCACCCTGGCTGAATCCTCCGAGCACGATTCTCTCAGTGGGTATGCCGCTCTTGATCTCGTCCTCAATTAACGTGTGGAAGACCTTCTGGCTCCTCAAAACGCCCGCCTCATCGTCGCTTCGATTGGCGAGGTCGCCGAAGTCCGCAATATCGTACCAGCCAGGCATACGCATGCCCATGTTGACAGTAATCGGGATGTTGGGGGCATTAGGGAAGACGAACTTGGTTTCGGGGAACATCGATTTGCGCCGGAACTCCTCAGCCAGGAAGGCCCTGTTTTGGGATGATGAGTGAGCAGGAGGTCAGATGTCGCGCAGTCTTAGGACATGCTTACCATCCTGCGCCGCTGTTGGCTTTGTTAGCAACCCAGGTCCATACTCAATGGTCTCGGCGAAGGGGGGAGCTTCACCTGTCCCCAAGGCCGTGGGCCACAATGACGGTGCTCGTGTGCCGCTTGAGGGCGGGAACGACGATCGCTGCGGCGCTCGACATTATGAAGTATGCTGTCGAAGTAGTGATCGGTTCTCGGAGGCGACTCTAGATTGGCATTGACAATGGGTTGGAATGAGGTCGAAGTTCCAAGGCCAAACGTCACTTGCACGACGGAATGTTTCCGTGGCTTCGGCGATCTCGAATAGAAGGCGCCAAAATCACCGCATTCTTCTGACAAAGCCCACTAATAAGTAGCTGTAGAATGTCAAATGGGGTTCTAGAGGCTTTGATGATCTGTATATCAACACTCCAAGTACATGTTCAGCTGCTGATGCCTCAGACGTTTCCCTGGGTCAAGATCCTCGTCGTTGGGCTCATTGTGGCTTCACTCCCTGCCGTTCTGCTTTCGAACTCGAGATCTACGCTTCGACAAGAACTCAGTCGACTTCTGACCCCTTTGAGAGCCTCAGGATCGACGAGCCCTCCAAATAAGTCAACGCATCTGACCTCAAAACAAAAGGTTGCGACCAACGCAACAATGGCCCGAACCCCTGTTTACTTCCTCTCCCACGGCGGTCCAAAGTAAGATCCAGAGCTGTCGTTAACCAGCATTGCATCTGACTGTGTCATCTTAGCATCATGGAAGATTACGACCATCCAGCGTATAGCAAGCTCCAGGAAATCGGCCGTGAGATAACGCAAAAGGTCAAGCCGAAAGCTGTAGTCGTATTTTCCGCGCATTGGCAAGGGTATCGAGATACCATCGAAGTCAACACCGCCGAGTCCCAAGGCCTGATATACGACTACTACGGCTTCCCGGCGCATTATTACGAATTTCAATACCCCAATAAAGGAAGCCCGGAACTGGCTGAGAAGGTCCTCGGTTTGTTGCAAGATGCTGGCATCAAGGCAGAAGGCGTGCGAAGAGGGCTGGATCATGGCGTCTTTGCCCCTTTCAAATGTGCTTTCGACCCGGAGAAGAATCCCCTGAATGTGCCGATCGTCCAGGTATCGCTGTTTGACATTGAAGATCCGAACATGCACTATGCGCTGGGCAAGGCCATTGCTTCGCTGCGTGAAGATGGCGTCCTGATCATAGCGTCCGGTATGGCTGTACACAACTTGCGTGTGAGTATAGACTCCAGAAAGGTCCCTTGACAAACCATCAGTCAGTCGCTGACCCACCTTCAGGACTTGGGACGCACCATGGGAAGGCCTGGTGCAACAGAGTACGCCTATTCCTTTGACCAAGCGTTGAAGGATGCAGTAGAACAGCCGCCAGAAGCACGCCAGAAAGCGATGGAGGAGCTCTTAAATCGTAAAGATGCCAGGAGAGCTCATCCAACATTTGAGCACTTGCTTCCAATTCACATCGCGGGTGGCGCGGCCCATGACGAGGAAGGCAAGAGATTCTGGACACTGCCGCAGGGAAGTATGTCTTGGGCCCAGTACCGTTTTGGCGAGATTGCAGCGGCCACATAATGCAGCACTCTCTGAATCCAATCTTGGTAGACCTTTTTGAAGGTGCGTGTGTCCTAGCTGGGTCGTGTTTCGTGTATCGCGTCACGCAGTAAGATCGATAAGATGTACGGGAGCACCTAAAAATGGCTGCCAGGACAATATCAGCGGTCTCTTGAACGTGCCTACCTCATGAGCAGGCACGGGACAGAGATGTAGCCACACGACAGGTCTTGTTGCGAAGGGTATCATGTTCATCTTTTGGTCTCTTCCTTGTATTGTACATATGTACACAAAGCACACATCCTGCTCTTGCTTCTTGGCCTACTCGTGCAGTGTTATTGCTGTCCCTGAGCGAGACTCGTAACTTTCTCCTCAATCGCCTTGTCGTCAAGTCCTGCCTCCAGTCAGATTCTTGTCCATGAGCTTTCGAACATTGAGACTTACCCTTCAAATCTGCGAACTTCTCCTTTCCGTACTCATATCGCGCATATACTCTCGGCTCGATTCCCATCGCTTCTCGGATCATGATTGGGGTGTGCGGGTTGTTTTTCTTCATCGTGGGATAGGCGCGGGTAAGGAATGATCTGATGTACGCAGCTAATTAGCAGTGGTCTTGACCTGTCGTTCAGTGGCTCTCACCGGACGGCATTGGAGTGCTCGCTGGTCTGGCAGTGGAGGAATCGCAGCTCCTTCAGCGTCTTGGTGAAGGCATATTTGCCCGACATGTTGGCTCCAGAAGTCCCAAAGACACAGCAGAATCAAGCGACACGAGATAAAGTATTTCCAGTGATGCGATTCGAGCTGTTGCAAGGCCAGAAGTCAAGACCAATGGACATGTAGTCAGCAGCAATCCTTGGCGGGTCTCCGCTCTCCCTTGTCCCCGAAGCCTTCGTCACTTTGCTGAGGTCCGCGAAACAGGACCACCTACCACGCTCAACCACGCCAACTGAACTGAACCGGCCGAAGCGCATATCAATACTCTACCGGCTCCAGGACGAACACAAGTCAAAATGTCCGCGCGCTTCGGCCTCCGCGCCGCCAACGCCTTCCGCCAGCCAGTCTTCCGCCAGCAGCTCAACAACAATGCTCGATTCGCACAACGGAGGATGCAGTCCACCGCCGCAGAGGCTGGTGAGGCCACCAAGAATGAGTCTGCCTTTTCCAAGCTCTGGAACTCTCCCGTTGGCCCAAAGACGGTGCATTTCTGGGCTCCCATCATGAAGGTAAGAAGAGCGTACCCCTCATATCAGACTATCTATCCATGAACTCTGGCTTACAATTATGCCTTCCCACAGTGGGGTCTCGTCCTCGCTGGTGCTGCCGACTTCGCCCGTCCCGCCGACCAGCTCTCTATCTCGCAAAACGCCGCTCTCATGGCCACCGGCCTTATCTGGACCAGATGGTGCTTCGTTATCAAGCCCCGAAACTTGTTCTTGGCCAGTGTCAACTTCCTCCTGTTCTGCGTTGGAGCTACCCAAACCACCAGAGTACTCATGTACCAGCAAAGTTTGAAGGGCGATTCAGTTGGTGATGAGGTCAAGAAGGCGGCCAAGCAGGAGGGAAAGGACCTGGAGAAGGCTGCTGAGAAGGCGGAGCAGAAGGTTGTTGCGAAGTAGAGGCAAGAGCAGAGAATGGTCACGGAGTGGCTTGGGAGGTGGAGAACCTAAGACGGCGGAGGTATCATTGAGTGCAGGATGACAGCAGAACTTCTCCTATGTCTTTGTAAATGAAAGACTATGCTGCCCATACACGAGGTATTCTACCTCGACGTTCGTCTTCGGCGTTACTGCGACCACTATCATATCCTTATATCTCCTGACGTGGCCCTTTCACTGCTCGTTCGAAGAGCATAGTGCAACGCATGTTACCCGACAAGAGCAGTAGGGCGACTGGAATCTCCGCACAGGAGCGGCAAGAAATTACCTTCAACACAACGAGACGTTCGTCAAATGCTTCGTCGTAGACGACAGTTAATATGACAGGGTCTCCTCGCCTGGCTGGCCAACATGAACGAAGAGCGGCGACAAGAGCAGAGCATTGCTCCACCATTGGCATTCGTTGGAATATAAAAGAGCTATTTGGCGCTGGACATGGCTGCAGTATCCTATACCACGCAGTCAGCCATACGTTCTCGACCTGAGCATAAGAAATCTGCTCAACTTACCAAGTAGACCTGGTAGAAATCCATCTTGAGCTCACCCTCTGCCTTGGTGAAGTGCGCATGGGCTGCCCACTCTAAAGTCGTGCTCCTCCCATCTTTAAGCTCGTAGCCGACATCGCCAAACAACATGATATCGTCTGATCCTGAACCAAACGCATACAGTTGCTTAGGCTTATGCGAACGTTTCGCTACCTTCTCCCACATGCCATGGCGCATCTTGATAATAGCTTTCGAATGATTAGAAGCGCTGCTCTCGGAGTCGCATTTAGGACTCACCATCCCGTCCTTCGACAGTGTTAGACCCCATTATGAGCTTGCCATCCTTCGTGAAGAAATCCGCGTAGGTCTCATGGCCATCCGGCGTGTCTGAGACCTTGTAGAACTGCTCAAAGTAGGCTTTGATCTCTGGTCTCACCTGGCCATCGCCAGGAACGGCGGCGGAGTATTGGCTCATTGTTTGATGGTGTTGTTCTTCGCCTTTCTTGTCAGGACGAGAAGCAATCTGACCTACGCAGCCGCTTTTGATGACGGCGAGCAAGAGTGGAGTAGCTTTTCGATTACCTCGTCACGGTCGTGGGCCTCTGTTGGTGTGGTTACTGAACCCTGTCGGCAAGCTGCTGGTCGGCACTTTCACAGCCGGCTGTCCCGACCTCACCTCATCAGCCCTGCTCTTTCACGGCCTTTGTTCTTCTTTATATTGAACTCTTTGACCATAATAGTATACTTTTGGCATGCAAAATTGATCTCCACATCGATTTGTCGTGCTGTGTTTGTTCAGTTGATGTTTGGGACCGCCCAGGCAGCTCAATAGAAAGATTTCAGGACATCACCCTGAACCCGTATCTCGAACTGACGACGATGGAGGATGCCAATGGAGACGAAACGAAGGAAGTTGGAATGCCCAACGATGTGAGATAGAATGAGACTTAAAGATCAATGGCGCGGTGCGCGCATTCACGGATTACGACCCGACCTGAAGACGCGCAGTCTCAAAAAGATTAGGCGCGGTTGATGGGGTATAGGAAAGATGATATCGCGACCCTAGGACGTATTCCGGTGCTCCCCGCGCGTCTATGTGGCATAGGTGTGCGTGTTAGCCTTCTGGTCACCATGCAGATGGGAATCCGCAAGTCCAATGGCCAGGGGAACGAAATGGACTACTGCGCAGCGCTTGCTTCCCCCATTGCGGACCAATAAGCTACGTCGAGTCCGTTTGAGAGTGACGTATGCTACCTTCGCGCCGCGGTGGCAGGTGAGCGCGGCGAGTGAATGTCCAAAGCTTCCATCCTGGTCGATGCCGCTCCCGCTCGCGGGTTACTCGTTTGCTGACCCCACGGTGAATGTGTTTCGCGCCTTCCCATTTGACTCGCTTACAGCGGCATTCTCCGTGAGCTCACTTCGAGTGCTGCGCCCGCGCCTACATAAGTCGCCCGCTTCCGCTTCTTCAAACACACCCACCTCCAACTCTCTCTGCCGACGGCACCACCACCACGCCACCACCAACCACCACCACAGCATTGAGAGAGCGAGAGTTGCGGAGATGGCGGCGCCACCCGGTCATCACCCAGGTCAGGGGGTCGGCCTGTTGGCCGGCCTCACCACCGTCTTGCTCGGCGTCAGCGCCTTCTGGTTCGGCAAGACCACGCCCTCGAGGGCGCAGGAGGCCGCCAACCTCTCTGCGCCGCTCGCACCAAGCCCTGCCGCGCCCTCCTCGTCCTCCCTGCCCACCGACAGGTGTGGCATCTTCCCGCCGCTCACTCCGGCCGAGTGTCCGGCACCATCACCACCAAGCGAGACGCCCTTCTCCCCGGCTCTCGACCACACCACCACGTCGACCACGGCCGTGCCGGCCTGGTCAGACCTCAAGCTGCTGGGATACCAGCTCGTCTTCGCCCTCTGGGATGCTCTCTTGGCGCAGTTGGAGGCGCTGTTTTGCTCTGCCCCGTTCCGTCGCAGCTTGGGCTTGACTCGAGGCAGCACCGCCTTCAAGGTGGCCACTGTTTTCTCTCGCTCCCTCGTCTACATCATCGGCAATCAGCACGGCTCCCAGGGCGGCTACCTCTTGGCCTACTATCTTCTCGAGCTCGTCTTGACGTATCTGTACACTTCGGCCTTTGGGAAAGATGAAGACGAGACGGACCGTGACAAGCTACGTCGCACTGCACATCTCCTCGGCTGTCGCGAACAGGACTTTCAAGATACCATGGCAGCGAAAGACGACCAACTTGCATCCCGAGACTGGCAAATTGCACTCGACAACTTCGAGATCGCTCAACTGAAAGCCCAGCTGAAGCAGACTCGTCATGAGTTGAAACTCGAGCGATCTGGTGTCAATATCTCCGAGAAAGTGCAAGCGAAGAAAGAGGAGCTCAAGGTATTGGAGGCAAAGGCTCATTTCGCCGATCAAAGTCGACAGAAGGCGCTCGATGAGCGTCGTACCACGGAAGCATCTCGCAGACAAATCCACCAGCAACTGGCTCAAAGCAAGGATGAAGACAAGAAGATTCGCCAAGGCTTGAGCATGGTCAAATTCCATGTCCGCACCGCCAAAGATGAGATCCAGCGAAGCAATAACAAGCTCCGTGAGCTCCGAGAGGAGGAACTGTCCTTTGAAGAATCGAAGAAGAAGATTGCTGGCTTGGAAGAGAGCATCGCAGGTGTGCAGGCTGAGAAGGATGCCCGTGAGAACCAGCTGCAGACTACGCAACACGAACTTGAGCAGGCACGCACCGAGGCTCAACAGTGCAGCGAATTGAAGTTACAGGTTTCCACCATGAAGCTTCAGGTGCAAGAGCTCGAAGCTACGAAGGATCGCCAGGCCACCATCAAGATTGAAAAGGCAGCTTCGACAAGCAAAGAATGGACGAGATCGCCAGATGATATCAAGGATCTGAATATTTCTTTCACCAAGTGGCAGACCGAGAAAGTCATGAGTGAAGACGACCTGTCCACTCTCTACAAGGCAATGGACTCCACGCTTACATGGGTCCAGTACTGGTGCGGCACTGCTGGGTCAATGAACCAGCATATTAAGGGACTCAACGAGACCATCGAGGCCAAGGACAATGATCTCAAGGCCAAGGATGCCGCCATCCAGGCCAGGAACGCCGCCATCCAGGCCAAGAACGAAGATATCAAGGCCCACGAAAAGAAGCACAAGGATGATGCGGAGTTGCAGAACGAGACCGACGCGGCGCTTGATGAGGCTTTCCGAGAAGAGCGGCAACAATGGCTGATCGATATCAGTGGGACATATGTCCTTCCTGAAGCTGACCATAAGCGTTTCGTCACTCACGGTCTACTGTTCCCAGGCAAGAACTTCGCGCACTTTGTCAGAGACGAGCATGTGGACGCCTGGCAGACAGAGATCGAGCGACTGGCCATTGTGCGACAGGAGGCTCAGACAGTTGCGGGCCTGCAGACTCAAGCGGATGAGCATCAACTAGCTCAACGCATGGCAGATGAAGCAACATCGCAAGCATACGTGGACGTATGTGCAGCAGTGTTCGAGCAATTCATGACTGCACCAGCAAGAGCCAAGGTTGAGACTGAGACGTTCAACTTCCCTCATGTCTCACCAGCAGTCACACGAGAACCCTCTCAGGCTGGACCTGTTGGAAACGATGCTACGAAATATCCCGAGACGTTCAACTTCCCACATGTCTCACCCGCAACCGCCGACAACACCTCGACATTTCCGCAGATGTTTTCATCGCGACATGCACCAGATCCAAATGCTCCAGAGGCGGAAAACAGCAATCCGTTCTCGTTCATCCCTGAGTCAAACGGTGCATCTTTGAGGAGATCTACCAACAACCGCAAGAAGCCCGCTCACAGGACTCGCGGTCATCGTGCGCGATAGATCTTGCCATCATCTCCGAGCCCGCATGAGTGACCATGCCAGCGAGCAACGAGAGCTCTGCATAGACCGAAGTGCAACACACGAGAGTTTGAAACTAAAAGGCGCAAAGGAGTTTTCTGGGGGTTTTTTGGGGGCGCGACATGAATAAATTTCTTTACGACACTCGCTGGACCAACCGCGCCAACAGCACCTCCGAAGTGATGAGCATCTGCACCGAACGTCTGCGGTAGTCAGTCATCCACACACAAATATTGGGCCGGCCTTTCAGGCAGGAGCTCAGGGATGACCGACTCTTCCATTTGTCCAGTTCATGGGCAGGCTACATCACAGCTGGAGCTCAGAACGACATTTGGCGCGACATCTACCGCAGTGCTTTCAATCGACCCTCACTCATATGGCCGCCCTTCTTGGGTTGGAGCTATCAGGGACGCATTGACACTTGGGATTGCTACGCTGCATTGGTTGCGAGGATGCTTTTTTGCTTGGGATTGTTTGATGATTGGGGGTTCGAAAAGTTTTCTGGGTCTGCGGGCGTTTTGGTTTGGGTTTCATGGATTGCTTTGGGGATGATGATGACGAGCGGATGATAATGATTGGGATGGCTTTGCTCCATGATGATGCTTTTGACTAAGGACTAATGAGGGCGATTAAAGACCCTAAACGAAATTTTTACTTTATGATAGAAACGAAAAGACCAAAAAAAGTCGACAACAGCTCCTCTCAATCTCTTCTTTGTGTCAATGTACTTCCAAGCCAATGTCTTCGTTTGATGGTGGTGCTTGGCTACAACTCAGATTGTAGCCATACCGTGATGCATCTGCCTCAACCACCCTGAGTCGCTATGACTCGACTTTGCCGACTCGTACGACATAGCAGCATCTTCACGCACCCAGAGCTGCCCGAGATCGTCCTTCTACCTACCACAGCTCAGTCCGAGTGATCGGTAAGATCGGAGTAGCTTACCCGGCCTGCAGCTTCAGCAGACGAAGCCGTAGTCGAGGAGATGCTATGACTATATTCTAAGTTCGCGAGAAGTATTCATAGCACTGTATCTTTGATGTATTCAATCTTACTCTACAGGTGTCTCCACTTCCCCAGACCTTTCCCCATCAACCAAGCCTTGGTTGATTACGTCTTTGCTTGACGCTCTTGGGAGCTGGCGATCTGCACATGGTAGATATCCACTTGCTACTGCGCCTCGATGCATAGCGATTGGCGGGGCTCGAACAGAAGTTCTCGACGAACAACTGGGTCGACAGCAGGACACGTTTCGTCTGGTGCTTTTTAGGACAGGAGCAATAAGGGGAGGAACATCTGGATGGTAGAAGCAGTGGCCGAACTTGGAGCAGTGACGATTGCTCTTGCCACAAGCCATAGAGACTACTTGCCCGTTAGAGGTTGCAAACTTACAGCTTCTATGCTCATCATCTTGATTGCTATCGAACCTGTACGACTTGCATACCGATCTCCGCCATCTTACCCCTATCTGACGGACAGTCAAGGTGTCCGTGGATTTCTCGTATGCAACCCAGCAGTCCAGAGCAAACGATTCCGGCCAACATCAACCAGCAAACCCCCTGCAACCGCAAACCTAGAAGGATCTAAACAACTTTCCACGCGACCATGCACGTCGCGACAGGGTTCTCCGCCCCGGCCAACGGGTATACCCCAGAGCCTTCTTCGCCCAGGCCGAGAGTACACCCCAAGTTGTGCACTTCGCCCAAGGAGTTGACTCGGATGTCGTTCGTCGTCGTGGGCTTGGTTGTTTGCTTTTTAGAGTTCAGTGGAAGTCTCTTTGCTTTGGATACATACCTGCTCTTTTCACATCAGGAAGGTCATATTCGAATTTGAATAGCGAGAAATATAGCCCATCATGGCAGAGACTAAAGAAACATCCCATAATGGAAGTTCAAGTAAGAAACTCTCACATCAGAGAAATAAAAATCCTTGAGATCGATACACTGACCCATCCATCCAGACACCTCCCCTAACCCCCAACCCCTCGACAAACCCGAAATGACCCACATCGAAGAACTCCCCACGAACGAAACCCAACCCCCAAGCCACACCCCTTCCTACGAGAAGAATGCCGACGTCGAAGCCCACACCGACCAACCCCAAATGACCTTCGCCCGCATGATGAGCCTCATCGCCATGGCGTTCCTCTGGACCGGCTCCCAAATCCCCGTCTACCTCTTCGGCGGAGTCCCTCCGTACATCTACGGAGATATCGGCGGCACGGATCGCTGGGTGTGGTTCGTGTTGGCGAATCTCTTGTCGTTGGCGGCGGTGTGTCCTTTCGTCGGGTCCATCAGTGATCTGATAGGAAGGCGCTGGGTCGCGTTGATCGGGGCGGGATTCCTGGTGCTGGGCATGATTGTGTGTTCGACTGTGCATGATATGAATTATTTCATCTGCGGGATGGTGTTCGCTGGGGTTGGGGCGGGTGAGTCCTCCGCATCCAAATCCCCCTTCATTCTTTCAAACAATACTGACGCAACGCAGGTATCAACGAACTCACCGCCCTCGCCGCAACCTCAGAACTCGCACCCACGAGCAAGCGCGGCGCGTACGTAGCCGTCTTGATCTTCACCATCGTACCCTTCGTCCCGAGTGTGATGTACGGCCAGCTGATCGCGTACTACTCCTCCTGGCGATGGCTGGGTCTGATCTGCGGCATCTGGGCTTTCCTGGGACTCCTCATGATCGCCTTCTTCTACTTCCCTCCGCCTCGTGTCAATAGCGAGGGGATGTCCAGACGGCAGGTCCTTGGCCAGATCGACTATATCGGTGGACTGCTGAGTATTGGCGGCATGCTTCTTTTCATGGTGAGAAGTATCGGTGTGAATCTTCGTCGTAGCTACGACTGACATTGAACTCAGATGGGCCTTCAATGGGGCGGCTACCAATACGACTGGGATAGCGCCCACGTCCTCGCCCCCTTAATTCTCGGCGCCGCCATGCTGGTCGCATTTGTGATCTGGGAAGGCTACGCACCATACCCCATGTTCCCTTGCCGTCTTCGACAAGAGCCACGGACGATTGGCCTCTTGCTAGTCATAACTGCAATTAGTGGAGCGAATTTCTTCTCCATCTTGATGTTCTGGCCCACGCAAGCCTTCAATGTATACGGACACGATCCCGTTGGTGTGGGACTTCGCGGTTTCCCGGTTGGATTCGGCATCATGGGCGGGGCGGTTATCGTTCTAGTATTGCTTTCCGTCTTCCGTGGACATAACAAGGAACTCATGATTGTTTCTTCTGTGTTGATGACTGCAGGGTGTGGCTCTCTTGCCGTCGCCAAAGTCGATAATATGGGTACGCTCTGGGGACTGCTGACGCTGGCTGGTCTGGGCATTGGCGGGATCGTGGTTCCTGCGTCGATTATCAGTGAGTGTGCATGCTCGAAGACAGTGCGGGCGGGTACTGACTTATTGGCAGCAACCATCATCTGCCCAGACGACCTCATCGCAACCGTCGCCGCCCTCACACTAGCAATCCGCGTAATAGGCGGGAGCATAGGCTGTGAGCACAACTCCCTCGCCCAACTCTACCACCAGCTAACAAGCCATCAACAGACTGTGTCTACTACAACGTCTTTGTATCAAAATTCGTCCCAAAAGCCACGGTACCTCCCCCAAACCACCCAACTCCTCATCGATACTAACAATATCCGCAGACACATATCGGCGGATGAATGATGCTCCAGCTGAACATCACCAACGAAACCATCATCGGCGAAGCCATCAAGCTCACCGCCGATTCCCTGATCGATCGCATTGCGGATCTGCCGGGTGTCGTCGGCGTCCCTGGCGCTCATGAGGGGATCGTGTATGCCGGGCAGGTTGCGTATGCTGAGGCGTATGTTTATGTGTATCTTGTAAGAGCCACCGTATGTCCATGTCAGATGTTGCGCAGGGCTAATCGCCATGTTCTAGGTCAGCATTGCGTTCGGGTCTATCAGCATCATCGCCGCTTGTTTCCTGGGTGATATTTCGAAGTACATGGACGATCATGTGGCTGTTGTGATGTGATGAACGAATCAAACAGAGAACTGTCTGGATCAGGATCAAGAAAATGCTGCCGCGGATTGGCTTCAGACAGGAGAGACACGGATCGCGAATGAAAATGCTTCTTACATCTGCTGAAAGTCGTTTGTATTGCAGCTTTAGTGTTTCCGTCAGCTGACCAAGTACAAGACTGCAGCTCTGTTCTACCGTTGCTCATTCCATCGTATTGCTGCCGAGAGACGAGTTCATCACGCGCTCCATGCGACGGTGCTCACCAAATGCACAGCGCGAAGCTGCGCAGATCAAAGTCGGCCAGCGTCGTCACCGTTGAGCATTTGTCGTCGTCTCGTACGACCACTCGCTCGATAAGGGCCAACCATTTCTGCAAGAACATTGGTCCTGTCCCGCGGTGTGCGCTCGGCAATCTGCATGCTTGCACCTTGCTCGCCTCGTGCATGCGTAAGACGTCCTGAACAGGCCGTTTCCCCCGCCAAGTCGGCTGGTCGCTTGCGCCGTCGTCGCTGAGGTGAGCTTCCACCGTCCCCAATCCCCATCCAACATGCTGGAGCTCGTTCCACAAGTCGTAGTAAAGGTGCTCTCATCTCTTGATAATCGTAATGATGTCTTCGTCCTCCAGTTGGTGGCTCAGACCGACTCGCTGAGGTTGATGCTTCACGCTGCGGCCGTAGACGATAGCAATTCGAAACTGATCGACGATGGTCTTGTGGATGGAGTTGCAGAAGTCCTCGACCGTAGAAGCTGTGCTCCTTAGCACGACTGGTGCAGTGTAATCCGGTAATCTTCCCTTCGGCTTGGTGTACACCCGGCGCAAGTTCAACTTCTCCCACATTTGCTCCAGCAACTCGTCGATGTTCCAGCCATGCTCTGAAGAGATGGGACAAGCGTTTGGAATACGGTAAAGAAGATCCAGCTCCTCGATACTGATGGCGTCAATCTTGTTGAGCGCGTAAATGACAGGAATGTAGGCTCGACTCTTCGCTTCGATAACATCGATGAGATCGTCGACAGTCGCGTCACATCGAATAGCAATGTCGCAATTGGCCATACGGTACTCGTTCATCACAGCCTTGATCTCGTCATGGTCGATGTGAGACAGCGTCTGTGTGGTGGTGATGGAAATGCCGCCCTTGTCCTTCTTTGTGATCTTGATATTCGGCGGCTGCTTGTTAATGCGAATGCCAAAGCCCTCCAACTCCGTCTCAATGACCCGCTTGTCCGTGAGCGGCTTGTTCACATCGAGGACGATGAAAATGAGATGGCATGTCTTGGCGACGGCAATGACCTGCCTACCTCTTCCCTTGCCATCCTTCGCACCCTGGATGATACCAGGAAGATCGAGAATCTGGATCTTGGCTCCGTTGTAGACCACCTGGCCGGGGACAGTCGTGAGGGTTGTGAACTCATATGCAGCCGCTTCTGAGTGCTGGCCTGTGAGCCGCGACATCAGGGTCGATTTACCCACTGAAGGGAACCCTATGAAGCCGACAGAGGCCACACCAGTACGCGCAACGTCGAATCCAACTCCACCGCCGCCTCCACCGGTCGTGGGAGTGAGCAACTCTTTTTTGAGCTTCGCCAACTTGGCTTTAAGTTGCCCCAAGTGAAAGGACGTCGCTTTATTGCGTTGAGTTTTGGCCATCTCTTCCTCGATCCCCTTGATTTTGTCCACGGTGGTCGCCATGATGGAGGAATAGAAGGGGGGAGGCTGAAAATCGGTTGTGGAGGTCGATTGGGATGTTTGGGGCTGCCGAAGTCGTGACGGCGAGCTTGTTTTGCTGAATCAGCAGATTGGCAGTCTTAGTTGAATTTGCTGAGTCCAGAGAGATCGTATATGTGTTGTGGTTGTCGTGGTGGTCGTCGAAAAGTATTAGAGGAAAGAGAAACCGGGCGAGGCTGTGACGAAATCTGGAGGTAGTCACGTGCGCCTCAGAATCTCCCAGCAACAATCTTTACGTCCACGGTAATCGCTATGATGTGCTGCGATCGCTGGAATGTTATTTCGTGGGGATCGTGTGCCTTTGTCGGCGTCGTACAGGCAATATTTGGGCGTGCGAGAGGAGGTGTCGTTGGTTTATAGTTGATTTACCACCAAATCATTCCGTCTTGAGCATCATTTTGAGCACGCCATTCCACGTGACCGGACAAGGCTGTAAATAGCAGTCTTTTCAACATCTCGGAGCATTCAAAATCTGACCATGGCAAGCGGCGACCGTATAAATTGACTGCTATTTACCAGCTGAAGGGGCTCTGAGTATCACCATCTGACGTCCCTCTCTCGGCCACACCCGCGATATCTCCCGGCTCGTCGGCAGCAATTCGCACCATCTCTCAGAACCTGACACATTCCCTCGCGGTAGACCGCCACGTCTCACACGCACGCCCGGCACCGCATCCTGCAATGCAACGAAAAGGAAAATGGTTCACCGGACGGTCGCTCTGAGCATCGATTTGCCGAAGTGACCATGAAACGTTATCGCGGACGCAGTCAAAACGGATCTTGTCTCGATGGGACTGGTGGATGGGATGATGTTCGTGTGTGTATTGCGTGGCTCAAGGTCGGTTGCGGGCGGCTGAGCGATGGAGCTGCTGCTGCTGCTTGCTTGCTCAACATGGATGGCTCCCGTGATTTCGGTACTGTTGGGGACAGATAATACTTGCTCACCCTGCCCTCCTCCCCTCCGGTGTTGGTCGTTCCTCCTCTCGGTCTTCTTGTGAGCTTCACAGCTGCCTCAACAGTGAACGCTGCAAACATTCTCGCAATCCATCACGACTCTTCCAACTTCATCGAGCACGATCTCTGCGCAAACTTTTTTCTGCCATTCTTTCGTGCTTCACCACTGAAAGAGATATATATCCTCGTTCTCGCTGCAAGCTTGACCTTCTTTCCAACCACCATGGACTCATCCATCAACATGGCTTCCCACTCCACCACCTCCACCTCCAAACCCGCATCAATTCACGACTCCGCCCGAGGCTCGCCCGTCCCCGAAGACGCCTTCCACCACCTCGTCCAAGAAATCAACGCCATCCTCGGCCCCAGCAACGGCATCGACAGCGCGGGTGTCGACGTCAACGAGCTCAAAAAGGCGATGCTCGACTACCGATCCGTCGAGCACGAGTGGTCCCAATACGCCTTCGCCGACCATAGCAGAGCGTACACGCGGAATCTCGTCGATCGTGGGAATGGAAAGGCTAATCTGGTGAGTCGACAACTGCTTTTGCTTTCTACCATCAGCTATTTCTTTTCTCTTTCAAATTTCAATCGCTATTGTTAGCGACTGTCAAGACTTTGTTCTTCCCTTCTGAAAAAGGTTCACCATCTACCTTTCTGTACCTGCGTCTTTGAACCTTTTCGACATGCCAGGCCTCCCATGGCCACGTCAAAAAGTATCCGCTACCACACCTCCATAAAGAAATAGCACGACTAGCTTTCGCTTTCGTACTAACAAAAAACTGTTCGTAGCTCGTTCTTGTCTGGACGCCCGGCAAAGCTTCGCCCATCCACGACCATGCCAACGCGCATTGCGTCATGAAGATATTGAAGGGCTCACTCACTGAAACGCTCTACGGCTGGCCTTGCCAACGGGCCGATAACCCGACCAGTTGTGCCACGGCACCAGACTCGCTGTATCCCAGCACGCAGCATACCTGCTCCGCGCGAACGCAGCTGATGGGGCCGAAAGAGCTCGCGGTCATAAAGGAAACCACGTATGAACAGGAACAGGTCACTTACATGAGTGATAGCCTGGGGCTGCATCGCATCTGCAATCCGAGTAAGGATGAAGTTGCCGTCAGTCTGCATCTGTACACTGTGAGTATGACCACATAGGGCAATCGCTTTTCGACGACGCATCGCTGACGATCGCCAGCCTCCCAACGCCGCCAAGCACGGCTGTCATATCTTCGATGAGAAGACTGGCAAGAAGACACATGTCTCGCAATGCCACTTCTACTCCGAGCTCGGTGTGAAGATGTGAGGAGGCCTTCGGGGCCGGCGACCGGACCTGACGATTCAATGACTTTGCTTTTCACTCCTTGATGTACTTTTAGCGGTGGTGTTGGTGTTGGGGATCCCGTTCTTCGCAGATTGGACGTATCGATGGGGATCCAGATTGATTCATCATCAACATGGAGAGAAGGATCGCAGGCCACGCACATGGACAAATGGCGTTGTGTTGGAGATCGGCTGATCAGCCTTTTCGGATTCCGTGGACAATCGTTCGTATGCGAAATGAAACGCCGCATTGACTTTTCGGTGTGATTCAACAACCATATCTGGTTTGATTTGAAAACCTGATCTTGAAAGCTGACCCCTCGATTGCCCACGAGACTCGAAGCAAGGAGAACGTAGGAGCGACAACTGGAAGGCATGGTTTAGTAATGAAGGGTGTAATGGGTGACGGCGGTGCTTGTGGGGTTACTTGATGTCAGTACCGCCCTCCAAGGTTGACTTTGTTTCGAAACCAAAGACGGAGAGAAGCCCGCTGCGAAGGACCTCATCATGTAGCCTGCAGTCGAGGTGGAGTCGGCCAGGATCCGAATGACTCGCCCGACAAGCGGCAGGCTTGATAGCTTGCGTTTCCAGCCTATGCAAACCTGATGTCGAATTGCGGTGCCTCGGGGTTGAAGAATCGTCAAACAATCATCCTGTGTAATGGCTACGGCAGATTGGCGATTGGTAAGGATTGCCGCGACATTGGGCAGCAGTGGAAAGGTCCAGGCTGCCTTTTGCAATGACTCGACATGTTGCACACCTCTTGGAAGATACCGTATTCGATTGACGATCAACAAGGCCAGCAGGAAATCATCATCGCCAGTCTGACTCCATGAGACAGGTCAGGTCGCGCAAGAGATGTTCCAGGCCAGGTGACACCGTTTAAACTCTTGGGCTTGAGTACGCCAATCGTGTCACCGAGCAGCCGCAAGCCTTTGGCATCGGAGAATAGCAAATTCAATAGGCCAGATAGCGGGTCGAATGCTGCGAAAATAGTAAGGTTGATCGATTGATCGATTCGAAGGCTTCTCTCACGACTCTATAGGCCACCAGGAGTCAGGCGGCGTACGACCGGCGTCGATGTCGTCGCTAATAAGGATCGGACCGTGACCAATGCGCGCACGCCAGGCAGAATTCTGTTCGGCACCGACAGCATCAGGGCATTCGAAGAGGCATCTTTTCTGAAACAGCAGCATGCCACGCTGAACTGTATTGTCTTGATTGCGCGAACAGGATCAAGAGTCAGTCGGGAGATGGCCTCGCTTCCGCTGTTGCACGGTCCCGGGGTGGTGTAGAGTGGTCTTACCACGGCAACGCTGCTCGCACGTCATCCTTCGATCTAAATTAATCGGTTGGAGTGCAGCTGCTAGCATGTGTTGGATTCGGTACTTTGAACCCGCGATAGGTTGATCCCTGAAACTAGTGTGCAACGTGAGCATAGCTATCCTGGCCCAATTCGTACTGCATGGCGGGCGAGAAGAGACGATTGACGGACGATGTTTCGCATGTCGCTGGCAAACGTCCATCGAGCAGGCCGTAGATCGATTCGGAGCCCATCCAGAAGCGGCCAGCGCAAAGCAGCGCAAAGATGAGGCGGTCTAACGTCTGGGCTACGTCGAGGACGAGGCAGCGAGTGGGATGCAAGAGTCGTTCCTTGACCATCCCTGCAACGGCAGCGCAGTAGGAGCAAATGGCGAGCTCGAGGATAGATGTCGAGCTCGCGGTTGGTCGTGGTGGTCATGGGGTGGGCAAAGGAGCGTATGTCCCACAGCTTACGCAGCGTGGAGGAGTAGAGAATAGTCAGTATCAGTTTAGAGTTGGCCGAAGAAGGAAGTAGAGAGGGCATGGGCCAACGAGAGGCGGCAGAGGTGGAAGAGATGTTGGTAGCTTCGTGGGTGAATGAGTGAGGAGCGCCTAGTTATTTCGAGCGCGGGGGTTGAGGTCGAGATTAGATTCGGCGCCGCGATACCGAGACACGCATCGAATTCTCCTCTATCTTCACTCCCCAGCGTCACCGCCAGCACCACGACGACGTCGCAATTTCTCGGATCAAGATTCCCAGCACACGAAGTTGGAATAACCTTTCTGCTGCTCGTCTCACTTAAACTGAAACGACAATCGCGGTTGCGCGCCGCTGCCGATCCGTGTGAGACGAGCCTGGACGTTCTGGCTGCCCCCGCGCGACAACGACATGGTGAGACTCGGAGACGGTGGAGGTGCAGCAACAGCGGCGTCGGCGGCCGGCAGAGAACGTTGAGGCCCGTCGACGCCGTCGATTGGTCGATTTTGAGGAATTGCGACCAATCGCATGCCCGGTTTTGTGCGTGCCTTGGGCGCTAGGCGTGGGCTGCAGCGCGACGCGAAGGGGAAAGGCGTCTGTCTCGGAAGCGATGATCACTTTCGTGTTCAGAACATGCCCCCAAAACAACAACAATGGGTGAGGTGAGGTAACAATGGGCAGGCGTGCCTATTCTCGCGTGGAGCACGAGAGCCGTTTCTGACACTGGAGCAATGAAGACGCAAAGACCCGGCTGGCGGCTGCCACTGGAAGAGTGTTGTGCAGCACTAGCTGGTCGCAGGGCGAGGGTCGAGGGAGGGATCGCTAGTCCGAGCGTCATGCAGGCGGACCAGTTGCCAGCGCCGCTCATTCGACTGCCATGTTTCGGTCGCGATGCTGCGGCCGGCCTGCTGCTTGCCTGCGTCTGCCCAAGTGGAGTGGACCGGTGCGATGCTGCTGCTGCTGCTGCTGCTGCTGCTGGAGACGGTAGGTGAGGATGATGAGGGATGCACCGCGGCCGTGCCAGCTGTTTCGGCCCTGGGCCTGCCGCTGCGTGACACCACCACCCAGCAGCACCCATCCATCCTCCTGCTAGCCCCATCGCCGTCGTCGTCGTCGACTGGGCAGCCTCGGCCAGCACCGTCGCCGCGACAAGGTTGCCGTCCATGCGCGCGATGCGATGCGATGGCGACGCAGGGCTGCTCACGGTCTTCCCCCAGCGCGCCGTCCCGGGCCATGGCCCAACCTAGAGATCCACGCCTCCGCAGCCCTCACTTCTTGATCTGCCTCACTCTCACGCTCGCTGTTCCTCCTGCAACCTGCGCGCTGCCCGGGGCCCGCCCGTTGCATATAACTATAACCTTCCCTTCCCGACCCTGTCCCACCACCGCCGCCGCCGCCGCTGCTGTGAACGACACCCATCCTCTAGACTTGTGTACCTGCTGGCCCGCGCAGCATGTTCCTACGTCTGTTGTCGTCTGCTGAAGCTGCTGCACCTGCTGCCACGCCTGTATGCGCTCCGAGCCCGCCGTCCCTCTGCTCCGCTGCAGGCGCCGTCCTGCCGCCATAAGCGTCAAGCCACAGCGTGTACGGCCTGCGGCACTTGCGCGCGAGTCTCTGTCCTGCTGCTGCCACCTCCTCCGCCCTGTGTAGCGTGTCTGCAGCCTGTCCGCGCAGCCTGACGCTCCAACCCGGCCGTGCCTGTCCTCGACCCAGGCCATGGCCGACGATGAGCGCAACGCCGCCTATCGATCGTCCCCGCCAACCCACTGGGGCCCCAGTCCGCACGTCTATCCGCACTCTCACCACGGCACGCCTGCACAGGAGTACTCGGGATTCAGTTTCTCGTCGCCTCAGATCCCCATGGAGCCCAGCGCCTTCAGCAGCAGCATGCAGCAACGACCCATGCATCAACAGTTGCAACCACTCGTTATGCCGCAATGGCCATCAATGTTGAACAGTCAGGCCCACTCAGCCCCTTACCAACCGATGTTCCCTCAACCAGTTCAACCCATCCAGCCAATGTCGATAGGTCCGCTGCAGACGCCCGTCTCGGCGACGTCGTCAAGGTCAACATCGACGCCTCGAAAGACGCTCACCGATATGGACCGCAAGCGAATGTGTCAGTACGCAGAGGAGCACCCGAACAGCAAGCAGACAGAGATCGGAGGTGAGTTGGGTGTCGATTTGAGCCGTTGATCGATCGCGCTGACGAATTCGTAGCCATCTTTGGTGTGGAACGAAGGTACGATGGAACACGATCGAGACGATGATTGGAGTTCCCATACTAACGTTGGAACGCAGTACGGTGTCCAAGGTGCTACGTCAAAAGGAGAAGTACCTGTTTCAGGACGATGGCTCGCGATCACCCATCAAGCGCGCCAAAGGACGGTCTCCTGACATCGAACGAGCCCTTGCTGTCTGGGCCAAGAATCAGGTATGATCTTGAGCAATAGATGTTCGGTGACACATCCGCTCACAATTGTCGTAGGAGAAGAAAGGCAACCCACTTTCAGACGATCTTATCCGTGAGAAGGCGCGCGCATTCTCGGCGACCACGACAAGCCCCGACAACCACGTTGCGTTAAGCTCCAGCTGGATCGAGAAGTTCAAACTCAAGAACAACTTGATGGGTGCGCGATCGCGGAAAGCCTCTCTAGCTGCAGATGAAGATGGAGCATCTGCAGCAGCTTCTTCATCTCACACTCCTGGCGACACTTCACCCGTTTCACCTTCAGGTATAGGTTCACCGTCACCATTGGAACTACACAGCACACAGAGTCACGAGAGCCTGAAGAACGAAAGTCCGGATAGCTACCTCGATTTCGGCAGCAGACATGGGCCATTCCACTCACAGAGTACGAATTCATTGAACAGCGCCTTCACAGACACGGCACCATCGTCTTTCTCACCCGGTCCCATAAGTCCAACTTCACCATTCTTCACTCCAGATTCAGGAACGGCACCTTCACCTTTCGTCCCTCAAACAGCACGACCCATCCTCCCAGCGACGACAACAAACACCAACAGCCATCGACCGCGAAGTCAAACCTTCCCTCTATTAGACCAGTACATGGCCAGTTCAGGGGAAGCCGTAACACCAAAATACATCAACACCACAGCCCTCGACTCACCCATGGAAGAACCCCCCGACCCCATGGTCAGCCTCGACGAAGCCGTCAACTCGAACCAACCCGAAGACAGACCACCCACCGTAACACCCTCAGACACGATGCGGCCACCCCCTCTCCCCGCGCACATACTACAACAGCAACAACAACACCAGTTCCAACCGCACGACGACGCCAAAACCACCCCTCCCCCAACAACGCCCGAAGAAGCGCGGAGAGCGCTCGTGGTCGTCCTCACCTTCTTCGAACAGCAACCCCACGGCTTCCTCGACTTGCAGGAAAGCATCACGATCGGCAAGCTCATGGAGAAACTCAAACTGCACTCGAGAGGAGGCAGCAGTAGTTGATGAAAAGAAAGACACGACATTGATTTCTAACCTTCTCCTTCAAGCGTTTTGATTCGTTTCTACTACCCCCTGAAGTTTATGTTTGGCTTTTGTATTCGTTGCTTTTGGCATGTATAGTGTGATGGATGTAAGGACGGAATGGACGTATGGATGGACTACCCAAGCTCTTTTTTGATGCTACTGTTTTTTTCGGCTTTGTTTCGAAAACATGTGCGTATTTTGTATGGAGCTGCTTGTTTGATGGGAGGACAACAAAAAATGGGAACAGGACAACAACAAGAAACCTGCAAAAGAAAGATGGGAATCTAAGTCCGCTCACGCGGCAACATTGCATGTCTTTTTGGGGAACGCGTCGTCACCATCATCGGAAGAGAGAAGCAAGAAGTCATCTGATCCATTTTTTCGGTACCTGCGACGGCTGGTCTTTCGATTCATCAAGAGCGGTATTGGAGTCTCTTAACGGAGCTCTTGCCCCTTTCTACAAACAAGACTCCATTACTATACCTACCTGCCTGCAGCAATACCTGTTATCCTTCCACACCGACACTACACTCCCTCTTCCCATCCAATCCACCCATCACTCACCGACTCCCCAACTCCGGAAACAGCCGCACGACAATCAACTCGACCGCCAAAACGACCAGATGTTTATTGACGTACGCGTCGGCCAGAAGATCCAGCACTTGCGCCTCGACATCCTCCCTCATCAGATCGTGGTCTTTGGTCGCGAAAAAGGCCGCGCCGACGACGTCGGGCATCATCGCTTCGACGATGGCGCGGGCGCACTCGCGTTTAATCTCGACGACCTCGTCGCTTGAGGGCGGTTGTGCGCGGCCAGCAGCGAGGACGTTGTCCGGGAAGAGGGCGCTTCGGGCGGCTTGCAGCACGGGGGGCAGCCAGTCTGGGGCGGCGGCGAGCAATCTCTGGTGGATAGTGGACGACATCAGCCTGCAGTTTCAATCACCCAAGTCAGCTGTTCTGTCCGATTCTGCTTTTGGGCGGTGACGTTATGGTCGCGTGGGTTGGGTAGGGGGTGTGCATGTGGGTGGGTGTTGCTGGAGAGGGCAAAACAGCCGTATTGACGTGCATATGCACGACGAGCATGATGATTGTTTCTCTGGCGTGAGGATGGGAGCAGCAGCAGGGAAGGGAAATTCGACGACGACCAAAGTGACAGGGTCGGCTCGACATGCTGGCGATTGCCGACGTGTGGTGGTCTTGGGGTCTTTGTCGTCTGGCGAATAGCACGCCCAAAGCGCTGTATCCTGCTATGAGTGGCGGATATTTTGTGACGTCGGCAGTGGGAGGCACTTGGGGGAAGCTCCGCTTGCGGAAGGCTTGACACGGACGGCGCAAGCGGCTGCACTGGCGTTAAGGTTTGGGCCGGACGGCTCGCTCGCACAGACAATAAATGGCATGCAGAGGCCCGCCGAGGGCCGAACCCTCACGGGGTGCGTTCCGTAATGCAGCGCCAGAGATTCGATATCGTGAAGACCGCCAATGTCGTGTTGAGATATTTTCGAGCCGGTCGGTGTGCGTCGATGCCCAACCTCATATACTGGCCAGCGAGGGTGTCGTAACCGAAGCTAAGCGACAGCGGCGTTGGGGTCGAATCGCCAAAAAGTAATCAGAGGTATTCGATGCCATGCAAGCCTCCTTGGATGTCGTCGCTCGCTGGCGTGCCAAGCAGCATGGACGGATAGATGGGAATGAAACACGGCCAGCTGTCGACCTGCGGTCCGAAGCATGACATTGGTTCGCACGGGAATCAGATGACTGGTGAGCAATGCAGGCGCCCGACGGTGGCTTGCTCGCTTCGGCGAATGAGCTGGCAGGATCCGAGTGTTGCAGCATCTAGTCTCGAAGGATAGACTCCGGACGAATGCGGTAGCTCGCAAGTAGTAGCGCCTCGGATTTAATCGAAGATGGAGACGAAGAGAAGAAAGAGAGCTGCTTACCTGTCCAATCTGCTGTTCGTCTGGCAAAGCTGACCCGGCCCTTGCAGGGAAAGCCTCTGTACAAGAGACAGGATGCCTGACAGCCATGGCATGCGTTGGTCGAGAGACAGAACCTCTGAGATGCATCCCCAGATGTGCATGTCGACGATTGGTCGCTTCGCCTTTGTTGCAGAGGGAGTCTCGACCAGGCCAGAAATCGTATTTGTCGTAACAGGAACTCCTTCTGACGCCTTTGATTTGGAAGGGTTGCGGCTCGACCGTGCTGGAAGGGTGCCCGCCTGCATGAGAGCGATGAAGCAAGCTCGAAGCAGGACCCAAGCTGTTATCACGCATTGCATGGTGAACCAAAACGTATGAGAAAGAGCATCGAAGCGCCTGCGGGGCCTCCCGTGAGGAAGCGGATCCTCTGATGCGCGTGAGGCTGCTAGCAACCCGTACTCATCGAGTCGATTTAACGGTACCGAGGAGTTCTTCGGGAGCGTGCCTTTGACGGACCGTAGGGAGCGGAGTAGTTTTGCCACGCCGTCCCATATTAGCCAGGGCTCACACGCCTTCCCGCAAATCCCGTTGCGAAAGATCAGCTCTGCGAAGACTTCGGATACCAAAACATCCAGGCAGGGATTCTGAAGGTCTTCCGGTGGTAGTAGCAGAGGTAGAACACGGTTTACCAGAAGCAAGCACCACGCAGTCTCGTTCTCAGATTGTCTGTGAGCCGTGTCGTCGTCAAGCGGGAGGGGCTCTAACGCCACGTGAGGATTGAGGGCATGATAGCGCAACTGCACCTCGCGAGCCGTTGGACTTCCCGTCCTCGATGCTCTGCATGTCTTGATCGCTACGAGAGTCAGCTTCACACGCATAGACAAATCCCACACGCAAACTCAAATTACCTCTAACGTGCGTGGCCAGAAGATCTGGCACCTCATCAAGAAGAAGGCCCTCGAGATCGACCTTTCTCAGCCGCTGTTCCAGACCCCGCGTGCAGTGTGCGATGATCTGGACAATCTCGCTAACGAATTGCTGATCGGGCGTGATGCGGTTGTACCACGTCTGGACGAAATTGCTCAAGATGACGGCGATGAGCGCGTATAGCTGGATGTCGACTTCGTTTGAGCTCGTGAGCGGTGGCAAAAGCTCTTCGAGGGAACTGTCTTCAATCTTTCGAGTCGGGACGTCCGGATCTGTTCCTGCCGTCGGTGGCCTCGAACAAAGGATCTTCTTGATGTACGCGATCGTAGCCTCATTGTTTTGGGGATTTCGCTTCTGACTGCTGAGCTGATCGCGACCGGCGCCGCTGCGGGATACTTCATCGCGAGATGACACACGCGACTGTGCTCTCGTGGCTAATCGCGGGCCACTCTGAGCCATGTCGAGGCGTGTCCGATGCCATTGAATCTGAAGATTGGCCCGGTGTGAGAAGGTGCTGTTGTCCCAGGTGTTCGGGTCGTCGGATCGGCCCGCGAAACAGAGTTCACGCAACCGCCGACGCTATCCCGAACATACACTTCTTCCTATTGACTGCTTGTGACTGCTGCAAACCACTCCATCATCACAACTCCTGAACCGAATTACCAACATGGCTGCAGCAACGCTCGACGAACTCGACGGTAAGTGGACTCGTTCCTCGCTATAGGATCCGGGCTAATGTACTGCAGCCCAACTACGCGCCATCATCAGCAACCTCTACCTCCTCATCGTCCAAGCACATGACTACCAAGGCCAAGGAACCCAGCAGGCGATGAGCGCCGAGATGTATGGAACTGCCCGCTCTTCCTCCCTTCTTCGCGTGTACTCATTAGTTCATAATCACAGACGAGATCTCGTCCACAACCTCACAGCCATCTCGCAAACCGCCAAGCGCCTCCCCACGCACATTCCAGAGGAAATCATCCAGTACGTCGAAGCCTCGCGGAACCCGGACATCTACACGCGAGAGTTCGTCGAGTTGGTGATGCGCTTCAACCAGCAGCACAAGGGACGCAGCGAGGCCTTTGCGCAGTTCCGCGACATCCTGGGCCAGAGGATGATGGCGGGGATTCCGGAGATTCGGGGCGAAGTCAAGCAGGTCGTCGAGGCTAGTGGAGGGCGTGTGGAGTGAGAGAGAGACTGTTGGAGTTTACTGCTATTGTTTTTTATGTTTCCGCTACGGCATTTTTGGAGTCTTGCGAAAAGATACCCCCCTGGACTTTAAAACAAAGAAATGCATTTCCTCTATGATACCTCAACCCGATGTCTTTAGCCCCAAATCCTTCTTGATCAAATCTGCCGCCTTCTCAGCAACCGCATAAACCGTCGTGATGATATTGCCCCTTGGCTCAATTGGCACAACACTAGCATCCACAACTCTCAAATTCCCTATCCCATACACCCGCAATCTCTCATCCACAACGCCACCCATAGCCTCCGGCAACATAGCCGCCGTGCCGCAGGGGTGATAGTTCGTCGTGGAGAACCCCTTACATATTTCCTTGGCGTCATCGATGTTCGTCGGGTCGAGGTTGGCTGGTAGAGTCTTTCCGCCTGGTTTGAGGAACGAGGCGAGGGGCTGTGTTTGAGCGAGTTTGGCGAGGGATTGAACGTGGCGGGCGTGGAATTCGAGGTCCAGGGGGTGGTTGTAGTAGTTGAAGTGGATCGTGGGTTTGGTGGTCGGGTCGCTGGACTGGATGTGTGAGGAGCCTGTGGAAAGGGGGTAGGACAGCATGCAGGAGAGCGTGATATAATTGCCCTCTTTGACGGGAACCACGGGCCTCCGCGATTGAAAGGCTGTCGATGTGCCCTGGTCTGGGGAGAGTGTCGTCTTGCAGATGAAGTCGTGCTGGGCTTTTGCAAAGCTAGAGCCAGAGCTGGGAGGGTGTTGCTCGACCACCTTCGAGAGCTCTTCCTTGCCAGCCGCATCAAGGAACGGGGGCAGTGGCATGTAGGCGAAGCTGTGGGCCGTCCACGTCCAAGGCCCTGTGCGATCTTTCTCGTACGACGCCCTCATCTCGCTCGACGACACACTAGCACCCGGCTCATAGCCATCGATCTCTTCGAAGGATATGGCCGCCTTGATGTGGTCTTGCAGGTTCTCGCCGACGTTGACGTTCGCGTGCTTGACTTCGATGCCGTGTTTCTGCAGTAGCTCTGGGTTTCCAATGCCGGACAACTCCAAGAGCTGAGGCGTGTTAAACACACCGCTTGCGAGGATGACTTCTTTCTTGGCTTTGACTTGGAACTCAGCGCCGTTTTTGGAGTACAATACGCCCGTCGCGGTCAAAACGCCATCTTGCTGCTTCTCCAGCTCGACTTTCCGAACGAGAGCACCCGTCACAAGGTGTACATTCTTCCTCTCACGCACAGGATTGAAAAACGCGACGCCCGCGTGACTTCGCTCGTATTTATCACCGCTGATATGACACGTCGACGTATGACCTCCCAGCGCATGGCCCTCAAGAGGATCACTGCGATTCTCCAAGCCCAGGGTGCGGAACGTGTCCACCCAAGCCTTCTGAAGTGGTCTGACCGTGGGAGGAAAGGCAGCTTTCAGCGGACCATGCGAGGCAGCTATTGTCTCATCGTTGTGTGCAACATGCAGGTCCTTCTTCACTTCCGGTGTAGGCGGATAAATCGTCTGGAACTTCTTGAAGTACGGCTGGATACTCTTCCAATCCCATCCTTTATTTCCCAACTCGGCCCAAGCATCCATACCGGCCGCCGATGGGTAAATCAGAGCGAAAGAGTTGATGGAACTCGTGCCGCCTATGATCTTGCCTCGAGGATGGAGAATCTGTCTGCCATTGATGCCGGGTTCGATCTCAGAAGTATAGCGCCAGTCATACTGGTCGTTTCCAAGCAGTGCGGTGCACAAGCCGGGAGTGTAGACATTCTCGTCGGCAGATTGATCTTCTCCAGCTTCAACCAGGAGGATGGAGACATTAGGGTCCTCAGACAGTCGATTCACCAAGACACAGCCAGACGTGCCTGCCCCGACAATAATGATGTCAAACTCATCGCTGCTGTCGCCCGTCGAACCCATTGCTGTTGGTGTGTTTGTGTTGTTTGTCCGACTCACTGATGTCGAGATTCAGCACGTATATGGCAAGCTAGATGCACCTTCTTAAATAGGCGAAGTGTGCGGCTGGCGATGCACATCTAGATGAGCCGCCGCCCGAACCACGAGCGCCGGCGATTAGCGACAGCAACTGGCGGCGATATCAAAAGATTGACTTTTACAACTCGTAAGCAGGGCCGCAACCGCCGCAGACCTGCAGCTTTGCACTTGTGAGCTTCCCAAATGGTGCAAGCCATCGCTGTTAGTCTGTGTACAAGAATTCAGACTGTGGCAGCAGCAGTAGGCTCGGAGCTCGTGGTTCGGACCACAATCCTTGAATGAAGTTTTCGCAGAAGCTTAGATTGGGGTATACTTGCGCAGAAAGTCGTTATATGTACAATGTCTATGAGCCAAAATAGCCTATAGAAGAGCGATCATCGTCAACCACACGACCGTACCTTTTAAATTGTTAGCAGACTCATTCACAGACATGCGGCAAGGATTGACTTACTCTAGCAGCAGCCTGAAAAACCAGACCTCAAAGTCTTCATTTCGAAGAGCTTTGAATGCCCAGTCTCTTCCAGCTTCTGCTATGCTCGATGCCATTGACTTGCCTTCCTCCTCTGCGTCCAGGAATCTTACAGCCTCCAATGCTTCCTCCGCCCTTAAGCTGAGCGGTATGTAGTGCACCCACGGCTTGATCCACTCTTCATGCCATTCCCGAAAGATTGCCATCTTGAACGTGAGACTGTGACTCATCAAAAAAGCATAAAATCGTCCAGAGAAGGCATTGCCGTCCAAGTCAAGCAAGTATTTGTACTTCCATGCATCCTGCTGGTCTGCTGGATCAACGATCTGGAAGAACTCTCGTTGCGCATCGCAGTCGCCAGGATCACACTGCCCAACGTGCGAGAAGTGCACATCCATGATTTCTTTGTAGTCTTGTCGTGGAACGTCCTTAACGACCCACTGCCAACCAGGATTTTCGTCCGTAGCTGCCGCATTGCTGTTTTCAAGTACCTTGGCTGTGTCCAACGCATTGACTCTGCGTACAAAGTTTTGTCGATGTTGTCGTTTCCAGCCACCATCTCTGCTGAAGCCACCGGTCGTGCTGCCTCTCCACCACAATCTGTTCTCCTTCTTCGTCCAGTCCATGTCCTGAGCTTCTTTGTATTGGACTTTCCCATACCAGTACCAGGGGCTGGGGTATACGATGTCCTGGAAGCTTGACATCTTGCTCTGGCTGAAGATGGGGAACAGATCGTGGACGACATTGAAGGCGTTGGGTCGATCAAAAAATCCGTGCGACTTGGAGAATGATGGCGAATTGCATACATCGGAGAAAGCGGTCTGGTTGTACACAAAGGCCAACTCACCCAAAGCATACGCGGTGAGATTGTCGGCTGCGAGCGACTCGTCCAGGGGCCTGGCAGGGCTATTGGGAGAACACGATAACCGGGAAGGGATCCACGTTGGCTGATGTGCGAAAACATTGAACCGTGTGGTCTTGACCTCAGCAATGCGCTTGCCGCTGCCAACATCTTTGGGTCGCGTGGAGAATGCATTCTTCAAATTCGTTCGCGCTCCAGCTTTCGGTATGTTTCTCGTCAGTGCGATCTCAACCATACGGGAAAGCTCGTCATGAGGCACGACCACCCGCGGCTCATCGTGTACGTTGAAAGCAAGATCCATGTCGGGCAAGTACTCGACAAACTGCTCTATCATGCCGACAGCAGCTTGCTGGAGCCATTCCTGCCCACCTTCGACGTGCAGTGCCTTGCCGTCACGTATCAGCAGGCCCATCAGTTGATTGTCCCCAAAGCCAAGCGCTTCTCGCGCCCTGGCTCTAATGGTAGCCGGTTCGAGAGCCCAGAAAGGTAAAAGTGAATGGTGGATGGTATCGTACTCGTCAATCAACTGGACGCCTTTCGACTTCGCGAACTCGAACCACTTGTCGAAATGGGGTGGAGGCGCAATGCCATACCTCCGCCTGTACTCGTGGACTGCCGCCTCCAGTGTCTGTGATTGCGACTCGAGCTTGGCAGACCATGAGTCTTGCGAATTCTGTATTAGCGACTTCATAGGATGCGTGCGCTTGTCGGTGTATTGTAATGGCTCGCTAGATGCCTTGGGAGGGGCGACTTCCAGACCCTCGGATGGTGGTGAGGGGGTGGAGGGTATGGGCCTCACTGTGCGAATCGGCTGCTGCAGGTAGTAGAGGGCCAGAACCACGAAAGACACCACCGCCGTCAAGAGCAGCATCTTGCTGAAGCGGAGCCTCATTCTTGAGCCGGACGAGAAAGTATCTTGCTCGTCAAGGAAGGAGAAAGCGGCGCCAGCGCATATTGCTGCGAACCATAACCGCGATGTAGAAAAGCCCAGCAGCAGTTGCGAGGATAGCGCAGCTGCAAGAGGCACAAAAGTCGTCAGAAACGCCCCCCGTCGTTGTATCTGTCGTTGATCGAGTTAGCTTCAAGGTCGAGAAGTAGCAGGTTTGCTGAAGGAAGGTGGGATGTGCCGCGCTTGACGAGGTACATGTACTTGTCAGTTTTTGACTTACCATCATTAAAAGAGCTCCAAACAAGACCATATGTACGATTACAATACCTCCTCCATACACAATGGACAGTATACCCTGTCCAAACTCCCACCCTGCGCCCATCGCCTGGTCGACGAGACCATAGTAGGCGAGTCCTCCAAAGCGACGGCTCTCTAGGACCAGTGCGGCTGCAGAAGTCGCAATGCCACCGGCAACAGATACGTCTCGTACCATTGCAACCCATGGCTCTTCGCTGGGATCTGATGGCTTGCTTGGATGCGTTAGCAGTCCACTCGCCGAGTAAATTATGCTTCTGCCATTCTGCAGATGGTGCTGGGCGGCTCCATTCGCCCGCTCTATCAGATTGAACGCAAACACTTCCAGCACCGCGTGGGACAAGCCCAGCGCGACGACGGAGATGGAGCCAGAGTGTGAGTATGCCGCGAGCAGACCTGCCAGGGTCGTGATGGCCAGATCGGTCCGCGAACCATACCCTTGAGGAGTGTGTGTTGGTTTGGTCGGACTTGTGACTGGAGAGTCGGGTTGCCGATCGGGTTCGTCAAAGATGCCCGCCCTTACGAAGGCATACAGGAGCAGAGGTAACAAGGCCTGTTCTCATCTTTCAGTCAGAGCTCTTCCTTAAGCTTTGTGGGAATATAACCTTCGCCCACCAAATGCCCTTGCCATCAACCGCGCGCTCGCATATCTGCGCCAATGCCAACAGGATCCCGGCAGCCCATGCCAATCTTTGAGATGGGCTCGCGTCCAGCAATGATCGTGCGCCGACTCTGAAGGTGGTATAGGTGGCTATGGCCAGCCAGGCGATGGCGCTGGTGAGGAGGGCGTGTCTGGAGGGAGTGCCGACGTATGCGAGGACGGAAGCGGCGAGCAGGACGAGGGGCAGCGTCAGCGAGGAGGACGCGGCGGCATCGTGCTGGTTCCGCGACAGCAACGATGGCATGGAGGGAGAGGGCGGTGGTGGTGTGCTATGCAGCGGGCATGAGTGCGACGCGAGTGTCTTGAACGCCGTCCTACCTCATGGCGAGCAAGCCAGCAAGCCACGGCGTGACCGCGGGAGAGCCTCTCGGCTGCTGTCGTGGCCCCTGGACGCTGCTGCTGGCGGGTCCTTGTCACCACGACTGGGGCATTCCGACTTCACGTCCATCTGCTCCAGGTGAACAATCAACTATAAATCGACCTCTCCTCCGTACCGCGTCTCTGGCTTGGCCCTCGATGTGCGCAGTAAGCTGCCAGGCACCCGATGCAGCTCAGGCACTGCTGCAGAGCTGCGCACCTAGTACCAACCAACAAGACCAAACTCGCGATCTATGCGACCATCATATCACAGACAACACAACGGTCTGCCCTATTTCTCGCCTGAACGTATACCATTTCCGTCCTACACTGGCTCCTCGATACAAGGGTAGCTATTTGTTATCTTTGAGACGACCCAATCATTGCCGTGGTCAGATGTTGTGCTCGTCAGCCCCAACCGGAACCAAGTGGCTTTCTACAGTACAATCCCGAGGAATCACACGCCCGGGTACACGGAATACCTGTTCAACAAAGGTGAAGAACTGGGCTACGACCGGCAACGAGAGATTCTGCCCTCCAACGAGACCACAGGGCTGCGTCTCTGTGCGGGGCACTGCGTAGCTCGCCTTTGGAAATCGTGCTTCAAACACACCTTCCGAGACGGACCAAGGAGCTGCTCGGCTGAATAAGTAACGAGCCTTTGGCGCCAATTCTCGCTCTATGCCTGGAAAAGCAGTCCCTGCAAGCGGTGGGTGCACAACTTCACAGCTCTGACGGCTTATCAGATCCCCTCCCTTGTTCTCTGTTCGCCTTTAATCCCAGTCTTAGTCTTCTCTACATCTCCTACTTCTACATCCCTCCCTCATACCAGCCTCCAAATCGTGAACAAAATGCCCTTCGAGCTCCATCCAGCCGTGGGCGCCGCCCTGGTATAGCAAGGGAAGCCACAACCATGAGCTTGAGCATGAATACTGAAACATCAGCAGGCGGCCATGATGGGCCCAAACCCACCACCTCCACTTCCAGTATGTCCCAAGACTGCAAATAGCTGCCACAACGACCCTCCTGACACTGGATCTAGGTCCACGACATCGCCGGCCGCCGCGCCCAACTCAACACCTTCTTCTCCGGCCTCGCCCACGGGCAACCAGCCATCCCAGATGGTAATTGTGAACCCTATCTGAGATATGCAGAGATCATGGTTAACGTCCTTCTTCGTGGGAAGTAATGACCAAAGACTTCACCACCACCGCCCCGGACGGCCACCAACTCCTCCTCCGCTGGTTCACCAAAACCGGCATCCCCCAAAGCACCCCAGGCCCGGCGATCTTCTACTCACACGGCGGCGGCATGATCGCCCTATCCCTCGAACACTACACCCAAGTGCTCAGTCGCTACGTCTCACGCACCGGCGTCCCCTTCCTCGCAGTCGAATACCGCCTCGCCCCCGAAGTCCAAGCCCCGATCCCGGTAACAGACGCCTACGCCGGCCTCCGCTGGCTCCACGCACACGCCGGCGAACTCAACGTCGACCCCACCCGCATCGCAATCATGGGCGACTCCGCCGGCGGCGGCATCACAGCCTCCTTGGCCCACTACATCAAACTCCAAGGAACCCCGCGCGTGAAGAAGCAAATCCTCATCTACCCCATGCTCGACGACCGCAACGTGCACGCGGACCCCAATATCGCCCCCTTCGCCACGTGGAGCACCGACGACAACATCACCGGCTGGACAGCCCTGCTTGGGAAAGACCGCATCGGCACCGACGACGTCAGTGTGATTGAAGCCGCCGGGCGCATGACGCCTTCCGAAGCGAGGGGCCTGCCGCCAGCGTATATCGACGTCGGGGAGTTGGATCTGTTCCGAGACGAGGATCTGGAGTATGCGAAGAACTTGGGCAAGGGAGGGGTGAGTTGTGAGTTGCATCTCGTGCCGAATGTGCCGCATGCGTATGAGGGGTTCGCGCCGGAGAGTGATGTGGCGAGGTTCATCATTGATAAGAGGGAGCAGGTTATCAAGAGTCTTTAGGAGAAAAGACGAAATAGATGTAGAGTCTCTCAATCGAAGCCATGTTTCGTTTTTTCGATGCATGAGAAAAAGACGACAGTTCAAAGCAGCCTCCATTCCATCGCCCAACCCCACGGGCTGCGAAAAGACTATAGAACTACATAGTACAACTGGAAAAACCAGAAGCAGTCGCTACAGAAGCGTTGGGTATATCCTCCTCAAGCTCATCATACGCAGAAACCCACAAGGAACGCCTCGGTAAACGCTTCATCGCTCAAAGACACGAATCCAGGGAAGATCCGACGCTCCATCCATCCACAAACTTCCCAGTCGACATTGCTTCCCATTTTTCGTTTGTGTTTTCCTCAATCTCTCTTGTTTCGCCCCAAGCGCCAACGCTAGCTTTCAAACGCAAAGATTCCCCAAAAAGAACGCTCATCACATGCAAATCTTCAACTTTCCTTCACCTGATTCGTACCTCGTTCCAACCTTCAAACGCCATGACCACCAATCAAAGTTCACGAAAAGTCCCAGAAGTTCTGCATGAAGTCGGCGACTGGTGGCTGCCACAACTCCGGCGCCTTCCTCTTCTTCGAAGCATCGCCGTCGGCCTTGTCGTCCTCGGTGTTGCTCATCTGTGTATCTTCACTCTCCTTCATCATGTTGATGTTCTCCATTTGCTCAAACAGCGGCATCAAGCCCTCAGGCACACCCTGCTTGCCATCACCGAGCATGTCCGCGTCCATGTTTTCGATGGACAAGTTGAATTTGACCGCGTCGTTCTGCGAGACATCGCTGCTCTGGCTGCTTTGAGATCCCTCGCTGGGAGTAAGACTGGGCGAGGAGGTGTCGTACGGATCTGTAGGTCGAAGTTGAAACTCGCCGTTGTCGGCAAGATAATAACCTTCTTCCCACAGCTTGCCCATCATGTAAACGGTGTCGCCAGTGTAAAAGCCATGCTCGTCATACTCATCAGTATGCTCGATGAAGGGTCCGAGGAAGTCTTCGTCAGTCTTGGTCTCCTCAACAGCTGGCTCTGACATCGCCGGTAGACCAAGCTTCTGGGCCATTGCTTCGCTGAGTGATTGACTCTTCTGAGGGGATGCCTTGTTTTCGGCACTGACAGCGCCTTGCTTCTTCGGATCTGCCTTGCCCTTGAGCGCTGGAGTAGGTTTGGCCTTGGACGCAGCAGCTCGAGGCTTCGGCAATGGCTTGCCGTCCTGATCGACGCCAAGTGCAGTTGCAGCATTGCCAAGGAGGTATTGCAATGGGTCTTCGATTGGTTGATGCTGCGATTCTTGATGCTGCTTGAGTTGCTCCTCGGTGTCGAATCCGTGCAGAGCAGCCTCACAGGTGTTGTCGGTGCAAAGGAACTTCTTACGCTCCGCAGCCTTATCAGCTTCAGCTTTGAGCTGAGCTGGAGTCTTGCGAGCCTGGTCAGGGCTTTGCACCTTGCCATTCGCCAGTGCAGGACTAGCACCAGCACCTGCGGCAGGAGTGCCGGCTTGTGCTGCCGGCGTGGATGCCTGGCTGCCGGGCTGGTCCGTCTTGCGCTTCTTCTGAGGTGGGAACTTGAGCTTGTCGGGAGTGAGCTCATTTCGTCCCATCTCGTACTTGGGCACACCATGAGGACTTGGAGCGGCCCAGTCGAATGTCTTGTTGTCTGTGGGAGCTGGCGGTGCCTTGTTGCTGGCCGAGGCCTTGCGGATATGGTTCTGCTGCGAGGCAGTGCGAGCCATACCTGGCGTGGGTGTTCCCTGCTGCGGCTTGCCCCCCTGAGCCTGCATGCTGGCTGCTTGTTGTCTGATGCTATCGCTTTGCTCCTTCCTACGCTTGAGCTCGGTCATATAGCCGGCTACAAGTCTCTCAGTCTCAGTGAGCTCCTCAAGCGAGACGGACAGGTAATCTTTGATGTTGCCACTGGCGTCCATCGCGTTTGACGTGACGACAAGTATCGCCCGCATAAGGCGCTTCAAAACGTCGTCGTCAAAGCCGAGATTGAGAGCAGCGCCGAATGTCTGGCTGATCTGCTGAAGAGGGTGAAACAGCTTCTTGAGCATGATCTTGGCCTTCTCAATAGTGATGGCATCGCATTGGACTGGATTCCCTCTTTTGAATGTTCGTGTGACCTCTGCCTGCAAGCTCTTGATCTTTTCGACGTGGGCCTGTGTCATTCCTGGCCGCTGCTGCCCTGTGGTGCCATTCTGACCATTGCCGCCGCCCATTTGGCCTTGTGCTTTGCGGAGATTCTCCATCTGCACCGTTCGTTGCATTTTCGTGAGGTACGCCTGCCGATCTTTCTCGCTCAATCCCTGAATCTGTTCCTTGGTAAGAGGTTTGTTGAGAGGCTGTTGTGCTTGCTGTCCTTGGTTCTGTGATTGGCTGGCTTGCATTGCCGGTGCTTGCGGTGCTGCCTGTGATACTGGAAGACTTGAGATCTCGACGACATCGTTGTTGCTCTGTTGTTGCTGAGCCTTCGGCTGACCCATAGCGGCTTGTGCTGCAGGAGGTTGAGGAGTGGGTTGCTGGGGCATGTTCATGTTTGCAGTGTTGTTACCAGCCTGTCCGGGTGGCTTCTGCATCTGCGCCGTCTGCAGGCCCTGCTTCTGCAATTGGTGTTGCTGTCTCATCTTGTCCAACTTTTGACGTATGAGAACTTGCCTTATCTGATCGTCAGACATGCCGGCCGCCTGCGGGACCTTGCTGCGGAACATTGCTAGCTCTTGTGGAGTGATGGTGGGCATGTTTGGTGGCATTGGACGTGGCCCTTGATTACCATTGCCGTTAGGCTGTCCGCCCTGGCCTTGCGGCTGCATCATTGGCGCAGGAGGCACCATTTGTCCTGGTGGAGCTGGTCGATCCGGCATGCTCGCAGGTGGATGCACCGCACCGTTTTGCTGTGCTGGCTGCTGATTTGGGCCTGGCCCTGGCGGACCCTGCTGGCCGGGCGGGATTTGTTGGCCAGGCTGACTTCCTGAGCCCATCCGCACCCTTGCCATCATAGCCGCCATTGCAGCTTGGAACTCCTCAGGGTGTTGCTGGAACCAGATGGCCTGCTGCTGATTGACCTTCTCGATGGTGCCTTGAGGGGAGTTTTGCAAGACATGCTGCTTGAGATGGCCCCAAAGCTGCACGTTCGGTGGTACTGCGATGCCCAGTTGCGTCAGGACTGGTTTCGGGAATGGTCTGATGTCCATCGCCTGCGTCCTTAGCTTGATCTGCTGTTCTCGTTGCATGCGTTGCTGCAATTGCGCTGCTGGGTCCATGTTCATTTGGTTTGGTGGTGGCTGTGAGTTGAAGCCAGGAACCGCGTTGCCCATGTTCTGTTGTGGCATGCCATTTGGCTGCTGCTGATTGCCCTGTTGCGGTGGACCCATGTTCATGCCGTTCATGTTGTTTGGCATGTTCTGCTGATTCTGCTGCCTTTGCCGCATGCTCTGTGCGTGGAACTTCTGAAGCATCTCTTGTGCCTTATCTTGGGGTAATTGACTGAGTCGTTGGCGGAATTGCGGTGGGACACGCTGCAGAAGCTCTTGGAATTGCTGGGGAGTGAGTTGCTGGTTGAGACCTTGGTTCGCTTGCTGTTGTTGATTGTTCTGGTTCAGCATGTTCTGGTGATGCTGCTGGAGCTGGCTGACTCCATTGTTCATCGGTGTGGAGGGCATTTGTTGTTGTCGGTTGGGTTGGGGCGTGCCAGGGGTCGTCTGGCCCGGTGGCACTATGGGTCTGTTGAGCATCGACATCGCAGGGCTATTGATCTGTCCGTTGGCGCCACCTCCAAAACCGTTGGGTGTATGGAGGCCACCCGGTTGACCTTGCAATTGCGAATGCTGCTGACGAGAAGCCATCGCATGCTGCTGCGCCATCATCTGCTTGTTCATGCGTTCCTGGTTCGCATTCGCACGCTGTTGCATCATCATCAATTGCAGCTGGTTTTGATTCATCTGGCCATTGCCTCCTTGCTGGCCCTGGTTGTTGTTGTTGTTTGCGAGCATCTGGGGGTTGACATTTTGTGGCATATTCATGCCATTGCCAAAGTTCATGTTGCCGTTGTTTCCGTTGTTGTTGTTGCTTGCGGGGACGACTTGTTCGCCAGCGTCCTGCAACTTCATGGCGTTGGCCTGCTGACCCATGATGCTGGAGAAGTCGATGTTTTGTCCGCTGGCCTGAGAAGGCGGTCGTGGTGGACCGTTATTGCCCATCTGATTCATGTTGCCATTGTTCATGTTTTGCATCCCACCCATTTGCTGCCGCCGCTTCTGAACCTCTGCTTGTGCGCGCTGAAAGAAGAATCTCATTAGAGGATCGGTATTCTGGCTCTGCAACTGACTCTTCTGCTCAGCGCTCAAAGTCGCAGTGAACTTGGCACGAATCTCGGCTTTTTGTTCCAGTGGCATCCTATCAGACATCTGCTTGGCCAGCTGAATGATCTCCTGCTGTATTGCTCCTGGTTTCCCTTGTCCGCCCTGGGCCATGTTGGGCTGTTGAGGTTGGTTGGGCTGTCCCATGTTCTGACCTTGCTGATTTGGTAGAGGCTGTTGGGGTTGCTGATTGCCTTGCTGTGGCATCTGCAAAGTGGACGGGTCGAGGGTGCCCGGCTGCTGCGGTTGCGGTTGCATCGGTAGAGGCGACGCTTGCATTTGGCGTTGGAGTTGAGCCATTTGATTCTGGCCTTGCTGCATGCGACCGCCCTGCATGCCCATGTTTCCGCCATTCTGAAAGTTCATATTGCCCATGCCGTTGTTCTGCATATTAGGCGCGTTCATCATGCCGTTTGGCATGTTCATCATATTGTTTGGCATCATGCCGCCCATATTCCCAGGCATGTTCATCTGTCCGACGGCTTGTTGTCTCTTCGCAGTGATGTCCCTCATCTTTCCCGCCATCTGTTCGAGGTACTGGTCTTTCGTGCTCGAGGACGAGATCACCTTTAACTCCCACGCGACGGCGATTCCGAAACACTTTGAGACATCGGCGTTGATCTGGCGAAGTTGGGTGATGCTAAAGCCGGTCAGCACGGTGAACAAAGAAAAAGGTGGTGGGTTAGTGCGGGGGTGAATAACGACTTACAGCTGCATTATTCTGCTGGCACGCTCTCGATGATCGAGCATGGCTTGCCATCCAGCACCGAGCGAGGGTGCCGAGCGACGAAGCTCGTCCATGATTTTGGCGTGCAGTTGCTGGCCAATGTTGCCGGGCTGCGGACGCTGCATCGAGTTGTTCATTTGCGGGTTGCCCTGGCCAGGCATGCCGCCGGGCATCATATTGGCCTGCTCCATGACGACAGGCTCCGACCGTAGACGGACGGTGGAGAGGTCGCTACTTGGGCCGACACTTGCGGGTTGGCGGGCTCGAGCGAACGTTTGGGGTCATCCGGCGCGGAGGGTCGAATGCGATGGTGGGAGGGAACGGTGTTTGTAGAGCGGGAGTCGAGGGATATGTCGCGATCGCGGGCAAGCAGAGTAGGGCGGGCGGCCGCTCGAGTGTGTCACACGCAACAAAGTCGAGTGCAAGGCAACGCGGCGGTGCACGTAGGCGGAGAGCGGAAATGACGTCGAGTCAAGAGTGGGCGACGTTCTGCGGGAGGGCGAGGAATATCGAGCGTCGAAGGGTCGCGGCGGGTTGTTCGGCGGAGGAGGTGTCGCTGGGTCGTCGTCGCTGTCAGGACGGAGGGGTGGTGCGTTGGTGGAGGAGGTGGAAGAGCAGCAATCGCTGGTAAACGCTGGCGCTCGTGGTGCAGCCAAAGCGCACCGCTATCCCTGCTTAGCGCAAAGTCTAATTTCGAGAATCCATGTCACACGCTCCCGCACCCTCAACACGACCGCACACCCTTCTTTCACAGCAGCCACGCTGGGATCGATCGGTGGTACTATTACGACTGCAATATCCCGCACGTCTTTTTCGCTACAGAGCGATACAGGACTCGACCGGAGCAACCTCAAACAGACCCCACAGCTTTGCTGGTTGCCAGCGGGCTGCCGCGTCGAGTCTGTCTGATTAGCTCTGCCTCAAGCTAAGGTGCTGTGGCTACCGGGGGCCTGCGTGTATCTGCAATTCGAACCCATTCGCCTGAGACAGGGCTGCAGTCTGAACGCCCGGCGGCTGCCCGTGGATAAGCCACCTTGACAGTCTTTGATCGATTGCAAACGGGCCCGCCCATCATGCCATCTCGACCAGATAGGAGTTCAACCTGTCAGCGCTGGATGTGAACAAGTATGGCACAATGTTGGAAGTTAAAGGCTAGAGCATGATGTCTAATCATGTGCCATCCCTGCAGTCGAATGAGAGGTATACTTTGGCCCGACCTTCAAGCAGCGCTCTGCCCTCCACTGCAGCTCTACCCGTTGCTAGTTGAGGAAGAGATATTTCAACCGCAGCACAACTAATTACTTTCATTCGATTCAAGCTCGTCGTCGATCTATTGCGACTTGATCAGTTTTGTTGGTGAAGAGTCCATGCCTTGGCGTCGCTCATGTGAGTTTCGCAGCGGGCCCTGCATGTGCCCTGATCGACTTCCCCAGATTCGCTCTCGAGTCTAAAAGCTGTTGACGGATGCACCACCAACGACGGCTCCTTCTGCATTCCGCTGTGAGATAGCTCCCAAATCCTCCTCCTCCATCTCGCGACAATTAGCTCCGACAACATCACCACCCACCTCTTCGTCTTCTGCACCACATCATGGCAGAAGGCAACACCTTCAATGCGCCGTTCCCAGCTCCGCCGCCCTCCTACAAACACTTCACCAAACAGAACCTCTCACGGTTGAGACGAACTCGAAAAGAGGCCGGCATCCCTCCCCCGGCTGATGGACAGCCACCTGAGAAAGATGTCGACATCCTGACATTGCCGGCCGAGCTCCGCTACCTGGTCCCACCTGAACCACCCAGCGACAGCAAATTGACCGTCTTCGGCGATACGGTCAACCTCGACGCGCCCCGCGTGACCCTCGCCGACAATAGCATCGAGCAGATCTACCCCGACGACCCCTCCGTCCTCTCGAATCCACAACCACATCTCATCGCCCTCGCCCGCTCCATGCTCACCACATTCCTCTCCTTGACGGGCATTCTAGCGCAGAATCCAGATCTGCAGCAAGATAAGATGGGAGACCTGCAGACCATTGTGTACAATCTGCATGATATCATCAATCAGTACCGTCCACATCAAGCGCGAGAGTCGTTGATTCTGATGATGGAGGAGCGCTTGGAGAAGATGAAGGGCGAGATTCAGAGGATTGATCAGTCGAAGGAGAGTGTGGCCAAGCTGTTGCAGGAGCTGCAGAGCAATGGCATTGTTCAGGCGATGCAAGAGGAGAAGGATGGGAAGGGAGACGCGGTTGTTGAGGATGCTGCTGTCACGAAGCGAAAGGCGAGGCAGCGTGCTGGCTGGGCTGCGTTGGAGAATGAGATGGGTTGAAAGTGTGACAATTCACTGGCAAACGGCTTTTCTTGAAGACAAGGCGAAACACACCAAAGGGACCTTTTCGACTCCACATCAAGCCCATAACCTCGCGAATGGACGACTGGCTGGATTTGAGACTGGCCGATCAAACGAAAGCCCTGGTACAGTTCAATGACAAACACGGCGTAAGAGCGTACGTCTAATACTCGATACAACACCAAAGCTAAGATCATAACTCATGATTCATGGATACATCCGGCCCCGTTCATGAGGCATTCTTATCCTGGATAGCAGCCCTCATCTGGCGACCCTTCTGCTCCGCATCAGCCGCCGCATTAGCATTGAGATTGCCAGCACCAGCTCCTGGAAGGACAATCAGCAATCTCATCCTCACGCAATGGCACACCCCAGATAACTCACCTTTAATCGCCGCATTCTCCTCCTTCGTCTCGAGAGTGCTTCCATCCGCATTCTGCTCCTTGCTGGACTTGCCTGAGAACATGCCTGCCACCGCGCCGAAGACATTCAGATTGAGGCCTGCCTAAAGGGTTGTGAGCAACTCGATACCTAGCAATGAAACCGAAGCGATACTTACGCTCGCGCTGGCCTTGGCACTGGCCTCCTTCTCCTCGACCATCGCGCCACCATCATGACTCGTCTTCGAAACCTCCTTCGGCTGGTGCTTGGATACCGCCGACGAAGCCATATTGTCTTTCCGCTGTGAAATTCAAGGTCACGTGCGTTGAGTTTGAAGAAGTCTCAAGGTCAAATGACTACGCAGTTGTACTCTAGTAACTTAGATCACGATGAATCCACTCCAATCCAATCGTCAGACGTGCAACTTATACAACAGACATGTCGTTTGTGGACAAACCGGTTTTGCAGGCGGTTTTGCGTCATATCAGGGTTTCAGAACTTGGCTTCACGAGAACAACCACGCTAAGCATGGCCGGCTGCACATGCGGATCGAAGGCTGGCTGGCTTGCTGACTGACGTGCAGATAGATAGCCATGCAGCTGGGCTGGGCATTGTCAGTGTGTTACCTGGTGAAGTCTACATAGATTGTCGTGCATACATAGTTCTTTGTAGCATATGCCCTTCGATGATTTTCCCAATGCCTGCGATATCGCTCAATAGCATGTTCGCGCGCGGGTTCGCAATAAGCACCGAGGCAGCCGAAGTCGCAGCAATATATCAACGTGTAGCTGCTATTATTGCTGCTTTCTCATAATGAGTCTATGAGAACTAGAGAGAGATATATCATCAGAACTCATAGTAAGCCGAAGTAGAGATTTCATCATGTTCCTTCTTTCTTGATGACAATAGCCGCTCCTAGACTAACTACCACAACCATGTCTTCACCCACCGACCACAGCGCCGCCTTCACCTCAGCCTTTCCCGCTTTCCAAGTCACAAACACATCCTACAAAAGCGTCCAGGGCGTAGCCATCCCCACATCCCTCCTAATCCCCAAGACGCTCCAGCCCGGTCGACACCCAGTGATAGTCCGCTGGCACGGCGGCTGCTTCATCACAGGCCACCGGCTCCTGCCCCGCTGGTTCGGGCGATGGTTCCTCGAAGAAGCGCTGGCGAAGCAGGCGATCGCCGTCTCGCCCGACTATCGCCTGCTACCCGAGGCGACTGGGATAGAGATTCTGGAGGACGCGCGGGATTTCTATCGTTGGCTGTGCACGCCTGGCGTGTTGGCGGCGCTGTTGCCGGAGGGTGTCCTGCCGGATGTCGACCACTTGCTGGTCATTGGGGAGTCTGCTGGGGGGTGGATTGCGGTGCAGTCGGGTCTTTTGCCTGGTGCGCAGGCTTATATTAGCGCCATCATCGCGAGGTATCCCATGTTGGACTTGCGAGACGGGCACTACGCGGGCGATTGTAAGCAAGATCCCTTTGCGACGTCGGGGGTCGAGTGGGATCGTACCGCTGTAGCGACGCATGTCGAAAGACTCGCCGGCGATGAAGTCGTGACTTCGGCGATTCCCCCGGCCAGGATGCCTCTGGTCGTTGACTCGATTCGGGGAGGAACTCTCGGCAAGCTCCTCGGCGACGACAGTTCACTCTACCCTCTCGAAGCGATTCAAGGCGCTATGGGCTATCCTCCTTTGTGGGTGATGCATGGGCTTGAGGACAGACTTGTTCCTGTGGAAGGCACCAAGAAGTTCGTCAGGCAGTTGCGGAACGTCGTTCCTACGTTGCAGGTCCACGAGTCGTATAGATCGGGGCCGCATGGGTTTGACAATGACCCGTCGACATCGGCAAAGGAGGAGTGGATTCAGCAGGGTGTTGAGTTCATTGCGCCCTTCTGGCCCAAGTGCTGATGTGCAATAAATCGGGACTGTGGCAGACAAAATCGTTCTTTGCAGGATTGTGTCGATATCCCTCATTATGCGTGGCAAGCCATAGAGATCTATATAGTCATTGAGAGTTGAGTGTCGAGTCCCACGCGCTCACCTGCTAAAACAAGGACACAGCTCAACATGCGTGTCCATCGAATTCTATCTGAACTGAACCGGTGTTTTCTGCTGCGAAACTGTACTCTTCGTCTGTGCCAGGGCCTGCCGCACCAACCTCCAAGATCGCTTCGGCACCCAAAGACGGCTGCCAAGTACGAACACCGTTGTGAGCAACGCCAACGCTCCCGCTTGATGTGCCGCTGCCAGAGGTGTAGGGACGAGGTACCACAACGTGGTGATTCCAAGAGCGACCTGCAAGCTGGCCATGTGGAGGACGCCCATCATGCTACCCTTGGCAGCTTTCGGTAGACTGGCTTTCACTGCAGGGCTGAACCGGCTGTACGTCCAGAGTGCTACGATGGCTGAAAAAGTCGTCGTTGCGAGAATGCGGTGGTCGAGTTGAACGAGCACTGGGTTCTCTAGAGCGTTTCGCCAGTAGAGATCTTTCTGGTCCTCGGTGTGGGAGTAGAAAGGGTCGAACATCTCTCGCTTGGGAGGTATGAGTCCTTGGCCCATCCATGGAAAGTCGTTGTAGATCAGACCAGCATCCAATCCTGCCACAAGAGCACCTGACATTGCCGTGACGAAGACAAGGACGGAGAGTGCTCCCACCAACCGCTTGAACGCTCTCAACTCAGGCTTTTGCAGTGTCTGCAACAGCTTCAAGCCATTTTCCGGGTCGCGTATCAGTCGATGCTCTTGCAGTATGCGCATACCATTCCACAGCATGCACAGATATGCGATGAATGCTGTCCCCAAATGCGCAGTCAATCGGTATTGGCTGACTCGAGGGTGTTTCCCTTGTTCGAATAGATCGTCTTTCAACCCGCTCTTGACCATCCACCATCCGATGAATCCCTGGAACCCAATCAACCCACAAATCCCGACTAATCGCAGTGCCATCCTCGGATCGACTTTTCTGATGATGATGAAGTACCCCGTAGGCAAGAGGAAGGTAATTCCAACCACTCTTCCCCATAGTCTGTGTCCCCACTCCATCCAATATATCTGCTTGAAGTCGTTCACATCCATGTGGCTGTTCAATTGCTTGAACTCTGGACTCAGCTTATATCTTGCAAACTCCTCTTCCCAGGCTTGCTGATCTCGCGGAGGAAACGACCCAGTCACGGGTCGCCATTCTGTTATACTGAGCCCCGACTCTGTGAGTCGTGTCAATCCACCAAAGACAACAATTCCAAAGACGCTTGCTGCAGATCCCAAAAGCCAGTACGCGACGGACTTGGAACTGGTCTGCGGCCACGATGAGGATTTAGAGGGGAGGTTTCTCGACGATTCGCCAATGCTTCGACCCAACGCTCCTAGCGGTGATGCGGTTGATGAGCTCTGTTGTCTGAGCTGTGCTGGGCCGTGCGATCGGAAGGCTTTAAGGAATGGGGTTTGTCGGATTGATCGGTATGCGGGTGGCGCTTTGGACTGTTGCTGGAGACATCGCTTGCACACGAAAGTGACTTGGAAGAGCTTCTTGGAAGCAAGTCGTGCTCTAATGGGTGATATGCCCACTACAGCCGCCATTGCGAGCGATTTGCTGGGAAGGGTCGATGGAGGGTGGTCAAGGGAGCATTGAAGGAAAGAAGGAAAGTCAGTGGAAATAGATGCACGACGAATGGACTTGGAGCTTCGGCGCGTTCGCGTGCGGCAAGACTGAGCCGATGAACCAGGGTCTTGAAGCTCGGGGCGTGGACCGATATCTCTCGTGACCGACATCATGCGCCGTTTGTTCAGGTGGCATCAACATCGTGTGTACATACGAACGATTACTGCTTTAATCTACTTCATATAACCCTCGACGGGCCATTCTTGGACGAGGCTGCAGGACGGCTGAGCGTGTGTGACGGTCTGCTCGACAGCCCCACCGAGTGACGAAAGAGTAAGGAAGAGCATCGCGCTGTCCCACCCACCACCAGCCCAGTTTCTTACTTCCTCTGCACCGCCGCTGCCATGGAGGACTCGTCAGACGGTCAACCGAGCCGGCAAGACTCTACACGCTCCAACATGACCCTCGAAAGCGAATCGTCGTGGTCCTTCGCCGACCTTCCCGATTCTCAGCCTGCGCCTTCAGCCGATCAGCAGCAGCAGACTCGTCCTGACCGCCCACGACCCAGCAGACACAGCAGCCTGCCGCGAACATTGTTCGGTTCTGGGGTGACCTCAATCTTTGGGGGGCCATCGACTGCAGAACCTACTTCGAATATGCAAAGACACCATTCCGAAGATGTAGTCGTCGGCGAACCAGCACTTTCGACCCTTCGATCGCCCGCCATGAAAGAGCCGCAGTACAGTGCTGAGTCGTCAGTTGGTGTGAATACTCGCCTGATACCAAGAGTCGAGAAAGACGCCGATGATCCAACGACTCCTCCTGTCTCTTCGCGGAATGCAAGACATGAATCGACCACTTTGACCACACTGAGCAGGTTGTTTGCTGTACAGGCCGCCACTTCTCCAGAACACTCGCGCAATCCATCCTACAATACCTCCACTCGTAATGCTGCAGGATACACTCGTGCACTGCATTCCGCTGAGACCGCCGCACTGCCCGACCATCTCTACACCCGCGGCTTGCTAGGAGGCAGACATTCTGATATCACCGTGCATGCCTTCGGTCGACCTTACAAGCTCCATCGTCTCGTTCTTGACCGTGCTCCATTCTTTGCAAGCGCTCTGAGCGAACCGTGGCTCGAAGCAAACGCGAAGGAGATGACAGTGCACCCAGAGGACATGGACAGCTCAATCACGCAGGAAGCTTTCGAGCTGGCTCTCAAAAGACTCTACGGTAGCTGTAATCTTGATGAAGAAGATCAGATTCCAGTTGGACTGTTTGCGACAGGATGCTGGCTTGAGATGCAGGATTTGATTGACTCGTCGATTGAGTCGATGTTGCGACAGATGACTCCTGGCACACTAGCACCACTCATCAAGCTTGTGACGAGCAACTATTATGGCAGAGCTGGAGACAAGATTCTTGCGAGCGCCAAGTCAATGCTGTGTCGTGATGGATGGAGGATGCCTCTGCGGTGCTGGGATGGCATTCCTGGAGACATCATCCGCGAGATCGTAGGTGGCGATGGCTTCTTTGTCGACGGCGAATGGGATCGATGGGCTCTGGCGAAACGGCTACTGGATCGCAGATTGAAAACACAGGCCATTGCTGCTGACCTACTTGAGCCTGGAAGTCGGCGAAAGGTGCGGAAAGCTCCCGATGCTGCCAATCTGATGGCCGTTCGCTTTGATACTATCTATCGGAAGAGCGGTGCAGGTACTGGCCGCGGCGTTCCTGATAGCCTGCACAAGTGGATTTCGTTGTACATTCACCCTGACGTGGAGCCGCTGCTAGTGCTTCTGGATGAGGGTATACATTACGTGCATCTGGACTTCGAACAGCTCCAGTTCATCCGAAGTGCAAGAGACTGCCTTGGCTTGCCGGTGCTTCCAGAAAAGGTCATCAGCAATGCATTGTGGCAACAGATGGAGTTACGGCAGAAGGTGATGAACGCTCGGGAAGTTGAGTTGGAGCTGGGTGTGAGTGTGCAGTGCGCAGAAGATACCGCGATGGACGCAAGTCGAGATACAACAATGTCGATACTTTCGAGCTCAGAACCTGTGCGACCCAAGGGGAAGCGCAGAGCAACAGAAGCGGACGAAGTCATAGACGATATCGACAGTGGGTCTTGGGATGGCAACGGGAAGCCTCGCAAATTCTGGATACCATCGTCTGACTGCAATCTGATTATGGGAGGTAATGCCGAGCCCATCATCGCAACATCAAACAACACTACCATGCAACGCCATGCGAGCCGACTCAGCGCTACCATTCAGCCAGAAGATGTTCAGTGGGCAGCTGATTTCACGGCTGCAACGTCGCATCCAAGACCACCACTATCAATGGGTGACAGTGTTGCACAAGGGCAGAATGGACCCGTGACTGTCAGCTACACGCACTTTCCGCCTTTCCGCTTCGCAGCCGAGTTCCCCAATCCTAGGCTGCTCAAGGAGAAAAAGCGTGTCTACAGTCGCACCGTCTTCTATGCAGGCAGCCTGTGGAACATTTACATACAAAAGGTGGCATCGTCGCGGAGCAAGCAGCTGGGTGTGTATCTTCACAGAGCGAAGGAACGTGAAACAGAAGAAGTCATCGCCGGCACAGCTGGATTGGCGCAGGGAAGTGTTGACGAGCGCATCGGTCAGCTGGAGCGGGAGATGATCTTGCGAAGCGAACGTCGAGATCGCAGACAGCACAGAAGGACCACAATTGGGTCAGATGGGGCTGAAGGTGACGGAACGGAAAGCAGTGGTAGTGCCGGGGTCGAAGATGGGGCCATACCAGGCGCAGCTTCCTCCAGTGGAACGGTGAGGTCAAGCACCATGCGTGAATACCTTGCTCGGGGTCATCGCAAGACAGGCCAGACTGACTTGACCGGCACCTCTCCACCCACTTTATCCGACCCCTTCACAGGTGGTGACGACATGATCACACCAGAGTCAGAGCTCGACAGCAGCGACTCGGAATCTGAACGCTGGGCAGCCACGTCCAACAGGTTCCACGTCCCAACACTACCTCCCTACGTCGACGCTCGACCAACCATCAAGACCTACTTCAAGATCTACTCACCCTCTCGCGGCGGCCGCATGCTCTCCGTCTACGAGTCTGCCCCCGACAAGTTCAATTTCTCGCAGTCCTGGGGTTGGAAGAGCAGCACATTGATGCTCGACGAAGGGTTGCTAGGCGATGACACGGACGACATGAAGGATGATGTGGATGGCGTCGGGGAGAGGGAGGGTACCTCCCGGAGGACGATGAAGGGTAAAGGGGATGGCAAATTGAGGTTTATGGTTGTGATTGGGAATATTTGAGACTGTATTGTTCTGTGTACTTTTTGGGATGAGTGGTTGCGAGGATACCCTGTGTCATTATGAAGTTATGAATGTCATGTTTTATGGGATGGATCTCATGTCGACTCAGCGTAGAGTATGAAGTACCATGATGTTCGCCTCCTGCTCGTAAAAAAGATTGCTCACGCTCTTCTCTGAGGGAACAGTGTATCGCAATCCCTCGCGGCATGCGTTTGCGTGACAGCGTGCTTCCTATATCGTCCAGTAAATGATAGGTTGAAAAGAAAGTGTCCAGTGGACACTATTTGCTGCAAATAGGCGGGTGTATCGAGATATTTCTTGGACTTGAGCATTTGGTCAAAATGTGCGCCTGGTCTCGCCTTGCTGCTGCTATCCTCTACTTACATAACGATCGACCGTCTGCACGCAATCAAATGCCCTTCACCAAGAAAAAAAAGAGCGCGATGTTTAGTTCGTGTCCAATGTGTCCTTCTCGAATTGCGCATTCCTATGACGCCCATCGCAAATCCCATCCAAAGTCCAAAAGCAAAAAAGCCACCTCCAACCCTGACTCGAACCCACGACCCCAGCGAAAAAAAGACAAAAAGGTTAGCCATCAGGCCTCGTGACACGCTCAGGGATTCTTGCGGAGTGTTACGCGCATTCTGCCACAGATTGCAATCAATCAAATGGGTGGTTTAGACTATTTGGTCCTTAAGGCCATTTCTTGTTGCAATGGTTTTGCCTGTGCGCCCTTACTGCTTGAGCCATCATGCGGCTAACCTTGGAAGTGGGCGCGCGCGAATGGATTATGTAGTCTATCTTCTTACGCCGGCTGACTGCCGACGGTTTGCCGGTTGGCGGGGCTTGCGAAAGTTTGTTGCGGCGGCGGCGGAGGTGGAGGGTTTGGTCGCTGACGGTCGTGATACCGAACTCATCACTGCTTGATGCTCGTCATCTCTCGCCGCTGGCTATGATCCTCCTCAAATTCTTTGCTCTCGCCAGGCGCATTTGTTCTGCAGCCATGGGCTTTCATGTGCAGTGGACGACCATTACTTGGGACAACGGATTTGGCGGCATGCTCATCCAGCGACGACAGGATGGACCCCGAAGAATGGATGCTCGCAACGAGTGGTGTCTTCTCGACGGTCCTTCACCTCACATTCTGCTCGACAAGCCTCCTCATACTATCAAGTTGAGTCTTGCCTGTTGAGGTGAGGTATCGAATATGCGACTGCAACGATCAGCATCTCTTACAGACTAGAACATGTTCAGAGCTTACGATGTCGTTGACATGCTTGTATCTCTCGAACTCATGTCGAGCGAAGTCCCTCATCTCTCCTCGAGTATCAGAAGACTTTGGTATCTCTATCCAAATATCAGCACATGCTGTGGTGGACTGCAAGATGGAATTTTCACTGTAGATTGTTCGAACGCAGTCTCGCCACAGAGCAAGCACCTTCTGTCGCTGGACGAACTGACGTCGAAATCAGTGAATGCAATACCGAAAGAAGACTTCACATGCATACTTGCTCCAGAGTCAGAGTCGGGCCTCTGCTACGCAAAGATTTGCCTGACGATATCGTGGCAAGTCGTGGAAGAGTTCGTTGGATCATCTTGCTTGAAAAGGCCGTTGCGACTTGTTATCTTGCCTTGAGGGGATGTCCTGTACAGTGGTAGGATCAAGCTATACGGTGAAAAATTTTTGTACAACGATCAAAGACAGTCAATCGCTCGGAGACATACAAGGTGAAGCGCATCATTGGCACGTGAAAGGTGAAGTGAAGTCTGCTTCGCATCCCTGCACCAAGTGGGTCTCTCAAGTAACTTTCGGCACGGAACGGCAGCTCACTCTCCCCACGATGCAATCGCGGCCCACGTGCCACTTCCTTTACGGCCTGCCTCCCCTCTCTTGTGTCCGTTCTGCTTATCTCCTCCTCCCTCCTTGCCAACCTCCCCTTGGACCAGGACAACAGCATGGCCAAGAGAAAGAGTGAAGCCGTCAGCGGCGACCTGGAATCCGGAGGCGTATCAAACACAACGACGAGTTCCCCGAAATCCGCGAAGAGATCCAAGAAGGCCGATTCGGCTCCTCGATCGGATGTTATAGACGAAGTCAATGCTCTTGGTCGCACCGAGTTCGAGGATCGCTATCTCGATTCGTTGTCTTTGGATTACACAGAACGCGCGTCTCAATCGCATTGCAACCTATGTTTCGCAAATGACATCTCCGATAACGACTTTGACGACTGCTTCCACCTGATCGACACCACCAGTCGCAAGGACTACGAAGGTAGTAGCTGGGGATGGCATCCGAAAAGGAAGAGGCGGGAGATGAAGGAAAAAGAGATGCGGTACATTATAGCAAAGGGAGACTTTCTCCCAGACGAAGAGGGCAAGTTGGAGAAGGAGTTTGAAGGTTTCCTGAGCTTCATGTTCACGCACGATTCGACGCCTTCGGTACCGGTCCTTTACATCTACGAAATACACCTGGCCGAGAAGGCGAGGGGCAAGGGCCTCGGTCTACATCTACTGAATCTTGCAGAGTCCATGGCGCGGAGGGTGGGAGTGAAGAAAGTCATGTTGACTTGTTTTCTGAGTAATACAAACGCCCTGAACTTCTACAAACACCACGGATTCCGGAAAGACGCATGCTCGCCGGGAGATCGAAGGACGAGGAACAAAGTCGTAAAAGTAGACTACATGATCATGAGCAAAGACGTGGACGCGACTCCAGCCACCGACGGCGACAGCGCAGTGCAGGTAATGGAAGAGGAACCCATGGATAGCTTGATATCAGACCGGACTGACGAAGTGCCAAGTCTGGACGACTGCCCTAGTGTGATGCGCGCGTGGATCGACGGCCTGAAACAACAGGAATTGCTTAATCTGGGCCTCGCAGAGGCAGAGAAGGCTCGACATCTGCTTTCCTCGGATCAAGACCAAGAAGCCGCCAAGCATCGCGATATCCTTTCGGCGCTGTTCCAATGCTTGAAGAGTCGCTACGAGGCGGCAAGAGACCTCGATGAAGTCTTGAGGGAGCAGATGTATCATTTGAAGAGCCATATCTTAGACGTCGACCGGATGGCGGAGACGCTCGCAGCATCGGTGCAAGACGTCAAAAGCAAGCTTCCACCGTCACCGTCTCAGCTGAACGAAGAGAGCTTCGACTGGGACAAAGCCACAGAACAGGTCTACTCCGCATTCTACACATTACTGCGCAAAGCCGAAGAAGTCGACAACCGCCTGGACGACATCGTCGAACGCGAGCAGGAAGCCGACCAGCGAGAGGACGATCTAGACGGCCGAGAAGAGGAACTCGACAGCTGGGAAAACGACATCCACGAGCGGGAAAAGGCCTTGGCGGACCGAGAGGAGCGACTAATGCGTTCGAAGCGGCGTTTGAAGAGGTTGAAAGGGTCGGGGTCGAGGGATACCGAGGAGCAATACCAGTACCAGTATCAATACCAGGAACAGTACCACGAGGACGCAGACGAGTGGGAAGGAGAGCCGGTGAGAGCGCTCCCTTGGAGACAAGAAGCGCCTCCGCAGAATAAAGTCGACTTGTGGCTCCATCAGACGAGTCCGAGCGATGAGATTAATATCGATCCTGGAGGAGGGACTGATTAAGTTTTTGCATGAATGAATGGAAACCTTCAATTTCATCACGCTTTTGGCTGCTTCCCTCCTTGAAGACTCTTCTCAATCTTCCTCCTCTTCGCCCGCAACTTCTCCGCCTCGTCGTCCTTGCGCGCGTTCGAGTAGACCATCTTCTCGTACATCTTGCGCTTGCGGCGCGGCATCATCATCTTTCTGCGCTCGACATCCTCTTCCGCTGCCTTTTCCGCCGCTGTCCGCTTCGCTTGGGCTGCGGCCTTTTCTGACTTCTTCTTGTCCTTGGACTCTGCGGACATGACTGAGCGGCCGAGAGCTTCTGCTTCGAGCTCGGCTTGGTGCTCGCGGGCTTCGCGAGCGGCTTCGTCGTCACCTTCTTCGTCGCCGGAGAAGCCGCCCCATTCGTCGTCTGGGGCTGCGCCGATGCCTGCCTGCTCGTCTTCATCGTCTTCCTCGTCATCTGACTCCGCGAGCTCGACGTCCATACCCTCGCCTTGTGCGACCTCTCTACCATCCAATTCATCCTCCATCTCCTTCGCTTCTTGATCCCCTCTCACTCCGTCGACCTCTTCGCCTTCACTACCATCGTCGACTTCCTCGTCATCTTCATCCTCGTCGTCCTCGGCCTCTGCTTCGGCAGCAGTCTCTTGCTCCGCAAGCGATAATGTCGGGTCGTAGTCTCCCTTCTTCGGCTTGACCCATGGACTCAGATGCGGAGGCAGTGTTGCACCAGGGGCATACAGATCCGGTCGTTGAAGTTGGCCTGCGTTGATCGAATCCCAAACCCACTGCGGCTGCACATAGATGCGTCCAGGTACTCGTTCATTTGACGTCTTCACCACTGGTGCTCCGTCGTCGAAGCCGTCGTCGAACTCGTCGTTGTCATCTGTCTCAGGCGGCGATGGTAGTGGGATGTCGGGTCGGTCGACGATTTGATGTGTTATGCGGGGATCGTCTTCATTGCAGTATGAGCCAGCCTCTCCCAATAGGGTGTCCCAACCGACGCGCTTGCAACCAAAAGACTTGAGGATGAATTCGATAGGATGTCGAGGGGTCTCTCGTGAAAGGTAGACCGTGAAAAGCTCGAAGAGTCTCGCGGCCGATGCTGCATCTGCTGTGATGGAAGGTTGGAGGAGAGAGTCTGCTGAGGGGTCAATAGATGCGAATTGATCAAGCGCAGTCGACGTGTTTTGGTCGGCGCCTTCTTGCGCGGACTCCTCTTGTGCTGCAGTATCGTCCTCCGCTGGTAGCGACAAGAGCTTGTCAGCTTCTGCTTGTGCCTTCTCATTTGTCTCGGCGTCTGGGAGTTGTTCAGGCTCCTCGTCCTCTACACCGTCTTTGCCCTCCAATTGAAACGCTCCCAATTCAGCCCCATGCTCTTCACTCTGCGCGTCAAACCTCGGAGGATACACAAGCCCTATGCTCGTGTACAGTCTGTAGTTGACGAATCCAAGCAGGGTCGTGTAAAACTCGACGAATGTGGCCATGATTCTGAAGTCAACATCTCCTGCAGTTCGCTGAACAAACTTGTACGGGACTAGCCATAGTATGTCCTGACCCTGGATGGTCGCCTGGTAATAAATGCCTTTTATCGACAGGAATGACTTCCTCAAGCTGTGTGTGCGGATCAGGTAATGCTCGAACTCCATGGTCAGACGCTGGCACTTGGCGATGATCTTCGGTGGTACTTGTTCGGTGCTGGGGAGGTTTGCGAAGAGGAATAGCATGGACAGTGCATCGTCCAAATCTCGAAGCGCATCTACGAAGGTAGGGTATCGTTCTTTGATAATGTGATCGAGTTTCATGCGTGGGGTGAGGTTGCGCTCGAGGCGCGATGCGTCACTGACTTCATTGCGCCCAAGTGCTTTGCTGATCTTTTTCGCGAGTGCCTTTTGATCTCTAAACTTGTTGAGTAGTGGTTCGTGAAGTAGGTATTGGATGTCTTTGGTGTAGTAGAAGGTGGTGCTGGGAGTCGCGGATTTCGAGGCTCGTTTCTTCGATCGAGGTTCGCGCGGATATATGCCTGTGCGAAATCAGCTGTGCTAGTTGTAACTAGATTGGCTGGTCCCACCTTTGAAAATGCATAATCGTCTGAAGTCGGGCAACGAGATCTGAAGTTTCCGAACCGCCTGCGAGCGGGTGATGTAGTTCTTCGCATTGCCAGATTGGCCTGAGAAGTGATGTTAGCGGGAGTATTGTCGCCGGTTCTGACCATCTTACCCTTCTTCTTGATCTTTGCCATGGCGAGTGTGGGTTGTCGTTGTGTTAGTAGTAGAGACCTTGAATTCGTCTGAAAAGTCCAGAGCGCAGACCAAGATTTCGCTCGCTACACCTGCCTCATTTAATTTAACCTCCGCGGGAATGACCACAGCCGAGAGCGCTAGGGAGTCCCTTCCCTTGGACGCGCTCTCGCGAGGAGCAGCATCGACTTCAACTTTCGATCATACCCGGATCATGACAACGACGCTCGCCCGACCATGGACGCCCTCACCAACGTCTATCATGGCCATCCCAAGGCCGTCCTCTTCTCGACGGCTGCCGCGCTCCGAATTCTCCTCGCCTTGACCTTTGCTGGACTCCCTGACCTCTTGACAGGCCGAGTAGAGATCTCGACTCCTGTCAACAGCTTTAAAAGATGTACGTGGCATACAGAGGTGTATCAATGGCCGCTGTGGCTAAGATATGGACAGGAGCTGAGACCGCGCAGTGCAGGAAGGATTGTTTCTATATGATCGAGGACTCGACCCCTACGATGGTGGCATTTTCCACCAGGCGCCCCTGCTTTTACCTCTCTTTTCGCTGCTACCGTCGCCAGCGACTTGGGTAGGACGAATAGCAAGTGTGCTGCTATTTACCGCATTGGACGTGCTCTCCGCAGACTGCCTGTACGACATCGCCAAGTCAGGCGCGGCGGCGATCTCATCATTATACTGCTCTCCACGGGCGGATCGATCATGGCAACCCGAATCTGTCATTGCAGTCTACCTGTTCAACCCATTCACGCTATTGGCCTGCTTGGGACGTCCGACGACAAGCTTCACAATCTTCTTCGTGTTGCTCAGCGTAAGACATGCGTGCGAAGCTAAATTCACAACCACTGCTTTCGCATTGGCTATCGCAAGCTACATCAGCCTGCACCCTGCTTTGCTATTGCCGCCCATAGGACTTTTATGCTACGACCGACTTTGCCACAAGGAGATTGGGGCCAGCATACAATCAGAAAAGCCAGGAGCAACTCCTGAGAGCACACCGTCCACGAAGGTCGCTGTGGATCAAAGGTCGCTTCCAGCTGCACTGCCCTTTGCCGTACTTCTGGCGGTGACATTCTTTGCTGGAACAGCTTTTCTGATAGGCCTCTCGCGGCTGCTTCTCCCCTCGTGGAATTTCATTCCGTCCGTCTACCTTACTCCCTTGAGCCTTCCAGATCTTACCCCCAACCCAGGATTGTGGTGGTACTTCTTCATCGAGATGTTCGATGCATTTCGAGAATTCTTCCTAGGGGTCTTCTGGCTACACATGCTATCATACAGTGTGCCATTCTGCCTGCGATTTCGGAAGCAGCCCTTGGTGGCGGTTGTGCTTATGATGGGGATCATCGCAGTGTTCCAACCGTACGCGAATGTTGGGGACGCGGGCGCTTGGTTGAGCTGCCTGTGCCTGCTTGGTCACATTTATGAAGGTATGCGACTTCCATCGCGGTTGTTTGTGCTGCACTAACTGTCAAACAGTGTGCTCGACTCACCGATATACATTTCCGGCGCTGGCGGCCTTGCTCTACACCTCGCTCCTGGGGCCAGCCTTCCACCACCTGTGGATATATGCAGGATCAGGCAATGCAAACTTTTTTTATGCCATCACATTGGTGTGGAGTCTGGCGCTGCTCATACTACTTACAGACATGGTGTACGCGGCATTGAGAGACGAGTGGGAAGCCGAGCGACCAGGAGGCAAAGGCAAAGAAGTTCGCCAGATATAGGACTGATATGAAACGTGCAATGAAAAAGCTAGCCTACTGCACAGCGCAACTCGTTCAGAAACGAGTAAACGGAATGGCGAATAATGGTGCTGACTGCGCCTCTCGCGCCTCATACGAATGCGATTCAGGATCCGTCCGTGGCACGGTCGATGCAAGGACGGTGCATGTGTTGCGCAATGATCCTTTCCGATTCACTGCCGAACGAGATGTGACGGTGTCGCAGCCTGCTGTCAGGCTCTGCTCCACTGCTGCTGATGATCGCAATGCCTTGTTTCGTCTCGTGCTGGCCTCCGCGTCCCACCACTTGTGCGGGTACAGTAGTATGTAAGCCGCGGAGCTCAACGTCGCTTTAGGATTCGCCTGGGCCTCTGCCCTCACACTTCCAAGGTCTTTTCCCGACCCTCGTGCACCACCACACGCCTGCTCTTGTATCCGCATATCCGTCGTCGTGCACTGCAGTACATGCATCGGCCTCGCTGTCTGTCGCCTGCGTGTACTTTCAATGTTCACCCTGGCACGATGAGGACACGCCCCAACGCCCCCGAAGTCGACCCCAGCAGCGCCCTTTTGGAGCAGAACCACCACAAGCAGGCCGAGCGATAGCTCCTGGTCATGTCCAGCAATGACGCCCTCGCCTTGGACGCCCAGCCGACGCTGCGCAACGGATCTACCGCCGCCGCCGATGTCTCCTTCGCCAAGTTGAACTCAGAACACCATGCCGAGTCGGGCTCGCAAGCCGAGTCGAGTCGGTCACGGGAGAGAAAGCCTGGTCTTGCTGAGCGCCTGGCTGGCGAGTGGGAGAAGAGGCACAGTGGGCACGAATCATCTACGACTGGCGATAGGAGCAGCAATGGCAGCAGCACGCCGCAGAGATCGAAGAAGTCGGACGGCTTCATGCTCGACTCCATCTTTACCAATGGGCAACACGGCAGCCCCGAACCCACTCGCCGGCATGGGAAGAAAAGCGAGCCAAATGGACATATTTCGATCGATAAAAGAGGGAGTGCGCAACACCGACTTTCTGGCGAGTCGTCACAGCGAAGTTCGCCTCTATCGAGGGAACTCTCTACCGATAAGCCTGGTCATGCATCGCAGGGTAGTAATTCCAATTCAAGGACCCCTGCCATGGATCCAGCACAGCTCGTGCAGATGGCACTCAACCTCAGTGAAAGCAGGAAGAGGCACGTGAGTAGTTCTTTGCCGATTCCTGTAACCCCCGCTGGAGGCCGACGAGTGGTATCTGCATTGGATTCGGGCTATGGAACTGTGAAGTCGAGCTCGTCTGGGGGTAAACGAGCCAGCCATTTATCAGACGCCACCCCTGGGTCCACTCGAGCGAGCCATCGCAGCACGGACGAGGACGAGCGTATGTCTGGAGCTGACAACGTGGTGTACACGTTCACCCCAGCGACCCTATCTCGGGCGGAAAAGGCTCGCAAGTACTTCGAATTGGCGAGCGAGCATAGACGTCTTCTGGAACACTTGCCTCCTTTAAAGAGCGATGCCACAGCCCCAGAGAACTATACGTTACAGGCGACCAGCAGCCCAGGAAGTGCCCACTACGATATGAATAGAGTGGTGTCAAACCCGAACCACAAGCGACAGCTGGGACGCACGTACAACCCCTTGCAAGCACTTCGAAATAGACGCCTACGAAACAGAGAACGACGTCCACTCACGGCGCCTCCAAACACTTGGCAGGAAACAGATAGGATTAAACGTTGGATTGATGGCGTGGAGGCGACATCGAATGATCCATCTTATCGCCCTGGCAGAGATCGAGTTCGCTTGCCAACGTTCTCTGGCGAACTCGAGGGTGAGGTTGAGCGACCCGAGACTGCAAAGCGCCATCGCCGTTCCGACACCGTGAACTCGGTCATCACGCGACCCGACAACGGTTGGTCGATTGAACCAGCCGAGTTGCTAGCAGACACCTACTGGGTTGAGAAAGGGGATAACAAGAGTGTCATTGAAGACAGACATGGCAATCGAATTTTCCCCGGCCGATCACGACCGAGCGTGGAGATGCCGCGAGGCAGCAAGGAGTTTGACCAAGGCAACGATTCCAACGCAGATCAGCAAAGTCACCACTACGAGTCCGAGGACGATGAGAAAGTCAGGTCGCGACGAAGAAATCTGCTTCCTATCCCTGGCCGACTTCGACGGAATTATATCAGTCGATCGCCCAGCACAACCAGCAACTCCAGTGACGAAGGGCGAAAGCCTCCTGCAACACGCTTCGGCGATACTGAAGGTGGCGATGAGAACATCGGCCCGCTAGATAGGCATATGCGTAGGATGATTGCAAAAGAGGAGAAAGGTGAATTGACATCCCCAGAGCTGGTCTCGCCCGATCATTGGGATCACAAGTATGGCCAATTCCCATCCTCGCGTGGTAGCGTCGATAGGGGACATCGGGATTCGCATCAACCTGCAAACGGCCGCCTGTCTGTTGACAGTCGTGGACACAGACGTTCCAAGTCTGCAGAAGGAAGAGTGGGTGCTGCGGATCATGTCAGGCAGTCGATGGATCAAGCCACTCAAGAAAGCCCACCGTCACCGGTTGTCGCAGGCTTTGTGCCAGCCATTGCCCGTTCGCCATCGCACAACAAACGCCCATCGCCAACCGAGCATAAGTCTAAACGGTCCCACCTCCCCATCTTCCGGTCAAAGAGCAAGGATCGCAATAATGTCGAAAGGACAGACTTTGCGGCCATAGAACACATTGGCAAGCCTTTGTCGCCTGTCTTGAGCGCAGACACCACCTCGGAGCAGCCACGGTCAAGCTTTGACTCTGGACGACCGCAGCAAGTGCAACGCAACCAGACAGCAGACAGCAACGCCAGCAGCCTACGGCGGTTCAATACCGCGACGACAGCTACAGACACCTCTGCTAAAGACTCCAATGCATCGTTGCCCCGTCGCTTCTTGAAAGGCGGGCGCATTGGGGAGCTGATGCGTACCGAAAGCTCGCGTCTTGGAGATAAATTCCGTGGGAGTCGTGATCGCCTAAATGAGCCTGGAATGATATCGGACGTTTCTGTAGCTCCCTCCGAGGTTTCAGAGGACGATGCTGAGCAGCTCGGCAGCAGACGAGGTCGTGGCGAGGACACGCCCGAAAGGCAAGTCAGCCCTCGAGCGTCGTACGAACCGTTGAGGCAGAAGCCCAAGTACTACATCTCGAATTTGCCTTCATTCAAATCACCCGCGGGCGGCCGTTACCGAAGCTCGACCATCGAGACACCGATGTCTGAGGCCAGCGACCCCTTTGCCAAGCAGGACCCCAACCAAGGACAGCAAGCAGGCGCGCGCCCATACTTGGCCCCACCCAAGATCAATCTACCCGACGACGAGGGTAATTCTGAACCGGAAATGCGAGACAGCAAGAGGCTACTGGGGGACAACGAGTACGATCGCCGCAAGTCAGTCTCACAGAACAACGTCTCTTTTGCCCCTGCGCCGGAGATTCAAGGCCGTAAGCGTGGGGCTTTCGCAGCAGGCGGTCTATCCAAAACCGATGGCAGAAGGCACTGGAGCATATCTGATCAAGCACCGCCACCACCGGCAAGTAAAGTCACAAATCGAGACGTCGCCCGTGTCCGCGCGCTCCTCCTCGCATCCGGGATCAAAGCCCAAGAAATCTACACAAAAGCCAACACAGGCCGCGAAACCCCCCTCCCCGTCATCGCCAAAGCCTTCGAAACCGCCGGAAAACCTCTCCAGAACGTCAGCAAACGAGAAGAACACCTCTTCGCCACGCGGATGCTCTCCGAGACGCTCGACACGGAACTCGCCAACTTCGAAAAAGCCGTCCAAGACTTCCAGATCGAAACGGCCAAGAACCTCGGCGATCAACTCGACGATCTCTCCCATCGAGCGTCGGAGCAGCTGACGAAGATTGTCAATGAGACGTCGGACGAAGCGGATGCGTTTAATGTTGAGCTGACGACGAAGCAGCCGCAGGAGGTCAAGCGGGTGGACGATGCGGTGGATGCGATGTTCCGTCAGCGGAGGAAGCAGTTTCGATTGCTGCGGCGAGCGGGGTTCAAGTTGCTCGAGTGGTTGGTGCTGGGGATTATGTGGTGGGTGTGGTTTGTGGTGGTGGTGATTAATTCGTTCAAGAAGGTGGTTGTGGGGATTTTGATGGTTTTGAGGTGGTTGCTTTGGTTTTGACGAGAGAGAGAGAGAGAGAGAGAGAGAGAGAGGGGAGAGAGAAGAGGAACTGGACGGAAGACGAAGACTTGGTTTTTCATTTTTTTGTTGTTGTTTTTGGGTCTTTACTTCTTGATGATACCCGGGTGTGTATTTCAGCATTGGTGTTGGGAGAGAGATATGGATCCCTTATTAGCCGGTGAATCAGGATTGAACATATGACAGATAAGCCAGACGGTCGAAAGCAGAGATTTTTCATGTCGTGCACTTTTCTATCGCACTCGAGTTGCTTTGTGCTCAGTCCAGCCAGGAGCATCTTGCTTCTCTGCATCAAACTCCTCGTCTTGCACGACTTCAATCACTCTCACTTTCCATTTCCCCAGTCTCAGAATCAGGAGTCCGTCGACTATCAGGTTTTCCACATCTGACGGCTGCTGTTCCTTGATCTGCGTGAAGCTCAACTCGCCAGTCTGATTCCTCGACGGCGAAGCAACGTAGACGCCTCCTTTGCTCACGAGGCGTGCGCCTTCGGACTTGGTCGCCACCAGCCCGGCGTGGTAGAGGATGCGGCCGAAGGGGGTGTTGTGCACCAGAGATTGGGGGAGCTTCGTTCGTGGATCTTCTGTGTCTGTGCTGGATGTTTGCAGGAGAGACGAGATTGTCGGCGCTCGCATGGCCTGATGCTCTGCCTGAGTCTTCGCTGCGACTTCGGCGCCGTGGACGAGCTCGAGGACCTCTCCGGCGAGGAGATGCTGGGCTTTGCGTTTGCCGGGGTCTTGGATGTGTTGTTGCATGATAGAGGCGATTTCTGAGATGGGGACGAAGGTGAAGAGTTTGAGGTACCGCTGCACATCTTCGTCTGCGGAGCGGAGGAGGAACTGTAACTTGTTAGCACCGCGCCCTGCGTTCACCCAGGCAGAGCACTCACCCCATAGAGATCGAAAGGCGACGTGAGGTTTGAATCCAACCATACCGCATTACCAGCACTCTTCCCAAACTTCTCACCCGCAGACGTCGTCAGAAGAGGCACCGTCAGTCCAAAAGGCGACAGATCTTCCTTCAGCCTCCCCTCTGCATCGAGCCACTCCTTCTGCCTGCCTGATTCCGCCTCATTCTGAGCAATGTAGTTCACCGCGTCCATACCGGCGATGATATTCCCGTACTGATCCCCTCCCCCAACCTGTACCTGAATCGCTCGGTCCTGGTACATCTGCCACCAGTCCCAGCCCTGCAGCAGCGGGTACGTGAATTCCGCAAAGGACATGCCGTCGCCCTTTTCCATCTTATTCCGTACCCTGCATCCCTCGCAAAATCAGCTTTCGGTGTCCATGACGTCCGCTTTTTCAGAACTCACTCACGTATCCCGACCCAACATCGCCCCCAACCGCATCCCATTCCCCATCATCTTCAAAAACTGCAGAATCCCCAATCCATCCAGCCAATCTGCATTATTCAATACCTCCCTCTTCCCGATTCCTTTCTCATTCTCATCCAAACGATGCCTCTTCCCATAACGCACGACATTCTCCCACAATCCCCCCACTTGTGCATACATAGCCTCAAAGTTGGCCTGCATGACCGACTCCGCCGTCCGAGCTCTTGATACGAGTCTCCCGCTGGGGTCTCCGACTTTGGAAGTTGCGCCGCCGACGAGGCTGACGACATGGTGGCCGTGGTGGTAGAGCCAGAAGAGAACCATGTACGGGAGGAGATGGCCTAGGTGCAGGGACGGTGCGGTGGGGTCGATGCCGGCGTAGATACCGAGCTTACGGGTTCGGAGGAGGTGGTCGAGGGCATGGCGGTCACTAGAATCAAGTTCAATGGCTATTACGAGTATTGGAGTGCTGACAAGTCGCGCACCCAGCGATTTGGTTGATCAGCCCTCGTTCTTCCAGAACACTCAAAACGCCGTGACGAGCACGTCTCGAGGTGTGAAATGACCTCTGTCGCGAGATACACCGTGGACAAACATACAGCCGCTTCGCGAGCAGTTTTGTGGTGGAAGAAGACATTGTGGTGAGGTTGAAGCTCAAGCTTCGAAGTGCAGACGGTGCTCGGCTTGAAAGTCTTGGCTTTTCACATGAAGGTACTCTATATACATACAACATCATCGTTTCATGAGCCCATACGATTTTCGTTTTACGATCCTTGAAGGTCGCCAATTCCACCGAGAGTGACCGTCTTCACTGTCACGTACTCGTCAATTCCGTATTTCGATCCCTCGCGTCCGAACCCTGAATGCTTCACGCCTCCGAAAGGAGCTGCTGGATCACTGATGATTCCAGTGTTGATGCCCACCATTCCGAACTGCAGCGCTTCGGCTACTCTGTAGCATCGCTGTGTGTCTTTTGAGAAGAAGTAGCCAGCCAACCCAACTTCCGCATCGTTGGCGAGGCTGACTACCTCCGCCTCCGTGTTGAATGGGAAAAGCGCTGCAACAGGGCCGAATGTCTCCTCGCTCGAGATCTTCATGCCCTTGGTCATATCTCTGATAACCGTTGGCGCAAAGAAGTTCGCGCCCAGGTCAGACAGTTTCTGGCCACCGGCGAGCACTTTAGCGCCGTGCTGAACTGCATCATCAACATGAGCCTGGACTTTGCTGACTGCCCGGTCGTGGATCAAGGGACCGTGGGTGACACCCTCTTGGAATCCAGGGCCGACCTTGAACTGGTTGACCTTCTCCGTGAAGGCCTTGGCGAAGGCGTCGTAGATACCACTCTGCACGTAGATTCTGTTGGCGCATACACACGTTTGGCCACTGCTGCGGAATTTGCTTGCTACAGCTCCAGCAACAGCGATATCCAGATCAGCGTCATCGAATACGATGAATGGCGCATTACCACCAAGCTCGAAGGAGAGCTTCTTCAGCGTGTCTGCCGATTGCTTCATGAGGAGCTTGCCGACACCAGTGGATCCAGTGAAGCTGACTTTCTTGACCGTGTCTGATGCTGTGATCGCCCCACCAACTTCGGCTGTGTTTTCGAGTGAGGTCACGATATTTATCACGCCTGGTGGAATACCTGCACGATGGCCCAGCTCGGTCAACGCCGCAGCAGTGTAAGGAGTTTCTCCAGGCGACTTGGCTACGACAGTACAGCCGGCAGCGAGAGCAGGTCCAATCTTTCTGGTGATCATAGCAGCAGGGAAGTTCCACCTGATTGACTATTAGCTACCACAGAAAAGAAGGAAGAGTAATCCTACGGAGTGATGAGACCGCAAACACCGACTGGCTCCTTGACCGTGTATACCCTGTTACCAGGGACCGTGGCCGGGATGGTGTCGCCGTAGAGTCTAGGTGCTTCTTCACTGAACCACTCATAGAAGCTAGCCGCGTATGATACCTCGCCCTTTGCATCGTTCAATGGCTTGCCGTTCTCCCAGGTGATCAATTTGGCAATGTCCTCGCTGTTCTCGATAATCAAGTCGTACCACTTGCGCAGCATCTTCGACCGCTGACGTCCAGTGGTCTTCTTGAATGAAGGAAATGCGTCCGCAGCCGCCTTGATCGCGAGGTCTACATCGTCCTTGTTCATCTCTGGCATCGTCCCGATCAACTTGCCGGTGGCCGGGTCGTGGACCTCGAAGGTCTTGCCCGACTTTGCATTGACCCATTGGCCATTGATGTAGCTTTGCTCTTTGAACAGGCTCTTATCCTTCAGCTCCGGTGCGGTGTGGACGCTCGCAGCAGCAGGTCTTGAGATCAGTCGCAGGTGGTTCGTTCGTGTGATGTGCGAGCGGACCGCCGGGGTGGTCCTGAGAAAGGCCTTCATTTTGGCGGGAGCTGTCGTCTTGTACCGCGAGGACGGACTTCCTTCAGCGGTGAATCATCCAAGACAATGGAAAGCTGCTTGAAACGGGAGCTCTTCGGTGGCAAACCTCGGATGTGGAGCATTTAAGCTTCAACGTTCTTTCTGCGAGTGACGAAAGATCACCGGAGCCCAGTCCGCTCGAGTGGGACGTCACCTCACCATACCCGTGGTACTGACTGAAACCATATGCCTCGTCCAGGAGATATCACAGCGCTCACTCGATCAGAGCACCTCAACGATATCAACATTCTTCTGCATTGAGGAGACAACGACGTTCTCGAAGCCGGATTCTCTCTGCCCCATATGCACCTAGCATCTGCATGCAGCCAGCGCGTGGAAGTGTCGCAATTCCGCTTGGTCGACCTCGCAGATCCAATGTCGCGAACCGTTTTCCTCCCAATGGGACTGCTGAGCGCATCACAAACAGTTTGTCTAATTGCAAGTCGCGCATAGCAACAGCAATGGATAGGGGGAGAGGGAATGCAGTCTGCTCGGCTGTCGAATGGTTTGCATGCTTCCTTCGTTTCTCTTAATCTAATGTCCTCTCTTTCCGTCGACCAACACTCCACAGTCATCAAAGCAGTACGGCCATTCGCGGCCACAGCGCCTGTCATGTCTAAGAAGTGCGTCTTCAATATGTTGGTCTTGCAGCCCATCCAGATTCAAACAAACCTTGCCCCGAGCGAGACATCACACAGCCTGCTCTATCAAACGGATTCGACCGAACCTTTCTACCATCGAACACCACCTCCATCGTTAGAAGAGCTGCAATTCTTCGGGCTAAAGGCAGGCGACAAGTCCAAATGCCAGGACCAGCTATGCGCAGTATGCTTCGGACCTTTCCAGAATCCAGTCGTCACACGATGTCAACACACATTCTGCTTCGGCTGCATATACGAGTGGTTCGGTGGGAGCACAGCCTGTCCTAAATGCACAGGAGATCTCTACCAACCTCGAAAGCTGCGCCAACAACCAAGCCGCGAGATCCATCCAGCTGAACGACCTGGCCCTGTGGAAGACTCGCAATGGAAACTGCCATCCCCGACCACAGTCACGACCGTGAAGGCTACGTTCAAGGCGCACATCAAGAAACCCTCCACGGAGCAGAAACTCCTCGTGAAAAAGGCTCGTTCGTCCGGACACCTCCAAATCCCACAACCTTCCCATCAACACAGCTACTCAGACCGTTCCTCATCGGCAACGCAACAGCAACGCAACAAATCCTTCACGTCCAGCCTCCGAAAAGGCCACGCCCGCGGCGGTAGTCGTCACAGCAGTCTCCCCAGCTACATGAAGCGCACCAATCCACCACCCCAACCCACCCACAACCTAGACTACACCTACCAAGAGCCCATCATCGTCCACAGCCCTCAAGACGCCGACGCCCCTCCAAACGACCCGATCGACCTCGACGCCTCCGTAGTCGAACTCTACAGCACCTGCACCAAATATCTCGAGCGCACGCAACAAGCCGCCGCCCCCACCACCGAACAAAGCGTGCACCTCGTGCACGTCAACTCGGAAGAAATCCTCGCCGACATGTGGATGGTGAGCAAAGCGTCCGGGCAAGACGCATACTTGTCCATCCGGTGCAAAGCCATCGCGAAATGTGTTTGGAGGGAGTGGGAGGAGTATTTGAGACGGATGGAAGGCAGTTTGTTGATGGGGCAGGAGCTGTGGTGGGGGTTGCATAGGAATTTCGAGAGGACGGTGGTGGAGTATGGGTGGGTGGAGGATTGGATGGAGTTGCCGGGGGAGTTTGTGGAGCTTTTGGAGAGGGTTATGGCGGTTGCTGGGCAGAGGTGATGATGAGGTGAAGGATACGCATTCCTGGGAGTGAAAAGGGGGAGGAGGCTTGGAGGTGCATGCGAGTTCGGAAGTCGTTGTTGATTTATGTTCCAGATACCAAATATGCGCGGTGGCGTTCTCTTTTTTTGACTTATCTATGTCTATTTCATCTTCCAGTTCTTCCCAGAAAGACAGAGGTCTTATTGAAGTCCTACAACCCTACACCTCGCCCACCATCTTAAACTTGTTCAGCGGCTTACCTCTAACACCAACATCCACCTTGAAGACACTTCCCTGATACTTGGTGCTCCGCGGATACTTCTCAGGATCCAGCTCAGCAGCAGTGGTGATGAAGAGTTCAGTGCCACAGAGGGTCGGACAAGTCACGCAGCGTGTCGGGACCTCTACCTCTGCCACGACGTTGCCATTGGGATCAACCCGGACGACCTTGCTCGTGCCGAAGCAGGCAACCCAAAAGTGGCCTTCCTCGTCCTGGCAGTGGCCTATGTGGGGATCGTTAGCCCATTTGTTTCGAAATGAGATCCGGATACACACTCACCATCTGGCACACCGCCTTCATAGGGACAGGTAAAGAACGTCTTGCCCTCATCCCACATCGCCTCACCAGTCTCCAAATCATACGGGTACGCCACGATCTTGCCGGAAGGGGAATCCGTAAAATACATGGTCTTGTTGTCCGCAGACCATGACGTGCCGTTGGGGATCGTCACACCCTCTGTGACTCGGTGGAGGCTCAAGTCGGGATCCAGGCGGAAGAGCACGCCTGGTCGTCGCAGTTAGAGCACAATCCAGACGCCACGAGAACGTCCTCCACCCCACGCACCTTCATCCGTGAAGTTCTCGCCAACGAGAGCGGGATCGTTCATCGTGCCCACGAAGTAGCGCCCCCTAGCCTAGATATCGCACAAACACACCAATCAGCACAAAGCCCCATCTCAAACCGGCAATCGTACACCAAGTAGAAAACACCGCCCCCCAATCGAAACAAGAAAGAAAAAAACCCTACGTCAACGGCGCCATCATTACTCCTCATCCTCTCCTCCTTACACCTCCCCACCCCAGCCCTCCCACCCCCATCCTCCAACCTCTCAGCATCCCTCCACATCCCCCTCACGACCCGATGTTCTCCGGTCTCGCGCTCGAAAACGCCATACCCACTGTTGCCCCCAAACACAAACCGCGTCTCATCCCCATCAATGTCCGCCGAGCACGCAATGCTGTAGTCCAGATCGAACTGCTGGTGTGACGACGGGCCGTGGACCAGATTCACCACGTGCAGCTTCTTCTTCACGATGTCGACGAAGCGGAGGCTGTTGCGCGAGCTCTCCCAATGCGGGCCTTCTCCTAGCCCGCACTGCAGGTTTAGGTAGGGTTCCGCGATTGTGTAGGTTTTGATTTCGGGCATGGTGGCGGGTTTCCGGTTAGCTAGATAGTGAAAGGAAGAAGGTGTGGCTGCCTTTTAGATTCGGGTTGGTTGGTTTGATAGTGTTTTGGAAAGTCGTGGCGAACGAGGTGTGGTTGCGTGGTGGTGGTGGTGGTGTCGGATGTTGGTGTTGGTGGTGGGGGCGCTTGCTCAAACTCTCCGAAGATTCGGCGTTGTTACCATATTCATTCACGCTATAGCGATTCGCTCTTGCCTTATTCGACTAGCGAGCGAGAAGCATTCGCAGCCTACAACACGCTTTTTCGATTTACTGTAAGCATCTCCCGTCGAGCGAACATTTTCGACGATTTCCATTGACTTTGAAGGACTGACAAATAGTGGAGAACTCGCTTGGGTACCGACAATATATCATACTCCCCACATCAGCATTTGTCTCATATCGCCACGCCCTCGTGGCGTAGGAGGGCGACCTCGTGGCTTTGGAGCGATAGCGCAAGCTCCGATGACATGCAGCACGCTATAATAGGACCGACGCAGCTAGACGACCATCAACCTCAGAGTTGTTCCACCGAGAAGCTGACATGCCTTAGCGGTGGATGAAACGCCATGTCTAGTCCTCGCTATGCATCTGCTAGTCCATATGGAGATTGCATTCACATGGACAGCGTGGGCATGGTTCCAGTCGGCGGTTGTGCTACAGCTGCAGCTACACGCCCATCCCACGCACGTCGCGGACTTGCATCTTTAGTCGCACATCGTAGAGTGCATAGAGGTTCCGCGGCCGCGAGCTGTCTCCCACGGTTCTGTTGGATCACTCGGACGTGTTGGCTTACACGAACGTATTATGCTGGGTTACGCAGACCCATCGAGAGATCGCTCAATCTACTTGAGGAAAGCCACGCCAGTCCATTGGATCCAGACGCGGAGATCTGGTTCGCACAAGGATGAGAGTTGATGTGTCGTCAGCCGCATTTGACGCATGCTGAAGCAGATCTTGTTCAACGTCGACACATGTGGTCCCTGCATGAGGATACGTCCTGTCCTACGCTGCAACAGTGACGACGTGTATAACATCGTTAATCTACGCCACTGCCGTATGGGTGTCCAGCCTGCACATTGCCTTTTCATAGGTAGTACTTAATCTTGGAAATGGTAGAATCGAGCTGGCGCGTGCAGTCCACATGAGGGTAACCTACCTTCCTATTAGTAACATCGACGCCAGTGCTTTTGATTATACCCGCTAAATGGGAGGTGCTGCATGCGATTTGTGGGCTTTCGTTGTGTGGATTCGATGCGTTGGATATTGCGAGGCTAAAGCCACATCAACCTCTTCGCCTAGCAGATATTATTGAGGCTTGTAGCTCCTCTCGGTATGTGACTGAGTTGGATTGGTCGCGGAAAAATGGATTGCGCATACGTCGGTGGTTCCAGGTGTGCTGGCCTCAAAGTACGGCCAGTGGTGGTAGGCCACGACTATGGAGCTGCTGTTCCTGGCGACATCCAACCAGTGGTAGATCTCAACCAGAAGGTAGACGCCATCAGATGCATCGGACATGGCGCTTCATTTGGAATGACGTGCGTCGATGGATTCGCACAATGATGAGACCGACCGAGGATGTGTGCAAAAGACGGGGCGGAAGGTGTCACTCTGTGTTGCCGCCATGCAGCCACAAACGTGGTGGTCAGGGAATGGGTCAGAACGAGTAGTGCCATGGTACCATCTGCATGCATCTCACACAAATGGCGCACAGCACACGTAGTGGGCGTCGGAGGCGTGTGGGACCAATTGATGGACAGTGTGATGTGAGATGGCGGATGGTGGTGGAGGAGGGGTGAATGGCGATGGGTCGTCCGGACCAGGGTGCAGAAGAGCCGTTGTGGGTGTGGCTGATGGAAAAGCGCCCTGCGGACGGAAAGCTCCACGTGGCACGTGGATGTCAGACGTGCTGCGGCTGCACCTCTCCTGAACGAGCATCCGCGTAGCGCTGCCGGACGGCTTGTTGCGGTGTTGATGATGAGAACCGGCGCAGACCGCATGGCAGCTCGCACGTCGTTCTCGAGGGACGTATCTGTTGGGTGGCCATGACACAGCCGTCCTGCAGGATTGCGAATGATTCAAATCGAACCCGGCGGACCAGACACACGCTAAATGACAGTTGGTTCGTGACTCGCACATGTCTGAGAAGGCGGAAGCCGGGAGTAAAGTCAGTGTCACCAAACCTTGTCCTAGCAGCAACGGAGTGCACTTGCTCTACACGGGAATAGCGAGGGCGGTGCTGGCAAGGAGCGTGTCTGCCGCAGATGATGAGATGGCGAACGTCCTGCTTTTGCGCACAAACACGCAAACCGAACAGGGCTTGAACGATGGCAGCGTAGCCGAAAGCCGCAGATGAGGTGGGACGAATGGCGAGGGCACTCGATAGAAATTAGGTTCGAGATCCGTTGTGATAGCACGTGGTGAGTCGAGCAGCGGAAGAGAGCTCCGCGAAAACGTTAAAGTGTGTTTCTCGTTTGCTTCTGGAAATCGACAGCGGACGCGAAGGTTCGCCTGGCGCGAGATTGAGCAGCTCGTAGCGCCAGTGCTAGACCTGGCACGAGCAGTAATTTGCCAGAGTCAGGGGAGGCGTGCAACTCGCAAGCTGCAGGCGAGGGGCGGGCTGGCAGTGGTGGGAGCGGTGATGATGAACGGAGTAATGGACGAAACCTGCGGTCTGCGCGCTGCAGAGCTAAACAGGCAGGCAGACAGCGCATTGTTGCGGATTTGGCCAGGAGGAGATGGTGCAGATGGGCCGCTCTGATAGGTGGCACGTCGTAAAATCGAGCTCTGCGCCCAATCATGCCGCGCGCTTTATCGAAGTGGTTGCTGATGAGGTGGCAGACACCTCCATCATCACCGCACATGTGACTTGCGGGAGATGCGACAGCGTTGGCTGCTGCTGGGGCCCACCGCCCACTGCCGCCTCGCCTGCGGGCTGATACGGGCCTTCGGCGAGCGATATGGAGATGCCAGATGGTAGCCCCAGCTCCCAAGCTCACGGGAGCGAGACACGACGGCGGCGCCACCAGAACGCGTTCCACAAGTTTGCGCCCACATCGCGACGATCCATTAACTCGGGACTGCTGCCCCTAGACGGCGTCGTCGCAGGGCCAGGGTAAGCATCCTTGATTCCATGCGCGAGTTGTCCCGAATGCCCACCGCCAGATAGATGGCCCCAGCCAGCCAGCCAGGAGCAAGAGTAATCTCTCCTTCGCCAGATGGCGGCCAAGTAGACGGGGATGTCAACATCGAGATCTGCGCATGGCTGCGGCGGAACAGGAACGGTGCAAGTCATAGCACGTTGATGCCAAATCTCGAACCAACAAGGTCCGAGGCGGCCATTGCCGTGGCCAGCGAGTTTCCCACGAGCCGATGCGCATGCCGTGGTGCGACGGAACCTGCAGCAACAAGCAAAGTAGTAGTGGTGATGTGAAGATGATGTCTGATGAGGTGCGGTCGCGGGATGTGGGATGTGGCCCTTCACTTCCAGACCGCCCTGCACTTCATCACAACGCTCAACACAGACATGACACAATCTACATGGGGGCGGAGAGGTGATGGACCTGCTAGCCGTGCGCCGCAAAGGGCATGTCTCGGGAGACTGGCACCGCAACGGTCGCGCACGTCGCATCGAAAACGGCAGAGTGCAGTGGATGGTGCAAGAAGTGCCGTGGGCGGGCGCGAGAATGAAGTCGTCAGAAGAGGGCGCATCATAACCTGCCACCCTGCCAGCAGCCACCTGCGAGCTAAGGGATCCCTCAGGAACAGGCTCGCTTGCAGGAGCAGCAGCGGCAGCCAACGACACGAGCGACAGGCGCAGCAGGAGGTGTTGGTTCTTCGAGACTCGCTGATGAGACTCGCTGCAGCGGTGTTGGTGGCAGCGAGCCCCCGGCGCCGGCTGCATCGGATGGGCGCTGATGTCGGCTTGACCTCACCACGCCCAGCAGCGGTGATACTGGCCTAGTGGGAGACAGAGACAGGGGCACGCAGGTGGCTCGAGCTGCTGGCGTTCTTCCGCAGCTCTGGGATGATGGTGCGAGCCGGCTGCGAGGTTCAGGTGTGTAGCGCGCCCCACGCAACGACGCCACCGCTCGCGGCAAATGCGTCGACGATTGCTTGTCAGGGCGAGCCGTACCTGGACCAGCGCCGTGGTTGCTCCCAAAACCGGTGCGGGCAGCAGCAGCATCTCGTGCAGCAGCAGGCCTGTCGATGCGGACGTCCAGCATGCGCGCTCTGTCTGTCCTGTATGATACCCCGGGGAGAGCTGTCACGGTCACGCCGTCTGCGACCACGGCTACAGGACACCGCACATTGACATACATGCCTGCGATGCTGCCTCCTGCGCCGCCGCCCACACAATCCTGCTGCTGCACACTGACGCTGCCGTGGTCCCTGGGCGTGGCGGCATCCTGCCTGCTGGGGAGGAGCAGGCGGTGCGGAGCGGTGCAGCACGCAGCGTGCTGTGTGGTGTCTGGCGTCTGTCTTCTGTCGGAGGTGGTGTGGTGGGCGGGCATTGAGTTCATCTCAGCAGATGCCGCGCTAGTTGCCACCCCAGCCGGCTGCACGCAGCGAAGTCTATCTAGTCGATGGGGCAGTCTGGCAGAAGTCTCGTCTCGTCTCGTCCGGCCGTCAGTCATCATCAGCAGCAGCGCCCGAGCGATTGACGTACGTCCCTAGTCGCGCATCCCGCATTCCGCGGGCCGGCTGGCTGGTGTCAGTAGTCAGTGAGTGTGCGCGGAAGGCTCTTCCTTCACGCTGCTGGCCTGCCGTGGCCGTTGATGATGCTGCCGCTACGCTACCGCTGCTGCTGGTGCTCTGCTGCTGATGGGGCTAGTCGCCAGACTGCCACCCCCGGTGCCTGGTCAGTCCATGCGCGCCATGCTGCACCGCAGACACGGCACTAGTCGCTGTTAAAGCACGCCAGACGACCGCCGCGCTTCCCTCCTGCTGGCTGCCCTGCTCGAGTCTTGCCTGCTTGTTGCTGGCCTGCCGGTTGTTGTTCTTCGTCTGCATCTCGTCGTTGTTCTTCTGCGTCTGCTGTTGCTGCTGGCGGCGCTGGTTGCTGCTGTCATCACACCGCCCGCCTATATCACGCCTCCTCGTCCCCAGCGCGCGGCCTGCTCTCTGCCACTCTCTGCTGCCCAAGCCCTCCTCTCGCCCTCATAGGCCCCTCTGCAGCAGCCTCTGTCCAACCCCCACTGCGCTGCTACGCCTCCGCTATGCCCGGCGTGTAGGCCCCCCATCCACCCATCGCAGCCTCGCTCGTCTGTTGGCTCGTCCTCGTTCCTCCTTGGACTCGCCCTCGCAGCCTCCGTCTGCATCTCCAGCTGCTGCTCATCCGGGACGTCTCGGCGTCCCACGTCATCGGCCAACGTGGCTGCCACCGACGTTCATCGCTACCACAGTCACTACCGCGCTCCCTTTGCTTACCACGGCTTTACCCCCTTGGACCACTACCATCGTCCGGACTCCAGCTACAACTCCCCTTCTGCCACTTGGGGTGGTCGTAGAAGCAGCCCCGACCCAAAAACGGCCCAGCAGCCTCGCTCATGGTCCGGACAACGGGACCAGCCAGGGATCACAGGGAAGGATTTCATGTCAGAGAGAGTTGACCAACGAGCTCCTCCGGATAGTTTGATTGCTAGTGGGACCAACGCTCCGTCACAGCCTGGTCATCCAGCGAGTGCACCTGCACCTGCCTACGAACAACAACATGATCCTCGATCGTCCGCACCTGCCTCAATCGCCGCGTCGCCAGCATTCCCGCGGCAGGTACCACCGGGGAATGGCAGAACGATGGAGCTTCCACCTCTCCCACGGGCACCGAGCGCAACGGGCGGGAGCTTCTCTCCAGCCTCCAGATCAATCGGTGTGGCGTCCATCTTGAATGCTACCGACAACGATGACGGGCCTCAATCGCGAAGACGAAAAGCGTCTCAACTGGAATCACCTTCTTCATCGATGCACATCCTCCCACTTTTGGCGACAAGCGACCCAACTTATCACGCGACGAGTGCGGGTGCCACGCCAACGTCTATGAACTTTTCCAGTTCCGTGGGCGAAAGAGCACCCAGAAGGATCCTCACCCCTAGATCACCGTCCCTGCATCGAGCAGCTAGTCTGAACCAGCTGAACCCGCCGTCTGCGACTCTGAATACTCAATATATGCCATTCGCGGTCTCTCCACGCAATCGCATGTATGCCATCGAGCCTGGAACTTCGGGAGCACCACCTCTTCCAACACCCCCAGCGGCAGCAAGGCAGTCGTATGGATTCCCTGCCCCCACGCCTCCCACTCATGTTGCTCGCAGAGCCAGTTTGGGTGGTGCTCGCGGAATGAGGCCAGCGTCTGAGAGCACGAGCCCCAGGTCTTCCTACTCATCATACAGCCAAGCCGGCCAAACGTCACCGCCAGCTCTATCTGCGCCTGCTGGAATGCCCACTCTGTCATCTGCGTACTCAGCTGGCCCTGAATCATCATCCATTGGTGGACCAGGAGTCGGTAGTGCGCCAACCTCCGTTGGACCAGATCGACAGCGTCCGATGGGTGTACCGACATCGTCATCTGGCGGGCAGAACGTGTATCAAATGATGACTCTCGAGACCACATCAGGCACTGTACAACTTCCAGTTGACGTGCAAGCAGCATCGCGCGTAGCGGACGAAAAGAGAAGGCGCAATGCGGGTGCAAGCGCGCGGTTTCGGCAGAGAAGGAAGGAGAAGGAGAAAGAGGCTTCTTCGACGATTTCCAGACTGGAGCAGCAGGTGAAGGAACTGGGTGAGGATATGGATTTCTATAAGCGCGAACGCGATTACCTGGCGGGTGTGGTGTTGCAAGTGCCTGGAGGAGATCGACACTTTCCACGACCTCAATCGCCACGCCATCGAAGGAGCTCGTCACTTGCCGGTCCCAGCAGTGCAGGGTATGTGCCAATTCAAGAACAAGGCGGGCGAAGTCCAGACGATGGACGCAATCTTCGACGCAGGACTTCGACTCTGTCCCTTCCTCCGCCACCGCAACCGCAGGGTCTGCAAGGACCCCCACCACCCTTTCAACCATCAGGTTACGCGCCGCACACCTACGGTCAACCCCTTGCTCCACAGCCTCCACCACCTCCACCTCCAACCGCACAGCCTGGCAGTGGGCCGCTGCCATCTCCATTGGGGGCCAGAGGCACGTTACCTCCACCTCCTGGACCACCACCTTTGATGCAAGCCCCTCCTCAGACAGGACCATGGAATCCATACGCGAATCGCAGACCTGGTGGTAATGGTCCACCGCCAAACAGAGACGGTCGATAAACCTTCGAAAGACTTGCGAACACGAGAAGACGCATGGCATGACACGGCCGCGAAATTGACAGGATGATTTTTCCTTCTCTCACATCAAATCACTGGGAAGGCGTTTGTACAACAACTCTTCTGCGGGGTTTTTTCACCATGGAGTCAAACCCCACGGGCAAGGGCAACGGATGGAGTTTTGTTTCACACCCCAAAACTGTTTCATGCACTACTGAGAGATCTTTTCTGATACCCTTCCACGCGAAGCATTTGCACAAAGGAAAAAGAGTCGGCGTCTGAGAGCACCCAAAGCACAGAATACCACCTTACATCACATTGTCTATGTCTGTTTCTTCCATCGTTTTGTTTTGATGTGCGTCTGCGCTGAGATACCCCGAAAACAAATGGCGTATTCTTTTTAACGTACTCTGTATCACCATAGACACTTGAATGGGTCACAAGATCCAAAGAAGAAGAAGAAGAAAAATGGACAACACATCTATTATCCTATTGGTCCACCTCCATCATTTTTTCCTGCTTGTCAACCTGCATTTTAATATCGACGTACATGCATACCTACTATTGCTGCACGTACAACGGAGAGCGGTCCAATGCATGCCGATGGATCTCTCTCGACTGGATGCGGCAATCAGATCCCGTTGGGAGGACGAGTCAGCCGAAAACGCATGCACGGCCATTACGAAAACACCCACACCCAACCACGGAAAAGAGCTAATGATCGAATCAGGTGCCCACCAAGAGGAAGGGAAGGATTGCAGATGCATACATACAGCACCGTAGCGCTGTCTCGCGGATATGCAGGAGAAGTTAGTGCCTTGACGTGCATGATGGGAAAGAACAGAAGCGTATAATTCGCACGTCCGTATGTCGGCTGAAGTGACCTACGTTGTCGATACCTGCTTTCTTAGGAAAGAAGGTTTGGCACCGCCGTTGGGCTCGCAGACCGTTTATTGTCAACCGCATCTCGCGAACGTCCTCGCAATCGAGTCGTTGTTGAGATGTGTGGTTGATGATGATGCTGATTCGATTGTCATTGTGAGGGATCTTCTGGTCTTTTTCATGCAACATGCATGTGTGCCAATTGTGCATTCATCCACCCAGGGTATGTATGGATGGATCTTGACTTGCTGCGAGCTTGCATAGGGGGAATTTTTCTCGATGTCTTCGTCCATTGTCTTCGTTTGGTCAAGCTTGTTATCAAGCACTTGCGGTTTCGGCAGTTCTGCTCTTGTCTCGCTTTCTGTCGTGGAGCGGTGAATGACTCTACTAGCAACGGTACTTTCATGGAAGTGTCTGGACCCTCTGTACAGGTCTCCTAGCGCCGACAACACTACTAGGTCTCCTGTCGTCCTCGCGGTGCCTGGTCGATCGCAACGATTGAGGTAATCATCAGCAGGAGATGGCGAGCATGTTGCACCGCACGAGTCAAGAAGACGTTGTCCTTCCCAAGTAGCATTTTCCCTCCGCGTAAAAAAGACCGCCATCGTGTTCACCCGTTGCTCACAACGGCTTGTCATCAGCTTCTCCACATCAAACGGCCAATAGTCCCAACAACCTCGACGTCGGGTCGCAGGTTTTCGATATATGACGTGCCTCGTACATATCCTCCTGCAAGTAGCGTGTGAGACAGAAAGGCTTTCCTATCTTCTCTCGTCCCGAAGAAGTGATGAACCGGTAAATGGGGAACAGAGACCCGACGGCAGCACCGGCCCTGACTCCATTAGATAGTCCCTGGTCTAGTCCACCCATTAAATCCCAAGCCGGGTCGAGATTGTGCTGCTTACGTTGAATTGCGTCAAGCGAAATATGCAATAGCCGGGGTGCCTGCGTAGCGCGATGACGGCGTTTGCGAAGGGCCGGTTTAGTTTGGATTCGCAACATGCATGTGATTGTGGTCTGCGGTGAACCCTTGCTTGGGAGTTGGGAAACCATTGGGAAGTGTTTCCATCCGGTGAAGGTGTGGGGGTTTTGGTTTTTGTGAGGTAGTGCTTTTTGGAGGTTTCTGGACGTGGCAGAGATGCACGCCAGTGCTGTCGTTGAGAAGCAGAGGTGAAGCTGGATCGAACCACGCGCGACTGTAGCCACGTTCGGTGAGAGCGAGTACAGGGCATTGTGTTTCTCCTGTGTTTCCTCTTCGGCCAGCCACCAAGGCGACAATATGGATCCTTGAATGGCAACACCGTGCTGACTGATTCTAGTCTTGCAAGGCCATGATCTGCCGAAGTTCTGGTCGACATCCAACCCAAAGACGATCATTCATCTTGCTCGACCGTGAGCTTGACGGTGTCGACTTCCCCTAGAACTTGTGGCACCGCCAGAAGACCTCGTCGTAGAGCCGCTGCTTTGGGCGCGAAACTCCTCAACCCCATGATCGAATCATCAAATACAGTAGATGCCCACCGTCCAGACGACGGAAGGACCTTGCACTCGTATTCTCTCATGTCCAAGAGCGAAAACAGGCTCCAAGCTAGGGTCATCAAGACATGGGGGTTTATTAGATGCAATGTCCAACCCTTGACCACTTTGCTCTCTCCTTTTTCTCATACACGCCAGCAACGGTGCACCTGCCTTTCTGTCGAGCTCCTGCAGCTTGTCTCTTGCACAAGATCACGCGTAGTTGTTTCTTTCTCGATCTCGGTCGTCTTGTGCGCGTGGCAACGGATCGAATGGTGGGCGGTTGTCCTGGCAAGGTTGTTGCAAACTGAGACGACTCTGCTGCGCATCTGTTTGTTCCTCCCAGTCTAATCGAAGCGCTTCTCTTCTTTCGTTTGCTGGAACGCGCGTGTAACCATATTCTGCGTGACGAATCTTTCGAGGCGACGTGCAAAGTCTATGATCGATGACTCCAAGATTGACGGAGACTCTTCCAATGGCAGATCGACCTGCTGTGATAAGACGGTAACAAAGCACTGTTGAATGTCATTTGAAAGCTGGTGCTCTTACAATCAGTTGATCCTCAGACTACTTGACCGACCTCGCCTCTCATCGTCATCCTGTCAAGATTGGCCTCTTCGCAGTAGACCAGACAGGAGCAAAAGAGTCAATTACGCGTCTCGAGTAGGACCTGGACATATTGAAAGCTGTGGAAAGAGCATCGGGAATGAAGCTGGAGTTGTCAAAACGCTGGTGTCGTGTGGTACGCGTCGGCAAACTTGGAGACGAGGCAGCTGCGACAACGACATCGCTTGCGAACTAAGAACGTCTTGCCAGTGGCACATGGCAGCTCCAACAGAGACCAAGATCACTGCCTGTTGCTCGTCTAGAGTACAGCCAGCAGCCTACTCCAGTGACAGACACAGTCCCTGTCCTCGATACTTCTTCTTCGGCCGTGGGCCTGCTGGTCTCAACGTGTAACAATGCATGTCCACCCGGAGACACTCATCGATCGTACGCTCGGCGATGCCTACAACGCCACGAAGTCTGTTCTCACGGGCCGATGAGGGTGGAAGCATGGGGCAGATCAACCCAGAGCCAAGGACCAGCAGCTGACCAAGGACCACCATCACGGATCGAATAGGCCAGTAACGTACTTGACCCCGAAGTGACGCAGACCCCGAAGTGACGCACGGATCCGCGTTACTCTCGCGTCTTACCCGTGTTTCTCGCGATACTTCTTACTTCTAATTATTCTATCTTATAGATCTCGAGTAGCGTATACTAGACGCTATTTCTACTTATTCGAATAAAGAATATACCTCGATTTGTACCTATACGCGCGTATTTACTATTAGTAAAACTACGTTTCGCTAAAAACTCGCTAGTAGTATTTCTTAATCTATAGTATATAAATACAAGTAATACCTATCTACCGCTAAAGAATAGACTCTTATTAAGTAGATCTCGAAGTTATTAAAGTATAGCTACTTAGTTTTACCTAAATTTATATAAGAACTTATTTTTAAAATATACCGTTCTTAAGTCCTACTTTCGACGCTAAATCTCTTTTCTACGACCTCGATTCTACGACCTAGTAAAAAGTAGATTATAAAGCTATATACTTAATATCTAGATATAAAAGGAGCTTAGAGTCGATAGCTAGAAATAAACTAGTATAATAGAGGATTATAGTAATATATAGAACTCTAATTAACTATTAGAATCGGTTTATTAATCCTAGAATCTTACTTAGTATAAATACTAAGCTTAAGTTCTTAGTTAGAGCTCGTTAAAAGAAGAGAGTTAGTAGACTACTAAAATAATTTTAAAGTAGAGGTTTAAGTATAATTATAAACTAAATAGTAAGATTAAATAGTAAGTTAAACGCTATTATATAAACTATAATATCGTTCCTATATAATAAAGGAGATTCGTTCTTTATCTAAGTAGTCTAAGTAGCTTAAATACTAAGTAGACTAATTAGTCTAATTAGTTAAGCGCTTAGTTAAGCTTTAGCCTCTAACGCTTAGTTTAGATTATATACTAGGTCGCGCTAGTAGAACGTATCCGTAATATTAACCTAGTACTAGGTTAAGCGTAGAATAAACTTCTACTTTCTCTATTTTCGTATATAATAAGTATAAAATATATACTAGAGAATTATATATACTATTATATAAAGAAAGTTTACTTTAGTCCTTTTT